CACTCGTATTGTGGAAGTAATTTGAATTTCTACTGGAGGACATCCATTGTCTAGTAAATCCTCGTTATAGTTCCACAAGTAAATCTCTTCACAGTATCTCTAAAATTAAAGTATAGAAATGTAAACGACTGTTCCAGTCTATGAACGTTACAAGAATAACTAAAGACGAAACTTAGACTAAGATCAATATTGATGTGTATTTATTCATAGAAACCATCATTACTATAAATTACATCATGTCTTATATATAACCTTGGATTTCTTTCACTTTTCACCCAAGAATTAAAATTGATTTATCAAAAGACGTCTGTATTTGAAACTCCCGAAGTTTGAAAAGCAGACCTTAGACTATATCTTGGTGTTTTACATCTACTGTACACAAATTCAATAGGTGAAGAATTATTGCAGAAAACCATCAAGCTGTGCACTGTATAGTAGCCTGTCCAGGTGACTGAATTCTTATATTCCTATTGTAGCAAATCTTCCAAACATGATTGGTGATAAGGTAGCCTTTTAGTCTCAATAAATGTGCATCATCAATTTTTACGCACCAATTTTGCCACAGAAATATAACCTACACTATTGAAGTCTATGGTGTATCGGAAACGAATAGGAAAGACCTACCCTCGTGTGTGAAACCTATGGCTGATGCACGGAAGTATGGGGTCCAAAATTGACAAGTTTCATGTCATTGCCCATTACGGACCTGCCGACGCTATTCTATAACGTCGTGACCTCAAGACTATCTTTTCAAGTCCTCCAAATACTCCATATTACACAGACAATTCTTATACCACAATCAATAAAATAACCCAGAAATAGAATGTTTAGTGTCTAAATATTAATCATTGTCGGTTTTAAATATCAACTCTTATATATTCTCCCATAGCATGTAGATCTATAAATGACATGTATATGTTAATCGATATCGTAGGTGTGTTCAGCTTGAAACCGGAAGTGCCATTGTGTTATATTTCGAACTCACCAATTCCGTTTGATCTTTAAGAGATAGTATCTTTAATTTACCTGCAGGCATTGAAGGTTGCTGAACAATTAGTAAGTAGGTTCTGTTGTAAATTCCAAGGACGTTGGTTAAGTCCCTCTAGCTTCAAACATCCGTTTTAAGAACATCTTGGTGTATTGCTTCTTTGAAAGTTCTAACTACACCACCAATAAAATCTTAAAATTTGAAACAGAACGTTTTGTCAAATCAGAGAAGCGTTCAAATTAATAAAACCCACACCTACGAAAACAGTTTCCACAATTACACAAGACGTATTGGAAGTGAACACACAAAAATCAACATCTAAATTAAGTCAAAAGTTCCGATAATTGTGGTATTAAATACATGCCACAAATGTCAAACGGTGAACGGTTCCTATTTCTCACAGCCAAGGCTAATCTGTGAGTATTTTTACTCCAATTCCGCAGGCTGTATAACCAGGTCAAATTAATCTATAGTCATACAACTTGTGATATATGACATAAAATCAATGAAACATTCTGTAGAAAATGACCCCATTCTCTTCTCTTTTACTGCCTGCTCAGTTCAGTCTAGTACTACAGACAGATCTTGGACTAATACCACTGAATAAACACAAATCGAAGTCAGTGTCTCTCATAACGTCTACGACTATCGTCTCAATTGATTAAATTGAATCCACGAGAAGGAACAGAGCGGTACTTTAGTTTCAATAACAACGATTACGTATATCTAATCATTCAAACAATAGCTGAATATTACCAGACATTCACAAAGCTCTAAGGACGTCTAACACTTGTTTCTATCCAATTTGAAAAGTAACACATCAATCTGATTTGAAAAGTAACACATCATCCTGTAAATTTCTTCACGTCCATTTTGTCTTCCAGACTTCCAGGATTTTTATTATTCTGAGATAAACTGTTCAGTTCCTGAAGTTTTTTGTCTTGTCTTGCAATGTTTGTATTTTACAATACCACATTAAGTCACGACACAGGGATATACTATACGGCATTCGTCTTCGTGAAATCACTACTATCAGCTCCTTTCATCTGTGTGTATCACCAAACACAATAACCAACTTCAGAGTACACAAAACCCGCCCGTGGAGTTATTCTTCTTATTGTCTCTTCGTTCCAATAAATGGGTAAGTTTAACTATACCATGGCTTCATTCCTTATTTTAATTAGAAAAAACGATAATTCCTTCTAGTTACAAGTTACATCTTGTTTCGCGATGTGTTATTCCCGGTAATAAAAGACGTTCTTTACATCTATTGGAATTATTGACTGACTGACATTCCGAACACGCCGACATATGTGTTATATAAAATGTATGTCTTGTCATCACTTACCTTCCATTGTGATAAAACGACTCATTCAAAACATCAATTATATCTTTAAGTTCCAGAATGAATCAAATTACGGTCGATATTCTAGACACCTGATTCCATTTTTCATTAGCTGCTACCAATGGATTGTCAATATGTTGCGTGGAATTTTGCGGTTCGGATCGTTGTAACGTGTTTTTTTATTTAGCGATAACACTACACTTTGTCTCTGAGCCACCATATCTCAAGCCAAACAGCTTGTTCATGAGACAAAAGAGAAAGGAAAATCATAATGTAGATTTTTACATGTACATGTATTTAAATGGACTGATTCACCATCTGCTTGACCAACCTTACCTTAGTCTGAGAAACTTGATTTTTGAAAACCAAGCTAAGCAGTAATATTGTTCACAGCACACCGTCGAAATTTGAACCTTCCAATCCATGTGTGTCCAGAAAACAAATATCCGTGTCAAAAAGTTAAACCACCGAAAATGTTGAATCTGCCTCTTTAAACGATTTTGGGTTATAGACTAGAATTAGAGGAAAGTTGATTTAATTAGAACAAACAATAATATGTACCTTGTTATATACTAATATATGATTTATTCATGAATACATAGTATTTTATACGAGCAGTAGTAATTGTATAGTAAATGTCATTCTATTGCCAGTGGTTTATTGATCTAAAAACACGGTAAATGAATTCCAATCATATAACTCTTCCCGTCGTTTGTATTTTATATCATGATTAAGTGGAAATAAATTTAACTGTTTACAAACGAAATTCTTTTCAGTTTATAAATTGAATGTACACAGCATGATATAGTGTACGTGTATTCTAGTATCATCATTCATCTATGCAGTTAATCCGATTTCATAATCAATGATTCCAAATGTTTGCTCTTGATACATGTATATCACTTTATACTATATATTTATAGCTGTTTCATGCTGAAATCTATGCTTTCCCTATGCTCCAATGTTTGCCCTTGCATTAAATATGCTCGATGGTGTAATTTTGAATAAAGTTAATGTTACCAAGGTTTCTGATGTGATCCCATTGGTTCTACTTCATGTTTGTTGCTGATTCGTATTGCTTCCGAATTTTGCATCATCCATCTGTATATATAATCTTTCTTGGGTTGGGATTTGGCGGTGTGTCTCTTCGTGATGTTGACACTGGAATGTCAAAGATTGATTACGTCGAAAGCGGAACTATATATCCTTTGAAATATTTCTTTAAATGCTTGTATTATTTTGAAACAAATCAGATGTCACATGTTGTGTAAAATAAGAAGTAACCAAGACATATCAGCCTTTACTTCGTAAGCAGGGCCGAGAATTGCATGATTCAATACAGCACCCCAAATCGTCTTCATGATTTTCAATTGAGTATTTCACCATGGTTAAATATTTTTGAAGGCGTTTCTAAACTAGGCCAAGCATACAACCCAAAAGATATATGGCTTGTGCTTCTTTTACTGCGATATTGTGTGATATTAGAACCAATGAATCAATTAGTCATCTTGAAGGGAGATATTGACAACAGAATTTTAACACAGAAACTGATTATAATGAATAAGAACTAGTTTATTTAAAGATGCTTGAAACAACACGGAACCATTTCTCATTCAGACTAAATCTCAATCAATGACAGTCTATCAAAGTACAGCTGTGAGTGAAGGTGATAAAGTCACAAAAACAGGGAAGATATCGTGAAAATTATCGATTCTTAGTGTTAATGCAACGTGCTCCAATTCAATTGGACTTATTTAGCTTAACAGTTATAGACTGTTGATGGTACTGAATGGTGTTTTCTAGTAGTTGCTATTATTTCAAAGAAAATAAGGTCAGTAGAAAGGACATACGACCAAATCTACATGGTAGAAAAAGACAGAAGTTATGCGAAGTTGCAATCGATCACAAATATATTGCGAGCACTCGAACACGGAACCGGGAGCCGCAGTAGCTCAGTGAGTTAGACGCTTGCTCGCTAACCTGAAGGTCCAGAGTTCAATCCCGGCATAGGTCGAGATAATACCTTCGGATTTTTCAACCCGGTTTCCCCGTGTCAGTGATACAGGTAAGAGGGCCTGACTTGAAAAAAGCGTCTAGTCGTTCGGATGGGATAATAAACCGAGGCCCCGTGTGCTACAGGCTGTGCACGTTAAAGATTCCTCGACAGTTGGAAATCGAAAAAGAGCAGGCTAATGCCGATGTCCTGGCAAAATTTCCCTCATCGCACCCTGCATGGTGTTGCCCGTCTTCATTAGCCCACATGGTGCAGAAAAGTAGGACGTAAAACTCCATTCATTTCATTTCATTTCGGACACGGAACCATGAGGTTGGTGCATCCGTTACCAATTGCCTTCGACAAGAACAAGCATCATCATTTTCTTGCTTTATTGACAAAAGTACATTATCTGAAGTTATCGGAAAAACGAAAACCGCGAGGATAGACATAGCATTATCAAAACCATTGCAGCGCAGATTAAATTCTAATAAAAGATGTAAAATAAGTGGTGTGTAAAATATTCATAATTTATTTATTTAAGTATTACAAGGTTATAACAAAAATTCAACGAAAAGGGTAACAATAACAAATTTACAACCGGATATGATAACAATAACAAGCTGAGATGGTTTACAGTATAACTTAAAGCAGAACTTGAATCCCACGAACATTTACACGGTAACACAATTGTATATCTGAAAAATAATAAATTAAATAGGTTAAGTAAAATGTACTATAGAATCTCTTCCATTTGTCATTCTATATAAATAATATAGTATAACTTTGAATCATCATCATTTCCATATCCGGTCATCGATGACGCGACGAAATGCCTGAATTGAAAATATATTATTAATAATGACGAGGCTGAAAGCATACATCTTCTATGCACACTGTGTAGTTATGAAGTTTAAAGGGAAATATCTTCGTTTACATACCTTGTCTAATATATGTTTAATTCCTCTATGACTGTTGAAATTCTTAACGGTTTCCAACAAAACCTCTTTATGGTTATTCAGACACCTCAGAAAATAATCCCAACATGCCTTCTTTAAATCCTTCATATCATATTCTACAGCAGCACAAAATAATCCTGGAAGAACAAACAGTAGGAGATTAAATATCAAAAGATTCAAGACAAGATTAGCCTACCACCTTCTCTTCCACCCCACAAATCAGTGTAAATTTACCAGATAAATAATATAATACAACTAGATTAATAAGGATTAAATATTGTAACGTACCTATAACTGATAGCACATCTACTTTCACTTTACCACAGTGAATAAAACTGATCAATCTTCTAAACACATCTTCATCATAGTTCATAACCTCTAACACCAGTTGACCCTTGAACTTATCATCTTTGACCTTCTTACTGGCCTTGACCTGCTTCTGTTTCTGTAAAATCATTTGGTAGAAAACTCGACTTCTTGTGGCTAAAATGGCCTTGACCCCATAAACTGGTGTTTTATTTTGACCAACAAGAAATACGACATCACATAATTCTGGCATGGATAATATATAGTCTAAACTGACACATAACGATTCTTGACTTTTAAATACCATTGTTTCTGATGATGGCTGTCGACATTTTGTTTCATTGACCTTGACCTTCACTGAACTACATTCGCTGCTGTCACAAGAATCATATCCTGAGGATTGGCTTTCTGTAAAATAGAAGTATTTGCGATGAGTAAAAAATTTAACACAGCAGATATAAAAATTATGCTATTCCGGGTAGGGCATAAAACTATACCAATATTGAAAAATGATTGATTTCTGTAGGAGACTTTAGGATTTTGTAGACAATAGACAAAGGTCTGATAGAAAGTTAACATACCATCTGAATCTGAATCAAAATCTTCTCTTTCAAGTTGATCATATTTAGTTAAATCAACTGATGATGTATATGATTCCATTTTAGCTCAAGAATATGAAATAGTCACTGAATAAGTTAATGAAGCACTGTTCTGTTGATAAAACAAGTGAATAATGATGTCCAAATTAAAAACTCCGAAATATTTATTAAGCCAGGTGTCAAAGGTCACACGTGACATAATGATCTATCTTAGTGGCAGGATTCAGCAGGTTTGAGGTCAGAAAATATCTTAATGAATTAATATTAAGTGACATTGATTAGGTTTTGTTAATTCGTGTCACGTGACTCATTAGTATTAATCTGATTGGATGTATAGATTAAGATACAGGTTAGAAATACAGATTAGTTAAGTAAAATAAAGGTGTAAGATGACTAACGATTAACTAATTAATGCTACACCTGAATTACACTTTTCACACTTCAAATTGAAAGTTTGTTATGAATTGAATCTATTTTGTAGTAGTCTATTTAAAGAATGATATCAACATGTTTGTACCAACAACATAATTATTCAATCTCAAAACGTAAATTTATGTTCGAGTATGATTTACATATATGTTTGTAGATTTAATCCGTTCATTTTACATCGATCTTGTCGATAATTGTGCAATCTCTCATCTCTCATCTCTCACTTATTCAATTTTGGATTTTTTTATCATCAAAATCAAGAAGGCCTATAAATGTCCAATATTCAAATAATATGAATATTCTCAGCAGCAAATTATCATCAACAGTAACATTGGTCTTTAACCTACGTCTTTAAATGGTACAAGTTACCTCCCTTGAGATGAAAAATTTGTTTCAGAAAATTGTAAATAGTGTAATCGACGTCGTAATTTGTGAGCATGCAAAGTAACTGTTGCCTATTTTTCGACCATTGTAAAATATTGTATTAACGGATAAGAATTACGTTAATTATTGTATTGTGAAATGAATTATAGAAACGCAAGTAAAGTGTATAAATAACACGATATACAATAAGTTTATTTGTATTAACAGCTGATCGAGATTACAATCTACTGAAACACGTGTTGTAGATAATATATATATATATAATACTTCATTAGTAATATTATATCAATGAATAGTCAATTTTATTAGTAGATTAGTCAATTCTCTACTAACAAACAAAACTACCATTATGTTATATTGAAATATAGAGTAGCTAAGCTAATATCGAGATTAAAATATTGACTTAAACTTCATTAGTTAATCTACTGACACGTTCTATACTAATTAGTCACGTGATATTAATAATGACATCATATCATCAGTGTCAGTATTTTCTGTTCACCTTTGTATTTTAACATCCACAATCAGATTAACGCTAATCCTTAATCCTGCTACTAAAATAGATCACTATGTCACGTGTAACCTTTGACACCCCGCTTTATAAATATTTCGGAGTTTTGAATTTCGATATCATTATTCACTTGTCTTATCAACAGAACAGTGCTTCATTAACTTATTCAGTGACTATTTCATATTCTTGAGCTAAAATGGAATCATATACATCATCAGTTGATTTAACTAAATATGATCAACTTGAAAGAGAAGATTTTGATTCAGATTCAGATGGTATGTTAAATTTTGTGTAGTGTCCACAATCCTAAAATAACCTACAGAAATCAGCCATTCTTTAATATTCATTCTGATATGTTTGTCTTTTTCACTTGGAAGAATGGGTTTTCTGTATTTACTGCGATGTATGTTATATTCGTAAATAATCCACAATGTATTTTATTTTTACAGAAAACCATTCCTCAGGATATGATTCTTGTGACAGCAGTGAATTTGGTTCGGTAAAGGTCAAGGTCAATGAAACAAAATGTCGACAACCATCATCAGAAACAATGGTATTTAAAAGCCAAGAATCTTTATGTGATAGTTTAGACTATATTTTATCCATGCCAGAATTATGTGATGTCGTATTTCTTGTTGGTCAAAATAAGACACCAGTTTATGGGGTCAAGGCCATTTTAGCCACAAGAAGTCGAGTTTTCTACCAAATGATTTTACAGAAACAGAAGCAGGCCAAGGCCAGTAAGAAGGTCAAAGATGATAAGTTCAAGGGTCAACTGGTGTTAGAGGTTATGAACTATGATGAAGATGTGTTTAGAAGATTGATCAGTTTTATTCACTGTGGTAAAGTTAAAGTAGATGTTCTATCAGTTATAGGTACGTTAATATATTTATACTATTAACCTACTAGGAAAAACTGTACTTCTTATATAATATCCACACCGTCTTGGACCTAAACGATTGTGGAGAAAGTACCCATCGTTATTGTCCTTCTGTATTTTGATCTACTATTGTTTGTTCTTCCAGGTTTATTTTGTGCTGCTGTAGAATATGATACGAAAGATTTAAAGAAGGCATGCTGGGACTTTTTTCTCAGATGTTTGGGAAATCAGAAAGAGACCTTAATGACTTCATTGGAATTGTACAGCCACCATAGAGGAATAAAACACATTATGAACAAGGTATGTAAGTTCTCAATATCTGAACAATAACTGGCAAGCACACAAATAATCGGATACCATACAAAAGTGTGTAAAATAGATTTTTATGAAATGAAAGTATGTACTGTATCTTTACCGTTTCTTTTTCAGTTGTATGATGTTCAGCAATAATAGGAGAAGATATCCATGTGACGATAGTGCTGTCTTTAAGGTCCGATTCTGTTATTACATGAAAGTTAATGTGTAAATTGTTGTTTGTCATTATTGTTATCTCATTGTTATGTTTGAGTGATATAATAAATATGAATATTAACTGTCGCATCTTTATTATTTATTTTTGTCAAATTCTTAGCCAACGATTTACTACTTCTGTTATTAGCCCAAATCAGACTTCCATTGCGCTTTTGGAGAAAGGGTACAAGGAACCCACACGTTTGAAACTTATGGATTATTATTTGGATAGACATCATCGTCCTTTAAATTGCAACACAAAGTTTCATCGAAATCTAAAACAGAAATTCCATTTTTATATCTAAATGTCATTACAGAGTTTATTAATACAGTTATTATTGAAATTATCAAAACAGGAAATACTCATGTTAACCAGAGAAGTGACTATTTCCGTATCACGTGACCGATTTTGGTAAATTATTATTCGAAAGTTTTAACTATCGTTATTAGAGTTTTAAATTACTATGAGATATTGGACGTGTTTACAGAACTATGGTCTACAAACATGGTGAATGTTGGAAGTGAGGTGAAACTTTAGGATATTATCTTGTATGATTTATATCTTTTATGATATGTTTTCAAATGCGAGGATTTTAAGGAACGCACCACCAACTACTTTTCTCTCTTTCACATAGAATCTTAATAGTTGTGGCTCTTAAAACTAATAACCGATTTTGATTCCATCCCGCGTTTTTTAAATCTTTGTTATATCCGAATGAATGTCGCCCAAACTGAGTATTGAGTAATATTTTAAGTAAATTTCAAAACCATCGTGATTTGTGTGAAATCCGACATGGGAAATCGTGCATCAAGAAATAAATCACAAAAATCACACAAGGGCAGCAAAAAAGATGACAATCAAACACTGAGAACCCGATCATTGAACAGTTTACCTCTGGGTGAGCGATTGCCTTCAAAGCCAAAACCTATGTCTCAGAGCGTTCGGGAAAGAAAGTGCGTAGTAAGTGAACGGTGTTTAGATACCGAAGTATCGAATGCGACAAGACATAGACGACAGAACACAGCACCGGAAATTATTGTTCAATCGACACCAAGGTCTTTGAAGATCAGTGACTTTTCAAAGGTCATCCAACAACCGGATCCTCCACAGGAAGAGGTTGATTTCAACATTCCAATTGAAAATGCTCTTGAGGTAATTAATACTTCTTCTTAAAATCTTAAAATTTAAACTTTAACTTTATGTATGGCTTTTGCAAAAGATTCCAAGATTAATATGATGGCTATTGATCAAATTCTGGTGTGTTTTACCAATAATAAAGTAATATATCTGATGGTTCATGTCTTTATTTTAGCCAACCCCAGATGAACTATGTCAAATCTGCAGTGTATTTACTGGTAAAATTAAGTTTCTATGCAAAATCTGTTATCAAGTCTATCATCTTGGATGTCTTCAGAAGATTGAACAGCACGAACCTTCTCCCGTTGTCTGTTACCTGAACAGAGCAGATACGGAATTAGGATGGAGCTGTCATTCATGTGTAAGTAACAGATAAATAGTATTTTGACTGCTATTCTACATGTATAATAGAACAAGCTCTGACAATGGTAACCACACCCAAAGGCACATGATCAATCTAATCAGAATGCAGATTGATGGTTCGATTGGTTTTTTTTCTGTGGGTGGCTCAAAAGTTTTAATCCGCAGAGAAAACACGAAACGAAACATGAAGATCTGAATTTTAATCTGGCAAAGAACATGACACAACAACTAGTATCGTTTAAAGACTCGTTCAAATAGGAATATACAATGTTACAGATAGATTTATTCCATAGACAAAGTGAAGCAAACTGTTTTCGCTAACACAATATCGCTTCGATCATACTAGCAAGAAATAAGACTGAAGAACATTAGAAGGAACAGTTTTAGTAGTATTTGGCTGTTGACCTCCGACATATATAAGATATTTTCCTGTAGGAATCTTCCACCCATCATCAAACCACACAGCCAGATTTTCACCCGAGATATCAAACTTCACCGTCTTTATTTCATTTTTATTGATATATATCCTATCAAACCACACAAGCTGTAGTTTTGGAGCTGGAAATGGAAGTTTTGGCCAAGATATATACACCTGTACTACCTCATCCCCGGAATATTTACCCGTATTCTGAATGTTTACAGAACCTGAAAAATTACCACCTATCTGTATTTTAGTATTTATATTAAAATTGCTGTAGTTGAACGTCGTATAGGATAAACCGTAACCAAATGGGTATAACGGTTGTTCAGTGGCATATCTATACGTTCGACCAACCATTGAGTAATTGGTAATTGGTGGAATTTGGGATTCAGATACTGGCCATGTAAACGGTAGTCTTCCTGCCGGATTGTTCTTCGGATCCTCTAAAGTAACCGCCTGAAATAATGCTTCACCAGTAGCTTGTGCTGGGTAGAAGGCCGCCAATATTGCCACTACTCTGTCACTGTTTTCAGCCCAACTGATATCTACTGGTCCAGCATTAAATAGAATCAACATCACCGGTGTACCAGGTGGACTTCTAGAAACAGCATCTTGTAAGAGTTGTAACTGGTACCCGGGTAGAATTATCGTGGATCTGTCTTTAAGTTCTCCTTCTAGTTGTGAACCTGAAACAAAGACTAAGCATCAGAAAACATGATCAGCAAGCCAAAAAAAAAAATAGTTTTCGCATCGGAAATCATCATTATATGCCAAAACAGAAGGCGTGTCACTTCTACAGGTAAAATACCGACAGTATAAAGGTTAATGAAAAATAACCTAATGAAAAATAACCTACCACTAAAGAGTTATAAAGGAACTTACCTAATCCAAGACAAACAAAAACTAAGTTGGCATATTTTACAGCTTTAGTTACTGCAGCCTTATCATATTTCAAACATGGTGCTCCATCAACACATCCAGGGGTAAACGTCAAATTCCCAGCCAATCGGGACAATCTATCAAAAGGTGTTGTCACAAACTTAGGGTCGGTGTTAGGGGGATAGTCACCGAATAAATCGGCTTTATTATCCATGAATGGTCCTATAATACTCACATTATTGTAGCTCAAAAAAGGTAGAAAATTATTCTTATTTTTCAACAAGACGAACGATTTGACAGCAGCTTCTAAAGCCAGTTCTCTATGTTCGTCACTTTCAATAACAGACAAGTTTAGCTGTTTATATGGGTTCGAATCTGGTGGGTCGAACTCGCCAAGTTTCATTCTTGTATACCACATTGGTTTCATCAGTTCTCGTATTCTGTCTATCGATAACCTCCCTTTATTTACAGCGTCCACAATGGAGTAATATACTGGGGTGTAGTCATACTTAAAACTGGCCACAGCTAGATTTACTCCTGCGTTTACAGCTGCGACTACGGCATCTAAACTGTTATTGAAATAATGATGGTGATATATCACGTGTTCAACTGCGCCAGCATCACTAACTACATATCCCTTGAATTTCCATTCGTCTCTTAAAATATCTGTTAAAAGTTTTTCATTTATACAAGATGGACGCCCGTTGATACTGTAGTAACTGCACATGATATTGTATGTTCCCGATTCTACACATTTCTTAAACGCAGGCAGGAACGTCATTCTCCAATCTCTGGTGGACACTATAGCATCAAATCCAAATCTGGACACGGGAATATTCTCAGGGCCGGCATATACATCAGCATGTTTACATCCAGAATTGACGAGAAGGAATCTTGAATCGTCTCCTTGCAGTCCACGAACAAAACTTTGAGCTAGGGTCCCTGTTAGATGCGGATCTTCACCATAAGTTTCCTGATTTCTACCCCATCTTGGATCTCTCATGATATTTATCACCGGACTGAAACAACTCAATCCCTGGTGGATTCCATACATACCTCGTTTTACATAATCATTATTCTTAGCTCGGACTTCTATCCCAGTTGCTCTTGCCACGCGGAACAAAATATCACTATCAAAGGAAGCGGCTAATCCAAGAGCTTGAGGGAAAGACGTAGCGTTTCCAGCTTGAACGTCACCTCGAAGACATTCCGTAATCCAGGTGTAGTTTTTGATTCCTAGTCTAGGAATAGCGGGTACACCTTGTCCAAGTTTAGGAAGCTCGTGAGACATCTGTTGCATCATTTCTTCTAATGATAGTCGACTGACCAAATCATCCACTCTTTCTTCAAAACTAAGACTGACATTTCTGAAGGGAAAGTCTTCATTAGCTATTACGATGAACGGAGTGGTTGACAGCCACAAACTGCATGTTACTATTACCAACCGCACAAACCCCATAGTGTAAGAAGTCCTGGTCGATAATGCAAAATCAAAACTGATGACAGCGACAAAACATGACTATTTGATATAGGAGATAGCAGAAATTTGACCCAATACCCAGGATCATTATTATCATTTATTAATGAATTTATCTTTGGCCTACATAAGACGAAGATATCTAGTCGTTTTAAATCTGGATATTCGAACATTTTGGTCTTGATTAACTTACATAGCTGATAGGGTTGACTTTCCGTGATCAACACTCTCGAAAATTACAAATAGTAATTCAAAACTTATAAATATATATGTAAACTAACCCCTATCAAAATCAGAAGATTGCAGACTTATGTAGGCTACCTTAACTTGAACGTATATTAATTTCAGGACAATGTAAGTCGATTATTGACGGAATCAGAGATGGCGCTACTGATTTATACCCTAGAACAGTATAATATCAGACAAGGTAAGGAATGTCTAGTTATGATTCATTTAGCTGCATCTCCAGAACAATAAATAAAGGATATTTAACCATGATAAAGCACTCGCGCCATGTGGTTAGCAAAACAAGAAACTTGGATCAAGTTTGATGAGAGGTGATATTTAAGAGGCCCTCCAAATATTTATTTAAGCATGCAATTAAAAATAAACACCATATTGTCACACACTGCAGATTTTTAAAACCTTTTTAATTCTAGTGATCTTCGCAATGGCTGAAATTCCACTTAGATCTTCATTGTTTGGTAATATACTAATATGCTTCGTTTGATAATGTACTAATACTAAAATGCAATGTTTTTTTAAGGATCGTCAATATTCCGTCAGCAGTTTCTTTATTATAAGAAAGCAGCGTTTCGAGATCGTGCTCGAGAAGAGATACCACAAGATAAGTTGACTGACGAAAGATGTGTTTTTGATAAATTAGACAAGAAACATTCTGGTCGTATTTCATGGGAAGATTTCATCAACAGTGAAGCTATTAACATGCTGAGGAACAGACGCAAGGTAAGCATTGCGGATGTCTCGTGTGTTGTGGGTCTGTAGGTTCCAGTCTTTGTGGAGTCCTGTTTCTCAAGTGTTTTTACTGCTTGTATCCCAAACTTATTCTTCTGGTACCCAATCAACCATTATAAGCAACTGAGGAACGCTCAGTTCTGATGAAATGTTGTAAATATATTATTATGATCTGTGAATCTAACCCGTATCTGTGTTCCCCGTATATATGTCATCCTTTGAGTGAGAATTCGTTTTAATTGGTAAATAAAGTATGAAAGAATTTAATATTTGAATCTCGATCACTTGATAGTGAACCTTGAGAAACTATTCAAATCTTGAAAATCTATGCACCGTTTAACACATATACTAAAGAGTAATTTCCTGTTTACAACTCATTGCACAGTAATATTCTTAAGTATACCATTTATAATGGCGCCATCAGAGCCGCCATATTGGAACGGAAATAACATAACTGAAAAGGATACGTAAATATTATAAAGATATAAAACGGGGGTAATAATTAAAGATAATCGAATCCGGTTTTCATAATTGAAACATTCCTGTATCATACTATATCCGGTGACTGATGACACTTAGGAAAGTCTCGATATTAGGCCACCTCCTACTTATAAGTAAAAGAGTTTTATTCACATTTCACATACCTCTATTTAACACTGGATTTTTTATGACCGGTCCTTCAATTTTAAGTACATGTATATTATTACGTCTTCATTGGCTAGATTAGATCCCTTTTCCGGGATTTATTTTTTAACATAATATGCTTTCTTAAATTTTTTCTTGGCATGGTTTTTCTTACAACGGCGGTTCACAACAATTTGGACTTTTCATACTCAAATATATTTATACTGCCTCCTGGTAGTCCTCCTGTAACCATGACCTGACAGAACCATGTTCTTAAAATGTCTGTTATCAATACGAAATCTCTATAATATTTATCTTACAGAGAAAGTTAGTGAAGTTATTGACACAAGCTGAATTATTTCGATGTCGACAGAAATTTATGGAGTATGATCATGATAGAGACGGGGAGATAACTCGATTTGAGTCTTTGAAATCTCAGATGAAATCATACAGGTAAACAATCCGTTTTTCTGTGGTCTGTATTTGTGGTCTGATAGGGGGCGTTCTGATAAGAGTTGTTGATTTTGGCTTTCGGGAGCCATTGTCCATCTTCTGCTAGGCTCAAATCAGTTGTACTTTAAGTCCAACAGCACATTTCCGATATGACCTTTTAAAGGGACATTCTATTTTTTTGTAGGTTAAAACAATTTTGTGCTCAAATTTGTGAAAATTATACATGTGTCCTCAAGCCTTTAATTTTAAACGCCAAAAAAATTTAAAAACATTACTTAAGGTAAAGTCCGTTATACATTTTAGAAACTGTTAGAAAACTACTTACGAATTTGAGTAAAATAAACGCCTAATTGTAGAGAAATATGTCTCCTACGTATTCTTAACAAAGATACATTCAGTTTGATACATAGCATACTTTAGAAATATTTTCAGGTATAATTTAGGACGTTTTTGATAATGAAAACCTTTTACAAAAAAGCGGAATATCCCTTTAAGTAGGTTAGTAATTAGAAACAACTGGTGTAAAATAAGAATTGGTTTTCAAAGATAAGAAACAATGCTAGCGAAGGAAATACTTAATAAGAAGTGATCTATTATTTCAGTGATTTAAGTTGTTTTCCAACACCAACTCCCAGTAAACTATTGTACAGTAATGAAGAAATAGGAGGGTAAGTTTTAACTTTATTACATAAACGTTTTGTAAAATACATACAAATATATATATGGTCAATTCAGAAACAAGCTGGGCTTATTGTAAATCTGTCTTGACCGTTCTCTAAAAGCATAATAAGTGGAAAATATAATATAAATATAACTTTGATACTTTGATAAGCGTAGAATGAAATTCGCGGCTACACGGGGTGTATGCCGGGTTCATTAAAGCAGGAACCACTGTTCAACAAAATATGGGCTTATTGTTTTTTTTAATTTGAACAATAAATGTCAGAATAGGCATAATGAACTTCGTTTAGTATTATGTTAATCGTGTAGTATGTAGAGCTGTAGATCTCCTATCAATCAATCATTCTTGATCATGTTTATGTTTTATATCCTTTCAGGGTAATCGATTGGATGGAGTTTTTACAAGATCAAGCCATAACTGTTATAGCTTCTAGACGTAATTCATTCTGCAAGGAACTACCAAAGAATGCATCTGAGTCGCCCAAAATACCACCTAGGACACCGGAAGTAATAACACGAAAGAGAACTAACTTTGTAGATTCTGAAGTCAGAAATACACTCACTGAAATAGTTCCAGCTTTGAATACCGTAACTGTAATATCACCAGTTACATCACGATCAGCAAGCCCAGTTCCAATTGGAACAGTAGATGTTAAATCAGACACTCCAGCACAAACAGCACAAACAGCTCATTCCAATGATTCTAAGGTATCGATTACTTATGACCAGACCTTAGACGTACCTCCTCCTGTACTGTTGCGGTCTGGACGTAGTAAATCAGCCATTGTGAGATCTCGAGCAGAAAAGTCTCCAAACTTTTCCAAACCAGTCGTGAGATTAAACACAACAAAGTCTGTAGACGAGTCAGCTGTTGAAACTAATGTTTCGAATGGACATTTGATAAAATCGCCTAATATCAATCTGGTGGAAGAATCAGCACCACAACTTCTTCAACTTAAACACACTTCTGTCTGTGAGTCCAATACTGAAAATTCCCGTGACCAAAACGGAGGAGTGACAAACGATATTAATGAAAGCACAGCCATATTGCCAGAAACACCTGAAATTACACTGGACTCTGTCCCCAACACAGACCCCAAAGACTCTACTGAAACGGTCGAGAATAATTCCGATGATGGCGAAAGCATTCAAAGGCGTTCAGTGGAAGGAGAGGTAGATGTCGTTCGGCGATTTCCAAAATCTGCTAGGAACCACACAATATCAATGTACATTTATGAAAGTAACCGAAATACGTTTGGCAACGAAATTCGTTCAATTCGCAGACCTGTTTCTGTAGTTGGTTTCAAAATGGAGCCGACAGAAACCGTTTCCAGGCTGTCTATGAATCTCCGACGACCAGCATCTTCACCACATCACAGTATATTACCCATTATACGAAAAGAAATCAAGAATAATGGACTTCCTCCAAAAGAGCTGCCTAAGTCTTCTAACAAAGACCAAGAGAAAACGCCAAAACGTTCAAATAAAGAAAATGCGCCGCCAGCGAAAATGGAAAGCCCACGAACATCTGTGTCTAAATTACCATCACCACTAAAACAAAGTTCAGATATATCAATTAAAGAATATGACGTAGAAAGGCGCGGGAAAAAACGCTTGAATGATGACATCGTCGATTCAAAATGTGGCGGGAAATACAGAGCATCTGATAGCGAGGTTTTGAAAGCTGAGAAAGTGTCTAAAACAAACCGCTCACAAACTACGTCACTGTTTGTCACGAGAAATGAACGTGCTTTGTTGATAGACCAGAATGATAGACGACCTCTGTCTTTGGGATAAATGAACTGTATTTGATTTCACCATCGTCAAACTTGTAATTGATGTAATTTCCACGTTATCTCGAGAAGAATTGTAGATTTCTGAGAGTGTCAATTTTGGTGGTTATAATATTTTTGTAAATAGTTTTCTTGTCACAGCTATGCAAATTATCGTGACATCAACTTTTCATTGCGAAGAAGGACATTTGTGTCTTGGGATTTTTTGCATGTCTTAATTATGTTACATGTATTAAATATATAAATATATTATTTATATATAAACTTTTGAAATAACCTTTTTAGATAAAAAGCCATTTTTGCGTCGTTCATTTTTCTAGTCGACAAATACCTGCGATGTATTGAACGCTTTAGGCTACATTTGTATTTGTATTATGTATTATTTGAATAATTGCATTAAATTGTACCATATAAACTCATGCTGTATTTGAAAGAAAGCATCATACTTTCATTTGTGTGAATTGATACTTCCACTCTCTGTAGTTTCGGCTGTCACGTCGAATATACTTCGATCTTGTTCATGTAGGCCTGCGATGTATCACCACCATTGTCATCTGACCAGATATGGCTACAGCTAAGTTTCTTTACCGGAGATCCGATTGTGTTCCGCTTTTAATATTAGCTTTCTGAAACCGTGCAACTTTTTTTAATCCCCGTTTGGATCTGTCGCTGCTGGTGGATTTATCGATGACGAGTTGGTGTTGAAATCTACGCTCATTAACTGTCCCATGGGCCTAGAGTAGCAATAATATTGACAACTTTACAATTTGTGACAGTTATAAAATATAGTTGCAGTATAATAATTATATTGGTTCCACTTCTGTGCATTTATAACCGTCTCTACCAATCTTATAATTGTAGTCTTAGTTATCACAGTTTAGTACAAAACAACCTTTAACTTGATGACACAGACTACAATGTCTTGACATCCCAGTGAAAAACTGAAAGTATGTAATATATAAAATAATTATCAGATTAATTTGCTTGTTACAAGATATTAAACCTTGTAATTATTTCTTTATTACCCTTTGTCCACTTAATTTGTCACAAAAATCAAACTTAGGAAAAATACATTTTTTAAAGTCTTGACTATATTACTGATTTTGAGCGCTTTTTCGCGAATTGATAGTTACGTCAATTTTTCTTTCTGATACTGTTTGAACCAACCACAATCTTGTCAGAGCCCAAACATTAGTCTTTATGTACGCAGTATTGGTTTTGCGAACCCATGTTGAAACCTCAAATATTGTACACAACATTAGGCTGAAATAGTTCTGTTTTAATATTTCTTTCTCGCCCTATAATTAAGCACTATTTCAGATACAAGAACATTATCATTCGCTGGGATTACATACTTAAATTTAATATTTAAAAAATTTCATAAGGAAAAGTACCTTTCCTTATGAATGGTGGCATTATCTGGCCATTTTTTCGTGATTATAGTAATCACAGACATCCGACAAAAAAAATCGGAATATTAGAAATAGAAGCTATAATTCTAAACGATACACATACATAGAAAATAACTTTTGAAAACACATAGATTAAAACCTCCACATGTACACACAATTGGAACGTCTGCACTCTATTTTCTAGCTTTCTTAACAATTTAAATCTAATTAGCAATATATTAATGATGATTAACTTCAAAAGGATAAATTCTAAATTTTATCATAATGCAACAAAAGGTTGTAGGTCTAAAGTGCAATTGACATGTTGTGTTTTTAAAGGAATATGTCTACCTCACTGTCCTAAATATTGGTTTTAGACTACTTCAAAGGGTGAGCATGATTTGCTTCACTGGATTATGCTGATATGGTTTTCTTCGCGATCAAAGTACAAGAAGGATTTACACTTTACTAGAAAAGTTTGTTGATACTTACTAATAAGGGGGAATCTAAAGCAAAATTATTATACGTATTAAGTAACGGTGTATTTTTTAAGAATACGTCTAATATAATAAATATCTTAAACGGATTGTTAAGAGGTTTTCTAAATTTTGTGTGTATATCGGGAACACTGATAGCATCAATTTGCACCATTCCAAATTTAAATCATCAGACGCCTGTGTTTCCTGCAATTCCACTAAAACTAAGCGTTTAATGACGTCACTAAAAGTGAAGTGTGATAAGCATAATTTGCGATTAGTGACGTCAACAAACAATTAGTTTAAGTGGTATTGCAGAGCCACAGACATCGATTGAAAATAGGAATGGTTCAAATTGATGCTTTCAGTGTCCCTGATACACACAAACAATTTAAAACCTCTTTGCAATCCCTTTAAATATAAATCCTTTTGGTTATTATTATTATTTTTTTTTTTCGATTCTTTTTTTCACTAAATAAAACGAGCTAATTACAGGGAGATAATCTGCCTCAATTAAATTATTAATAATCATAATAATATTTATTTCATGCTGTTTAAAACACACACGTCAACAAATATTATCATTGTTAAATCATTATTAATATTCAAAATCGAAAATAGATCAGATGATAATCCCTTAATACCATCAGATTAGACGGTATATTACACAATAAACGCGTGCTTGATTCAAAACAATGGTTTGACGGATTCCATTCCCACGGTAAAAAGACGAAATTGAAAATTACAAGATTCGATTTGTCTGTCAATGGCCTAGTGAAGTGAGCAGTGTTTGTTGTTTAGGGATTGCAGAAGAACAGGGTGTGAAAATTAGGTGAAAATGAGGGCTGAAGATTAAGAGACAATATGTTCATCAACTACCGTACATACCCTCTAATCACCTGCCACAATATAATGAGGTGTTGACATTCAACCTACTGGAACCATCTCTACCTCCATCTCATTGGTTAATACAATCACGTGACTAGCATTAACCAATCGTGGTCGTTTGACCTTTGACATGTATACCAAAATTATCTGGAAGCACGTGTGGTAATATAATCCCGTGTGGTCAGAAATTTAAACTTATTATTATAGTTCACTCGGATTGCGCATTTCAATAATTTTGTGATTTAAATTTTCCAAAAGGACATTATGGATATAAGTTACTTAACAAGGTAAGTGGGATCGGACCTTTATTGTGTCATCGTACCTCAGCTAGAAAATGGAACTGTCAAACGTATATTTTGCAAAGATTCATGTAAAGATTTTGTATTAATGTAATTGTGGTCTGCTTTGAATCCAAAATATTTAAGATGTCATCATGTATAACTATATGGGTTTTGAAAGATTTCAATCCACGTTTCTGATGTTCACGTTTATCATGCAAGCTATCATGTATATATCAGTCCATAGTTGATCTGCTCTTTAGTTATTGATTGTATTGACCAAAAATAATAAAATATGTAAAATATAGATTGTGATTATATTTTTCTAAGATGTGAACGTTTTTGTTGTTTTCAGATGCGTTTTATTATTGGTTGGTATTATTTTGACGACAGAATTTGTGGAATCGAAGAAAGGTACGTTATTTTTATATAAACATCAGCTGTCATGCTTTATATAGGGCATTTAGCTGACTATGAAATCTTTAGATCACATTATTAAACTTTTTATTTGACAGCTATGCGCCCCATGTAAGTAACAACTCGTCTACCTTGTCAACACAACACCTGTATATTTTAAGCAAAACACTAGCTTGAATTACTCCAAGACGGTCAGCTGTAAAATCATACGCGGTTTGTATTTTCAACCATTTTGATCATATATAATCCATTGTTCTTTTATCCTCATTATCGTCTTAGTGGATTATCTCGATTATTGAAATCTGGTTGCTGATCACCCGACTCTAATATCAGATTGGACAATCTGCAAAATGTTTAGAATAAATGTAGATTGGACTACACCTTGGCGCAGACGGTCATCAGACCTCGTTCTTACAATTAAATGAATATTTAAACCGTTTTTGATCAAAGAATGTTTTTAAGAAGTCTAGACTTAAATCTTCAAGTATCAAAGTTGAGAAATTTAAATTTGTCGAATGTCTTGAACTTGCTAGTCCAGCGCTACCTTCAAACTATTTGTGAAAGCACAGTTTAACTTTTGACAAGTTTATGGTAAAATGATTGAGATAATAACATAGATTCACCAGCCCTTAAAATGAGAGAAACATGATTTTAGTGGACCCTAAAAGTTGATAGTTGGATGATAAGTCTGGTACATAAACATCAGTAGCTGATAAACATCGTAACAAAATACTTAAATACCCATATTGAATTCTATGGGGTTGGTCAACTCATTGTATTATCAGTCTCCATCAATTCCTCTTATCAACAAGTTTGCAGACGTGCAATCAGCAATGACGTCGAAAGCTTTTAACAGCAGACGTTACAATTTACAAAGCGGGAAAATTCTAATTGAATCTGACAGATCTGCACATTATCAAATACAACGCTTATCAATGATGGTTGTCGAGGAATTCTCTATTTCTTAGCAACCAGAATACTTCTCATTCATGTCATTTTATAACTTAAACATTGACATAACTTCAACGTACACCGACTTTACAATCCTTGTGGACCCCCTATAGGCTATTACATCGTCTGTTTACCATTATTTACAAATAACATAATCGTTATACTCATTGAAAACTTCATAGGGTTCTTTTATTTGCATTTCGACTGAGTTTATGAGGCTTTTATTAAATCGTGCACAGTCTGTTTGTGTTGACCCCTTTTATATGGTCTTTAACGTTTCGACAGAATAGTATCAATATGTATGATCAAAGTACAGCTTGTATATATTGCATATAATGGTCAAGGACCATCCTTGTGAAGACCTAACGAGCATTATTTTAGTCTGAAATATACATAATCATTTCTTTTTTTACAGAAACACCAAAGTGGATCAAACGATCTTTGAAAAGAGAAAGAATCCGGCATCACCATGGCGGGTTTATGAAAAAGCAATCCTCAGAAAGTTTTGGTAAATATTTATTTTATTTTTTTGCTATGAAAGAACCCTTCTGTTGTGAACAGGACACCTGTACAAATTAAACGATACATGGCAAATTCATTAACAAAATATTAGAACAATAAGGGTCTAAGATGAGTACCTTGCGTAACTCCCTATTGTTCTCAAGTATAGCTTATCGTTATTGGGTCATTGACGAGATATGTAGCGTCTTTAATATTTGATGAAACTCTCCAAATTATATCTCAGTAATTCACAAAGTAAAGTTCCCATACTTTAATTGTAATTAGAGGATAGTGTCAAACAGGTTTTATCGACCCTTTAAAATAAGACGTTATGCAATTTTGTGGACAGCTCGGTTTAAGAAATTATTAAGCAAGTATTAATAAAGATAAGACGACGAACAACGCATTTTTCCTAAAATGTAGAGTCATATAAGAATAGCTATGCATCTAATAACCCTATTTTCTCTTTAATTAAAGATGTCCTTGAAAATTTGATGTATTTATCAATGATTTAAATACAGTTGTTAATTGAATTATAAGTAATGAGGATTAAATTGGAACCAGTTAAAAGTAATAAATTGACGACGATGTTTCTCTCAGTTTGGCAATGTTGATTTATGCCCATGTTGACTAGGTGTTGACTGACTGAATGAATAACCCCGTGTCTTGGCCTATCATAAATGTCAGAGACCCTTAACGACCCCCTATGGACCCTCACAGTTAACGATACCATGGGATTTGAAGCGAAGTAACAGAAGGAGATAGGTTCTTCCACGAAAAATGGTTAAAATAAACTTTGAAGCATTCAATTTTGAAAGAACTGGCAAAGCGGACAGTTGATACAAATCGCCCGGAACGGACCTCGCCTGGGGGATAAGCGGGTCATTGAAATTACAACAAATGACAACAAAGTAGAACACAATATTAATTGTTCTCAACCCCTCCCAGAAACAATAATCCCTCTTACCCTTCTTTGGTCACTATTATAGTTTTTGTACATCAACACCTTCGGACAATTATGAATAACCTAATTAGACTCCCCGGGGCAAATCAAAACTAACAAATCCCCTCCCACACTATTGTAGGTTTTATTATGAGAAAACTAACGTTTTAAATCCCCTTTACCATCAGAACTATTCTTATCCATGTATAGAATTTACTGACCACCTTTAAATCTGCTCGTTAGTTTTCCATCACAGATTTTCAGCAATGGACCGAATCGTACATCCATTTTCATACAAATTATTGAAGTACTTTAATTTTATTTTCAGACAATCCACAAGCCTATAAAGCTACCTGCTGTAAAAATGGTGGACGTTGTATCATGGGGTCATTTTGTCATTGTAAAAAGTAAGTAAATAAGTTCGTTTGAAATAACCATCAACGAATAAATAATATGCATTATGCTATTGGAATATAAGCAAAAAGAAGCTAACCCCAGAACTTCCGAAATTCGGCCCGGTGTCGATTATCAACACTTCTAACCCTGTGCCTTTTTTCTTTAGAAATTATTATGGACGATATTGTGAACATAAATCAGATAATAAGAATTGTGGTAAATTTAAACATGGTGTTTGGTTGAAATCAGGATGCAATCTATGCCGATGTTTTGATGGTGTATTGAGCTGTATTCCTAGAGCTTACAGTGGTTGTGGTGAGTAGGATATTTGATTTGGCTTGACAACAACAATTGGACGTTAAAATAGACAAAATGACATTGAGTGTGTACCGGTTTATGTTTTTGGAGTAATAATCTCCAGAAGGGTGGTTTGAATCCCCGGAGAGAAGACAGCTCATTACGAATCAATGGCGGGGTTAATATAGGTGTTGTATTACTGGATTACGCAGTAGGGGCTAGGACTGGTTCCTTTATCAACAGTAGTAGAGTTTCAAGTTAAATAGCCAGCTCCTGTTAAGGGAAACGGCTTAGATGTAGAAAGTTATACATCTTCTCGGCCTTAAAGGTATCAGGTATACCTTTTCAACGACCAATGTAATATCCATGCATGCTATACTATTGATGATTTAGTATGTTACTGTATATAAACTCTGTGGATTACAGTTTCATGAAAATCTTCTTTTCCTATCATTCCAGATGACAAGCCAGTACATATTCGAGATAAATATAATCCCGACGACGAAGTTTATGTCTTCCCTACAGAAACAGAAGACAAAGTCGAGGAAGATTCCAATTACTATGACGTCACTCCATCTGATGCTGTCAACATTTCAAAATCCTGGATCTCAGTATTGTCCGCTGTGGTCTTAAGCTTCAGAATCATATACCGTTGAGATTCACAATCTAAAAGCACATGAGTCCATGGTAGGGTATGGTCCAAAACCTTGAAAACGTTCAGATGTAAGATTGAAAGGGTTATTCGAACCAGCCGAGAAGAATGAGATGTAGTAATAGGAGACAAGTAACGAGAACTTAAAGCAAATTGAAGTTTCAATATAATATGTGAAAAAGCTTAATTGAAATAACAAAATCGTTTCATTTAAATCCAAACAAATCTGTTAAAAATAACAGTATTACCAAAATGACCTGTCAATAGAATTAGTGTAATTCGAGCCAAGAATTCCAGGGAGGTCAATATGCATTCCGTCCACTATTTGATATGTTATAATGCATTGTTAGTGCCATTTATTTTAAAATATTGTTTGTTATGATAGATAGTTATGTAAATAAACTAATTTATTTGTTCACTTTTTCAATTGATCAATTCAATGTACATAAGAACTGTATAGGGGACTGGTGGGGATTAGAGATGCAGTAAAAAATAAATACACCGATATTGCGACATAGATATACGACTTTGTCATGTGGGACCATTTAGGTAAAGTCAACCACCAGCGATCGATTATAAACTGGCAGACAGACGATATTGACCGTCAGCTGGGGTAAATGTGCGCTATATACACGCAAATATACGATTTACAGATGTCTGCCTGTTAATGTACGCAGGACTTCAATATACGACGTACGGCATCTGACGAGGGATTATCGATGAAAAAGAAAATAGAAGCTGATGCACTGGTCAGGATACTATTCACATCTTTTATTTTCTACTGACTGCATGTCCCTAATCCCACAAATTGGTAATCGCACTGTAAGTAACCGATCGAACTACATCAGTTAAACATCACGTTAGAAAATAAAGGACCACGTCGTCGGAGATAGGAAAATTATATCTGAATAACGTCCGTTAACGTCAGTTGCCAGTCGCCGAGCAATGATCATAGATGGAATATGCGCATTTCGCTCATGTCGACCACGACCACTAATTGTGGAGATTTAGTAATGTAAACTCATCATGTATACATAGTTCTTTTTTTTATTATAAACATTCTATAACATTAGACAGTGCAAATAAGGTCCTTAATTATTGGCAACATAGATTCCCATCTCTTGTATGATACTATCTTCAGACCAAACACATAAAGTAGGAAACACTACAGTCCTCATCTGCGAAGCAAATTGACATTTCTTTTTAGATATTTTCAGCTTCCAAAACCTGATGACATGTTGATAGTTAAATTGACTTCACATTGATGAAAACTCAAATACAGGCTAGTTAAATAAAATAAGCGTGTAATTATTCAGTGTAAACTTTCAAAATTCTCAATGCGAAGTCATTCTCATGCATTTATGGAAATCTAATAAAACAATCTGTGATCACAATTATAGGGGATATTTACAATAATTGCACATTATCTAGTTTGCTAATATTTCAAATTGAGTGTGTATGAACAGTGACAGAGACAAAGGGGGGCAAGAGGGGTCAGCTGCCCCCCTCACAGCACCGAAAGCAAGTTTTTCGGGCAAAAATCACATAATTCCCTCCGTAAACCTGGCTCCGCCACTGTGTATGAATAAATATTATTTTCCATTCAGATAGTTATTTTAAATTAAGTTGTTTATTTAGTCAACTTGTTGATGTTGAGATTCACACTTCAGTACAAACAAAATATTGTCTATAATAACACATCAAAAACACAACAATGATCAAATAATACCCTTATGTGAATAATATCCTATTTTTATATGACTTCATGACTTAGTTTCATAGAAAACTTTCAATACCAGCTTGCCATCAAAAGTCTTTCATCTTTGATTTATTTGGTTTGTGTATCACATGGATGTGCTTGCTTGAAGATGGAAACTTGCCCTACAGATATTAAACTCCTATGATAAATAATGACCCATGTCAGCGCTTTACGCTCTAGACTAGTGCTTTTTGATCAAGTCTAGGTACATTTCTTACCATTCTTCTAAACGATTGTTACATGACTTAAGAAAGTGCTTTACAACCTGGATCAGATCTAAATGATATTGACCAGTGCTTCACAAGCTTGACCAGAGACTCAATATATAGGACTTACAGGACTTAGATTAGTGCGATGTGACTTAAATCATACAATAGTAATCAATTGTGGACCAAGCCAAGGTGATGCTTTTGCTTCAGTGTTTAAAGCTAAGCTCTTCGGTCATTTATGCAGTTCATTGTTTTTTGTGCCCATCATATAAATAATGATATAAACCAGTGCTTGTAGTAATATAATTCATAAAATCCCATCCTATCACACTAACAATGATATTAAAATGCATTTCAAAAAGTAATATATCTGTACATAATATACTTAACAATACAAGATCTATATTAATAATCACCCGTTATTTTAAATTCAAAATCATCGTTGCTGGATTTTCTAAATAACTTTTCCATTTGTTGGAGAACCTTGCCATCGTGGCTCCATCTATTATTCTATGATCAGCTGACCAACTAATATTCATTATGGAAGATTTTATAACGTTGCCATGGTAATCAAACCTTGGTAATAACTAGAAAATAAAAGAATAGGTTACATTAACTTCAAACAAACCTTTGGAGAGTGTGCTTAGCTATACATGTCTGCAATCATAATATTTCTGGTTCATGAAATAGCCCGTTACCGGCTGACTCACTTTTTCAGCTAAATTGAGATGCATTAAAGGTAACTTAGTTAAATATGCAACAAGATATCAAATATTTACCTGTATTTTACCAATAGCACCTATAGCTACTTGTGGAGGTTGTATCACAGGTTTTGCGTATGTACCACCAATCTATAAATAGAATTGTCAAATTTAAGGTATATTCTACAAGTTTATTTTCAAACTAAAATGCATTGCTTTGTTTATCATTTCAGATTAGAGTTATAGAATCCTTTTTCGTGATATAACTCAGTTTTTGTGGATCTATCAAACTTTCATACAAAAAAAGTGTGACACGAGCTAGCTGTAAAAATTGAACAGCTATCCTCACACCCAATAACAATTCAATTAATTGCAAGGATATGCTTACCGTTCCTATATTGGAGAGACTGAATGTACCATTTGCTACATCATTGGTCCCAAGTTTCCCTGCCTTGCCTAGTTTCTGTAATCTATTTAATTCCTCGGCTATTTCAAATATACTTAAAGACTGGACATTTTTGATATTAGGAACATTTAAACCTTCTGGTGTATCCATAGCAACACCTATATTATGTGCAGCCTAAAAAACAAAGAAAAGCAAAATAGTAACAAACTAACATCATGCCATACGTATCAAATTCAACAATCCTCATCAGGACAGCCTATTTAAAATTGGGGCTAACTTCCCAAAAAATAACAAAGGAGGATTTCTAAATCTTTTGGTTTACCATTTATAACCAAGCAAACTACCAGCTACTATCTATTGAGAATAGACAGGTCGTTCTTGAGTTGAGGACAACATTAAAACTTGATGTATAGCAATACCATGATTCAAACCTATTTACCTTGTAAGTTACATTTTGACATTTTCCATCTAAACTGGAGTTTAATATTGGAAAATCAGTCAAAGCCATTGAAGCTGCCTGTAAAATACAAACACAAATTCAAGACGAATATGTGAAAGGTAAAAAAACACCAATTAATTGGAATTTAATAAATTTAACTTCAATACTGAAGTTTTGATCAACTTTTTCACCCTCCACACATCCTTGTTTGTTGTATATCATCACAAGATTTGCACTGACTACAATATATTTTTTGAATATAATAAACAAACCATACCATACCTTTATAAAGACAGGCATATATGAGAATTTTATTCCTTGTTTCTCAGCATGATGCTTAAATTCTCTCCGTAATGCCACAAGATTGGTCAGATCCACATCGTCATAGTAACCAAAATGTGGAATTAGTAATGTCTCTTGCATAACTTTAACCATGGCTTTAGTTATACCTCGTATTGGTTCTGTTCTATCTTTACCCAAAACTGGTCGTGATTTGGGAGTCTCAGTAGGGGCAACACCAGGTGGGCTGGCAGCTGGCTTCACAATCTTAACTGGGTCAGGACTTGATGCAGCCTTCTGGCCTGAATACTGTGGACCTGTAAAAACCATCATGAAAAATAATTCACGTCATTATTTTTAGACAACTCAGAATGTCTTTTTTTCAGCTCCCTGAGATTGGTAACTGAAAACAAGTAGAATCATACAAATAAATTAACTTACTTTCTAAATGTATGAGAACATCCTCTTTCATAATTCTACCATCTTTTCCCGTTCCTTGTATTTCACTCAGATCTAACTGAAGAATAAAAATGTTATAACACATAAATATAATATAAAGGGCTGAAGAAAAGACTGCAAAACTTTCAAACTTTTCATGCCTTAAAGAGAATTCCCAACTACCATAGGAGTACAATAGGGACACTAAAAATAACACAATTACGCATAAAAGTTTAACCAGAGATTGTCTCCATCATCATTACAATGATAAAAAATCTATACTGAGAACCCAGGCTCTATTTTCAAGGCCATAACCAAATTCTATGACTTTATTTTCATTTGATTCCTCCCCATAAAAGTCCCTCAGAAGTCTTAAAAGGAGATATGCAGCTTACATTATGTTCTATGGCTAGTTTTCTAACAGCTGGTGTAGCAAGAACCTTAACTCCAGCAGCTACATGACTTATTGATCCATCTTTAGTATCAATATCAGCAGTCTGGTCAACATGGTCCACTGGTGCTAAAATAAACATCGTAAATATGTTAAAACTACTTCCCTTAGTAACATACATATCTAATGTGGAAGTATCTTTATCATAATATTATTTTACTGTCTAAATTATTATAAAAATAGACCACTACAACTTCTATGTCACCTCTTACTGTATCTTTATCTTAATCTACTGTCTAAATTACTTACCACAAACATCACAAACTTCTATATCTATTAAAGTATTTATATAATAATGTTAATTTACAGTCTAAATAACTTACTTGAACATAACCATCAACTACTATGTCTAATAATGGAACTATTTTTTAAGGTTAATTAACAGTCTAAATATCTTACCACTAACATCATCATCAACTTCTATATCTAATAATGGATTACCAACAAGGGCTGTGTCATCTGCATTGTAATGTAATTTTCGTATGATGCCATCAAAGCGACATGTTATTGTCACTGAAGCTTTGTCACTCTTGACTTCACAAACAGGGTCAAACTGGGAAATTTTATCTCCTTCCTGTACAAACCTAGAAACAAGTTCCACACATAGAGTACTCTAACCATTTGATATTAATAGAACTTGTTCTACATGGCATTTGGCATCACATGGCAGTTCCCTGAATCTACCTAGGTAATGAATAGAAGCAATACGTGTATCTTCAAGAGAAAACCCTCTTTACTTTACTTTGGTGCTTAACTTTTAACAAGATAATTGATAACTGCTCACCATGATAACGCTCAATGAGTACAAACTTGATATGAAAAATAAGAGTTACAGTTGGATTCATCTGCCTTGGTTATCAGGCACCTTATTCCCTGAGGTGTTAAAATGCATTTAAATGAGTCTTCTGAACCCAAACTGATATTACAGGAATATATTTACCATTCTAACAATGTGACTTCTCTGATTCCTTCACCAATATCTGACAATATAAACTGTTTAATACCATAACAAGCTGGAATATAAATTAATAATCATAACTGAATCTACTAGGTGCTCCATCATGTTTGGTAGCTTGTGAAGAAAACAATATAAGGTGATAACCTTCACAAACATTTCCAGAAATAATAATGCCAATTTCATTGACAGAGGTTCCAAGTCTGAAGCACAAACAGCATCTTTCTTTCATATTACGTCTTTGACTTGAAACCTGAATTCCACAATCTCTCTGATTTTAGTTCTTCAATTGTGCTACTTTTGCAGTATCACTTCGCTTCAACTGTAAATAAGTGCATTACCACCATAATTAGTACTTACCTGAAGATGAATGAAAATTTCTTGTGGAAGTGGAAGTAAAAACAGTTTTTCTAACTGAATTAATTGCAGAAGTCTGACATAAAGAGCATTTCTGTACCAGTCTTCCTGTAGTTCTACCATGTGCCTTAAAATAAAATTCCAATCACATTAGTATACATCAATAAGGAAGCACCCCTGGGAAATAAACTATTGATGCTCTTCTTTCAGTCGTCAAATAATCAGTTATTTCAAAGCATGGCAATACTTCTCACATGTAGTTGTCTTTATTCAAGGGTTTATCGGTAAAAAATCATAACTTTATGGAGATCAATAATGAAATATGCTTGAAATGTCCAGTTGATATGTGAAAATATTAATAGCCAATGTCAACAGATGGTTTAGTTTTAATCATAAGCCTATTGATTGAATTCTGCATTCAGTGACAATAATTTAGTTGGTATCTCCCTTATAAAATACCAAATATTATACATCTTTTTCTAACATACTCCACTCTGGATGAAAATAAAAACCTAGAAAATTAGGATAATTTTGTATAACAACTTTAGCTACCAGCGTTTAAAACATTTTTCAGAATCTGATTGCAAAAATACCGAAAGTTTTATAGCCCATTCGAAAGACTAGACATTTTGTCTGCCCCTGCATCCTGCATCACTTACAAGGAGAAGTCAAGTTGCAAACTTGGGTATTATCTCCTAGCTGACAGAGGACAACACATTGTATAATGTATGGTCACCCATGTAGATAATGAATCTCAAGTTTAAAGAAATTTGCATAATCAATATAGACTGACATACAATTACAAAAATCAGTATTCTTTGTAGGTGGCAAGATAGACCTGGTCCGGGAGGAGACCTTATGGTCAACCATAATGGTTACACCACAGATTTTCGTAAGAAGTGGGAATAATGCATGAATGAAAACACGGTGTAAATTAATGGATCAATGTCATGATGAAATCAAATTTCAGAAAGAAGGAAAATTATGAAGAATGTTTTCCATAATATCTCCATCACCTATATGTCATAATGCATTAGGTCCATAACAATGGATTTCTAAGACACCGCCACACGTGGGTATGTAAATGATATTTCGTGTCTTTTCATACATACCGTCCCTCGAATCCTTTTTACACAGGCTTGTAACGCTCTTCTGGATAATGTCAATGCCATTTTGTATTAGGCTGAGTTTGATTAATCAGAGCTGATGTAGAACAATTTGGTTTATCGTTAATGTCATAGAGAAATAAGACTGGATAACGGAGAACTTCAACCCGGTTATCATGATGTAGTAAAATCAAATCCAGCCCTCTTCCGAGTACCTGTCCAGTCTCGATTATCAAGAGAAATTCTAGAAGTATCGACAGTAGTCTGCCCTTGATTTTGTTTTTTTTTGGAATTTTACAATTTTAATCATTTTCTCTTCAAAATGTGACCACAATTGTTGATTGACATGGAAAAGTACGAGAAAATACGTGTGGTTGGTCGAGGGGCGTATGGGTAGGTTCTATTCAAACATCTTTAAGTTGCTTGAGCGGAAACCAGAGAAGAAGAAGAGTAACAGAGGGGGGTGGGGGGGGGGGGGGCACAAATAGAGAGAGATTTCTGGACGTTTACCACGTCTTGCATAATACTTTGTTTTTATCAGAGCAAGTCTTGCTTGCTTGATGATTAACAGCTTGACTCTAGTCAAAATTTTATTTTTCAGAATTGTTCATCTATGTCAAAGATTGAGTGATAAGAAGTTATTTATAATAAAACAGATTCCTGTTGAACAGATGACAAAAGATGAAAGACAAGCAGCGTTAAATGAAGTGAAAGTTTTGTCCATGTTAAATCATATTAATATTATAGAATATTATGAGAACTTTCTAGAAGATAAAGCTTTGATGATTGTAATGGAGTATGCTCCAGGTGAGAGATTCTGATATTTACTAGTAAATGTTGGAACTGACCTTATTAAAGTTCTTTATAACCAATGTGATATATGTCAATCAGATGCCTATTAAATGTTTAGTTATCATTTCTCTTGCTGATAAATGTATCAGTGCCTAGTATTTTCTTGATGATGAAAATTTATGAAGATAAGATAACTAGAAAAACTGTCTTCATGACTTCATTGCCCACTGCTTAGCTTAGTCGATTTTCTCCTTGACATTTAGTTTCAGAATGATATGAAGGTTATGTTCAATTTTGATATTTTGAGCTGTAATTTTAGGTGGAACATTATTAGATTATTTACAGAGTAGAAACGGTCAGCTACTGGATGAAGAGGTAATTAATATAGATTGATGTTTTTTTGTGTTTGAAAGGTATAAAAGAATGCTGGTATTAAACTTGTTGAAACTTTTAAGTTGTTCATAACTATTGAGAGTAAAAACCAAATTTCTTAAATGGTTCACTAAGGTGCATCAATTATTTTTCAGTGATGTAAATTATGTATGATTACAGGAAATTTTAAAGTTTTTCGCTCAGATGTTGCTATCTCTACAACATGTTCATTCCAAACAAATTTTACATCGAGATTTAAAAACACAGAATATTTTATTGGATAAAAAGAAGGAATTGGTGAAGATTGGTGATTTTGGTATTTCTAAAGTTTTAAGTAGCAAAAGTAAAGCTTTCACTGTGAGTATACCATTTAATTTATATAAAGATTTTATGACACTCAACTTGTCAAATAAGTCGAGTAAAAAGTGATATCTCCAGAGACAGATGTGACGTGACAGACAAATTCAGAAGTGAATTTATGATAAATTAGGATTTGTTACAAGTTTTAAACACAAACTACAGAATGAAACTTTGTATTAGATAACAACTTAAAGCTCGATTTCCACATGATGTCTTCAGAAAATAAAAAAATTGAAAAAGAAAATAAAGTTCTGTATTTTGATAAGAAATATCCTAAAGAACCTGGTATGAGTTAAGTAGAATAATCTTGTATATTTTCAGGTTGTAGGAACACCATGTTATATATCACCAGAATTATGTGAGGGAAAACCGTATCCTTTATTTCTCTGTTGGTATAAAAACTTATATCAAAACCAGAAGAAAGGGCCCATTTGCATATTGCATGAAAATTTTAACCTTTAGAGTGAGACTGTTGGGTAATCCGTTTTAGAAATTCTATATATTCTATAGAATCTTTAACTCTGGTAAAGTTATAATCAGAAGAGTGATATCTGGGCTCTAGGGTGTGTATTGTATGAGTTAGCTAGTTTAAAAAGAGCTTTTGAGGCCACAGTAAGTATACCACTATTACTCATGTACTTCTCTGACAGTTCTGCAAGTTGGACAATTCCTGGTGATACTTACAAATTTGGTAGAATTTAACTTTGTCAGTGTGTTGAATAACGTAGAATGACAAGGAGAAGACTACAGACCATACCTTTTGGAAATCCCACTATATGTAAATTGTAAGATTAGAGTGCTTGTTGCTGCTTTCTGGGCTCTTGGTGCACTTTTCAATAAGTATGCAGTATCACTCCCTTTCCTTTCAATTAAAATACAAACTCTTAATAAAGCTACCCTCTTCCATTTTCAGACATTACCTGCTCTGATATTAAAAATAATGCGAGGAACTTTTTCTCCAATATCTGATGTCTATAGTGTAGAGTTACGTTCCCTGATATTAAGTATGTTACATCTGGACCCTAATAAACGACCTCATATAAACCAGATTATGGCTCAACCAATAGTTATTAATGCACTGATGTATTTACATACTGATATGGGGAGTGTGCCTTGTACAAGAATTTGTCGTCCATTGTCAAACATGCCATCTTCATCAAGGGGAAGAACTGCTGTCAAGGGAGGTAACTCAGCTAGAGGTAGGTCACTTGTCTAGTTCCACATCGTTTCGATTGTAATCTGTCAAAACTGTTTCTGTTTTATGGATAAAATCATCAAACTTTCTACTGAAAGCAATTCAAAATAAGTACCAATTAGATATATTTTCAATATTTTGAAACATACATTCCAAATTCTCCTTCAGTTCCTTATCTTCAGACATATTAGGCCAGATTTATTTTGTTATTTGTCATATATTAGATATAATGTTTATATATTACAGAAGGAATACCAGTAAAGATACAAGCATTAAGTACAGTATTTAGTTGGGGAGGAGGTGTTAATACACCTATCAAACTTCCTCTACCGAGTAGTGAGACCCAAGTAATACAAGTCTCTACTGGTCGAACTCAGAAAGCTGCTGTCACCAAAAATGGACGACTGTTCTTCTGGGAGGTAAGAGGCTTTTCCAAACATTTTTGGTTGACATTTCAGCATACACTCTCCTTGAAGAATGTATAAAAAATGTATCTCGTGCGAATTAGATTCTGCTGTCTTCTTTTGTTAAGGTTTTTTTAAGTAAAAATAAAAATTTTTTAGATTAGATTTAAGCTTGATTAACGTAATTCCAGAGTTCTGGTGTAAGTTCTGAAAGTATTATACCAGGAGCAGTAGATAGTGGTACCAATATACCAGTATATGTACCACGATATCTGGAGGGCCAGGCTGCTGTTACTATACATCATGTAGCTTGTGGAGATCTGTTTAATGCTTGTCTTACAGGTAGATATGTAATATGTAATATTCTAATCCTTACTTGAAGTTTTCACTTTCAACATTTGAGGAACTGATAGCTCTATCTATTATAGAGAGTGGTATAGACCTGGATTATTCAAAAGACAACGTGGGCTACTCTTTGTTACAATAAATGTATACTATGAGACACTGGAGGGGAGGACATGTTCCCAAAAGTCAAATACTATTCCTTGTATTTTATACTTAACTGATATCATTAATTGAGAATTTGTATTTTGCAGATCGAGGTATATTGATGACTTATGGTAGTGGAGCTAATGGATGTTTAGGCCATGGAAATTATCAAGATGTTGCTCAAGTACGTTAATTTGAATTTCTTTATATCTGTGATGTGGTGGTTTAAAGTCATTTCCTATGGATTTTTAAAGATCAAAATAACAAAACATTATGCAGGATATACATGACCATAATTGATTGAGGGTCAAGCTGGTAGAATTGACAGTTAACACTATACATTTGATTTACAGGCTAAAATAGTAGAAGCTTTACTAGGATATGAGGTAGTACAAGTATCATGTGGAGCATCACATGTATTAGCTGTAACCAATGAACATGAAGTTTTCTCGTGGGGTCGTGGAGACAATGGTGAGTTGGTTTATTGCCCTTGACTTCTAAATACATCAAAATTAGCTTGTGGACTATGGAGTTTAGATTTCTTTGAATTTTGGTGAAATTTTGAATGCGGATATATATTGGTGAGCTCATGGATTACTTTGGAATTTTCAATTAATACTTTGTGGGTAAGAGACACTTTTACAAGAAATTGTTTGTTTGGTACTTTTATGAAATGTACAACAAGCTTTTCATCTAGAAATGGGAAAAGTCTTGGTAGCCCTGCAAGAACCTGGAGATATTCTATGTCATAAATTTGACTACTTCCAGGCAGATTAGGTTTAAACAACCAAGAATCTTATCCTTGTCCTCAAGAAATACCTATAGCAGGTGAAGAGATGTTACCAAGTCATGTTTATTGTGGAGTTGATTGTTCTATGATAATCACTCAAGATGGTCAGTTATTGGCTTGTGGAAACAACAGGTTGGTAAAAGAATAATAAACTATTTTTTTAAGATGTTTGAGAATTAGGTCCATTACACCAAAGTGACATTCAGCCTATCAGAATATCAAAGTGTACTAAGATGGTTGGTTTACTATTGTCATAGCTGCTCATATTAGTGTGCAGATGTTTTACATAGTTTCTACATGGACCTGTAATTATGTTAAAAGAATTGGATTACTTACTATGTAATCATTGATAAAGATATAAATGTATTTTACAGATATAATAAGTTAGGTTTAGATGTAATAGATGAATCTGGTACCAGTATATCTACTGTAGAAGAACAAACAGTATTTACACCAGTCAGATCCTATCCTATTACTAATATTAAAGTTAAACATGTAGCTCTTGGTACATCTCATTCTGCTATTCTATCAGGTACGTTGGACAATGTTTAAATTCTACAGACAAAAATTTTGAAAATCTAGATGATTTATGTGTTCAAAGCCTACAATCTTTGTTTTATGGTCAATTACTGATGACCTATTATACTGAATTCTTACCAAACATATAATCCTCATTGATCGCTTTTGCATAAGTGTTAAGATTTGTAATGTTAAGATTTGTAATGTTAAGATTTGTGTCACTTGAAGACTAGAGATGTGTGATAGACTATAGCTATAGTAAAACATCAGGGTTTATAAACATTATGTATACATATATCAATAGTTTTGATATTGTAGAAGAAGGAGAGTGTTATATGTTGGGTACTAATCAATTTGGACAACTAGGATGTGATGATACACTGTTACCACGACAACCATATCATATTACACTGTTTAATGATAAAATACATACACTAGCTTGTGGTGATACATTTACAGTAGCAGCTTTACAGGGTAACTAGTTTTCTTTTTATCTTATATTATTAATCAATGATTTTAACAAGACAATTGTGTTGAAATATGTTGCTCTGTCTGAATTTTGGTGTCCGGATTTCGGTCACAGTTGTGTCTTGTACAATCAACATGGAAAAGATCTCACACAAACCAGGCCCCTATGCTTAGCAGACTGAAAGGCTCTAGATTGTAGATACCATATGATGGCAGTCTTCATTAGCTCTGCATGATGTAGAACAGTAAAATGCACGACCTTATTCTATTTTCTAGATGGTGAAGTGTACACATGGGGTAAAGGGTCACGAGGTAGACTAGGACGTCCAGATCAACAATCTAATTTACCAATGAAGGTCAATATAACTGGTGAAGAACCCTTTCAAGTTGTTTGTATTTCTTGTAGTCATGGTAACACCTTACTGGCTACTAAACGTAAGTACTAAAATTTTTGCGTACTTGTTCAGCATATTGTATATGTTGTATTTGAAGTGGTAATACAGACTTTTATGAAGCCATCTTATGGTTATCTTATATGTTTTGTGCAACCTGTGTCAATTAAATATGTTATTTTCAATTTGACATTATTCGTTGCTTTTTTGTCCTAATGATATTTTTGTTTTTTCATATTTCAGCTGTACCAATATCAGAGAATTCAAGAGACTGAAAGTCCATATTTATTTTTCTTCAAATTATGGGCTAAGCTAGCTGGCAGGTTGAGAAGTGAACATTTTGGTATAATATTATATTCTATAAATAACATTATATAGACCACAGACTCTTACATAGAGAAACCAAGTTGACCAGCTCAGTTAAAGAGTTTCATCATGTGTTTTAGAAGGCTGAGCATAAACAGAATACTCAACTCTAGTCACGATCTTGAAGTTGTGCTTGAAATGATGTATGAATGAAAAATGTACATGAGTGATGCCATACCTTATAAACATCTGGCAATATTGAAGGGTATCATTAGATTTTGAATTTCATATCAGAATTCTAATTGTTGATAAAAGTATGTCCGTCCATTTTTTATATAATATGTTTAATACATCACATCAACTATTTTATTGATGTATTTTTTAATGTTTTATTATTCTATTGTTTAAGAAATTGTATGTTTTGTTAGTGCAATATTAGGTCTAGTCATTATTAATTAAAATACTTTTTATTAAAATCCTTGTTTGATTTAATATTTTCACTCTAATAAAGAGAAATTGAATTGTCCACCAATGTTTTGAAATGGTATTAGTGTTGGTTCTTTCAGAAGAGTTCACATTGTTCTGCTGTTTATCTGTCGCAATTTGTTATAGCGTTGAAATGAAAACTAAATCTAATCTTTCAACGACAATGTCTTAATTTATTCCATGGTACTTTGTAGTTCATATATTTTCTAGGCATATTTATTGCATATTTAAAAGGAAAGAAAACATGTATATGATAATATATTTATTGCACTATATAAGCTTATACTTAAATATGAATGTAATTCATTACAAATGACAAGGAAAAGACATATATACTTAAATATTATCGTGGTTCATAAGGAAAAGGAACAAAACAATGCTAAAAAAAGGACAGAAGAAAATATAAAAGTTGCTAAAAATGCAAATTACAATAATGTTAACAGAAATGTATTGTTGCTTTAACAGGTATCGATTTGTCAGATATAGCTATAACATTAGATGGATTAGCAGTTATAATATATGTCTCTACATTAAAACAATTCTAAGAAATGCTATAAAAAAACTAAATAAAAAGTCTATCTTAATGTAAAATTTAAAGCATTTATACCACATGATATTAAAATTGAAAGAACTATGTAAAATATTCAATAAAATTAATAGATATCACATTATTTCTTAAAATATTTAAAAACTTTAACCAGTGTTCCAGTTAGTCAACTTTTAGTTGGAATATTGATACCTTTAATTGTGGTTCTATGTAATACGCGTAAACCAACTTGTGATGTAGGATATTGTGTTTCTGGGGTGGCTTCGTGTCCTACAGCTAAATTATCAGATATTATAAAATCACCGACTTCCCACTGAAATATTCATACAATAATTATGATTAAAGAAACTAAGCTAAGTAGAAGAAGTGATGTGTGAACAGTCATATACAGGGACGGAAACATCATTTTTTACATAACTGTCTGTCATATGTCAGTGTGTACTATTTGAACATTTCACTCTGATGGAATTACTATCACCTAACATACCAGTACAAACACTTAGCCATTGAAACATAGAGCTATAAGTCAGATTACTACAGTTCAATATTTACTAACCATGATCTTGCTGGCAATTAAACTCTTACCTTATGTGTATAAATAAGATCTGAATTTTTCTTAATTTCGCTGTGAATATCATCTAATACTTCAATAGTTTCACTGGTTGGAAAGGTTCTTTCATTAGGTTGATTATAGTCACTTATAACTTCTTCAGTCATACCAAGATGAAAACAAATAGTCTACAAAAACAAAATCATATCCTAAATGATTTACTACAGACATCATCTCATGGTTTAAAACATTAAAATCATGATTTACTACAGATAACACACAAATAACTAAATTAAATACTACATACATCATCTCATGGTCCAATATGCAGAATCACATTATTAATGATTTACTACAGACATCATCACATAGACTTAAATAAAAGAATCAGATACTAAATTAATTACGATATCATCTCATCGTCAAATATGAAAGAATCACATATAATTAATTACTTAATACAGAAATTATATAATATATTACTGATTTTATCACAGTCTAATAGAATCATTGCTTACTAATAGATCTACTACAAACATCACATGAGTGGAATGCAGTTATTTCCAATAGGTAAAAGCTACTTACTGGTTGTCCAGTAGAAGGATGTGAATAAAGCAAGGGATGTACAATATCATATCGTCCTTGACTGACCATCCACAGTGTGTCCCATTTCTGTCTTTTTTCAGGTGCTAGTCTAGTTATCAGATCACTTAAAGGAAAAAATGCTGAAAAATAGTCACATAAAAATCTTAAGTAATTGTGATTTCAGAAAATAACCTTTTCAAAATAATATATAAACTAAATTTAAAACAGCCATAAATAGTGTATGCATATTATATTTCATGTTAAGTCCTAATCAAATTGGGTTTTAGGTACTTGCCTAGTCCATTAGGGTTAAATGTGGCCTTAATTGTAAACCAGAGTTATGTCCCTTGATCAACATTAATAGACATGAAAAAAATCATACCTGTGCTTCCGATTTTGGGTACTGACACCATGTGATACAGGGCAAATCTGAAGGGTTCCCGCATGAAACTTCCATCTATATGCCAACCAGTCCTTCCCACGCCTCGACAACCCTCAGAATTTTCATTCGACACACGAAAAACGTCTGGATGTGGCGACATTGGGTGTTTGTAAAATGTAGATTCCAGCTCACCAAACCATTTGCTAATTTCAACATGCCTTTCCCCACTTACAATTCCCTGATTTTTAAAAATTAAAAGTTTGTGAACGTGGACATCATGTCTTAGTTTATCGATTATTTCCTCAGACACAGGGTTCTTTAAATCTATTCCAGAAACTTCAACTCCAAGTTGACATTTACGGTACTCCATTTTTTCCTTCCGAGTTGAAGAGTTTGGTGTCCGTTGTCGACTGAAAATTAATGTAAGCCTCCGACTTAAATTACCTTCTTTTTTTATCGCCAAGCAGTGTTAATTTTTGTGACATTGAAAAGTTAATTGTATTTGTTTGTTTTGGAGATAGATTAATAGTTTTCCAAGCCAAATTTATTGTAGCATATCCTTAGATTAATAATCTTTAATTGGTCGATCAATTACGGGACTAATGGAAACCTTTACTCCTAAATTTAGTGTTTTGACCATTGTCCTTAAAATTTCGATGATTGTCTTGCCAATTAATGTTAATCGGTCTGTTTTTTTTCCTTGTGCCAGTTTTACTTGACGTATCAACTGCCTATCAACTACACTGACTATCTAGACTATGAAACCTCATTAAACTGATGACATTAATAAGCTACCACCCATAAACACCCTGTAGATATTTTACCGTTTGAAAATATTGATTAAATCGTTTTTAAAAACTGACATGTCACGTAATTTATGACTTGTTGCATCATGTGTGCAATCAGTTTGTTTACCCTCCAGGCCCAATTTAGGAGGTAGTCTGAAACTCTATATCTAAAATCGGTTTGTCGTTGGCTTGCTAGAAACACGAGCAACAATTTGTGGTGAATTCGTAACTGTTATGTTTTAAACCCTTTAAACCCATTGCTTCAAGTAGGCCTACTTATATATATCATTATTTGTGACCGTATAGAGAGATAGACACTTTCGAAGTTCCACGTTTGCAATATATCTTATTTAATATCTTCTTTTCACATTTTATGGTTTATATCCTATGCATGTGGAATGGGCTTACAGCTATCTGTAGAAACTAATATTACCAGACTAGTTTTCGGACTATCATAAAGGTTAATTAGTGTAATAGAGGACGAAATGGTTGATAGGCCTACCTAATTAATGAAAAAAAAAACCACAGAAAAATGTAAATTCAAACCTAAACTTATGTTATATATGTGGGCAGATTCGATACCGGAAAAATACAAACTAAAGATTTAAAATTTTCATTTCGTGAATTTCATTGTCACAACATTTACCATTTTAAGTTAAAGAGGTGAATTATTCTAAGAATCAGGAAACGTGTTCCTTTGAGAAGTCTATTCCTTGTTCCAGACCTGGGGTAGCCTACTAGTAACCCCTGGAGATACAAGTGAGACCTACCGTAAATAGTATACACGAGAAGCCGAGAAGACAATTTGAAACTTTATTGCTATAGAGAGCAGACTTTGACCATTCAACACTTCCATTTAGTTCTTCTGGGGTACCACGAAATAATATTTTAACGGATGAGGAATCTAAAAGACGGGATAGAAGAACTATCTATAGTCAGTAAAACTAATCAGTATCTCGGTAACCCATACATGAAGACAAGTATTATCACCAGTGGTAAAAATGATGAAGGCTTGTGGACTATCCCTTTAATCTGTGAGATTGATAACCTATAACCATTCATATTTTGATTTTCACAATACTACTTTCAGGGGTGCGTAATTGACAAATTTAGCTTAGTGGCCTCACTACAGGTTGAATTTAAATAATCGTTTCGACTTCAGATCACATATATGTAGCTAGACAAAGACACGTTCCGATACACATCCCCTTGTCAAAGTTTATGAAATATTACGACATCTGATTGAAGTAAGTCGAGTGTATAAGTCGAGACTATAAGTTAGATATACATAGATCATACTTATAATATATTCAATGTTTATATATGTCATTGCTTAATATACTTTTTCTCTACCTGTATTATTACTCGTTAATATTTAGAATTGTCAGGTTTCCGACTTGATCAAATATCTCGGGCCGTATTGTTTTGTTGCCATTTTCACAACTCTGAATGACTAATACAATAAATGTTATTATATAAAAAACCTTTTCATTAACTTATTTGGAAAGAAAGTGCATGGCTTTATTTGCTGGATTTTGTTTTTTATAAAACTACACTTATAATTGCATAAGGCGCGAAACATATTATAATTTCACTGTTTTAAATGGAATAATTTATTTGGTGGTAATAGAATAACAACGCAAAACCCTATATTTAGTACAAGTCACAAGAGCAAGACCCTTAGATGTGGAAAATCTATCACAACTCGTCCTTTGCACCTACGTATACGTAGAGTTTAAAACGTATTATTACTACATTGATCAACTCCAAGGGGGTATGAATCAAAACTACTCAGAAGCCTCGTCATATTTAACAACATTATGGGTCATATTTACATGACAATCGACTCGTCTTCAATTTACTCGACGAGAATGAATACCTGAGCATTGAAGCGGAACACTTAAAATTTGTCTTGCTGATCCTTTATCCATTTAGTTAAGTCGAATGGTGATGGACCCTAAGGCTTAGGAGTAGCGTACTATCGATTTTGTCAGGACCTTCGACGTGAACAATAAGTTTTCTATGTGTTGGAATTTAAATGACATTGACCCCCTGTGAGAGATAGTAGTTTGATATATCTGGTGAAGAAGTAAACAATCAAAGTGTGAACAGAAGTCTTCCTTGTTTATTTATTTGCTAAAACGAAAGTAGACAGAAGAAAGGAATTTGAAATGTGTGGGGATCGATAATGAGACGTTGACTATGGGACTGGCTCGAAAGTTAGCACCGGTCACCAAAACCGGAGATTCCATCTCTAATGTGGATTTTCAATGGAGTACCCAATCTTATACCTTGAAGGAAATTATCTCAAAATTTAAACTGCCTTGTGTTGTTCAGTGTTCAGCCGATTCCTGTTCAGTTTTATGGGCGAAATTTAAATTTGATTTGAAACAACCACTGTTGCTGTACGCAGTTCGAACTGTGAGTAAAATATATGCCCGTACACTGAAAGCCAATAAAAGTGGTTCACCAGAATTTGTGGAGTTTGGACCACCCCTAGTGATCCCAGAGGATTATGAAGGTAATGTATAGTGATATCAGTATTTCTATGGATGGAGATGGAATCACATAAAATCACATTTTATTTGGCCATAGTTTATCCCTATTTGACATGGCCCATCTCGTTTGTTACTAGCTATGTGCTATTGAAATCCATCGAAAAGGATTTCATAATGATGTGCTTCAGACGTATGAAACCTAACATCATATGGTCGGCCATATAGAAGTAGTATGGAATAAGAAAAATAAAAGTAGATAATTCTAGAAAAGGCTACAAGAGGCTGGGAGCAACAAACTTCAAAATTGTCTTCAACGACAAAAACTTTTGATATAGCAGTAGAGATATCAAGGGACCCTTCCCCGTTTTGAAGTAAATATAGAAGTCGTGATAACTATACAATAAATAAACCATTACACCATTTATTCACTGTTATCATATTTCAATCTATTATACTCGTACTGAGGTTTGAAAGGGCACAAACGCACACGCCCAGTTTTCATTTTTCTATGTATTTTTTTTTAGTTCGAAATCACTTACACATGAAAGAATGTGGAAATAAATGAAAAATGTCACTTCGCCTTTATTTTTATTCTTTGTTATCAATCTAATTTAGTAATGATGAATTAAATTATGATTAATCTTCTTTAATTCAACCTAGTCTTTGTCTAATAATATTATGTGATTCGTTTTGTATCTTTATGTTTGATTGCTTAAGTTTCTTCTTTAACTAAAAGGGTATGTAAATGGTCAATGAAATTATATCATTTAAAATTGCATGGTTTGCCCTCCTGCAGGTATCCAATAAGATGCAGAAAAACAGGACGTTAATTTTAATTCAATCTTGCAGTCAGAAAGAAGGAATTAGCACACTGGCCATGAAAATATGGAATAAAACTCGGAATTGGGCATAAATAGAAAATACTTGAAATAAAAAGAAAGTAAACAGCACTATTCTGCACATTATTGTTTCGACTAACGAAAATAACGTAACAGAAAATACAGACAAATCTCGAATGCATCCATTGACAAGGTGTATGATCTAAAAATATATGAGAAAAATATAAGTTTTAAAAATATTAACGTACTGTAAAGAAAGTTTTTCATGCAGAACGTCAATATCAAGACCTGTTCAGAACACTATGGTTGTTTATTTTTTATTTGTGTTATGAAAGGAGAGGAAAATTATATATCATTTTGCACAAAGCATTATATAAAATTACCTATAACACAGTCAGTCGACAGTTATTGAACATGCGCTAATAAAACAGAAGACTTCATCTGTCATCAAAAATGCCAATGACGGAGCATTGTGTAATTGAGACAGACAGTCTGTAAACAATAAGCCAGTCATTCTGTCGAGCAGTCAAGGTATAAGTCCAGAAGATGCCAGACAATTTGCAGTGAGCAAGTCGTATATCTGGTAGACTCTGTCATCAGAATTGAGAATACAGATTAGATAGCTGGAGGTATCTGTGTTGGACCATTGGACTAGGGTGGTTCAAAAGCTATACACATGTGAAGGACTCGCTGACCTTTCTGGTGACAAATAACTCAAGTTTTTATTAAGAAAAGTAATCTTTGCTTCTCACTCGATAAAGAAAATAAGAGACTGTTAGTTTTTGTGGTATGTGTATTGAAATAGTAGGAGCGTAGTGTCTATATGGGTTGAAACATTGAACTCATTTTTTTTATCTCACTGAATAGAGAGTGACTTGTTTCAATTTGAAATACTATATCCACCTAGCATAACAATAATTGGCAAATAAAAAAAAATTAGGGCAATTTTTATGACGAAGATATTATGGAAGCTGATGTAGAACACACGGATTGGTGACGAATTTAATGTCTAACTTGCTGGAACTAAAGCCTGTAGTGTTGGTCGAAGGACATGCAGCAAGGGTCTCGAGCTGTAGTGCTCTACTTTTTTCACAACGATCTGCAAATCAAATTTGACCTACATCTGATGGTCATCGAACCCATCATTGCTTCAATGAATTGGATGATTCTTGATTCAATTAAATTTTCAACGTTTCATTTCACTTGGCTGAACCAGGGAAACAATTAAAACGACTATGTTACAAAAACAACAATATGTATTTCTGTGTTTCTCATTTAGTGCTAGTCCATGCTTGAACATCCGTGTCGGGGAAAGGTTAATTATATCACAGACAATGTTAGATGAAGAACATCTAGCACCTGAAAAATAGATTTGAGTGGTTTTTGTTTTTGTTTTCAAGATAGTTTTTCTAGACCGTTGCTTTAGGTGTACAGATTAGTCTAGGTCTATCTAGATTCGTTCACAACGTGGGCTTCATTAGCTTGCTATTAGAAAGAACATGTTCCATTAAGATTATCTTATTGCTCCTTATTGGTGGTTTATACTCAGCTCCACCCTGATAAATATAAAACTAGATAATACTATTTAACGATTGAATGATCCATTAACAAACTGAACTGGTCAAAGCGTGAATAATGAGTTGATAATATCTACTAATAACTTATATTCTTTATACTTCAAATATTCAGCCAGGGGCTGTTGAAATACAATAAATCAACAATAAACAGGTACAAATAATTATTGACCAGTCCTAACCCAATGAACTGATTATTTCAGAAAATATAGGTTACCCAGTTGACCATGCAAAAAGACGAAACGATGAATAAATGGATGAATTAAGTATATTTTTGTGTTCTTAATAGTTGAAGTGTGTTATAACTCGAAAACCCCGAACGAATTCAAACGTCAAAGAATTGCTTTTAGTTATACTTTTTGTTAATATTTGACCTTTAGTAACATTACTACCTGCCAGATCACAACTGTGGACATCTTTTTGTTCCTAATCTAAAAATCATTATAAATGCCTACAGGCGTTCGTATTGTGATATAATACGTGTCAATGACGAGAAAATGGTTGCGACGATCTCCAATCCAAGAAAAAAAAACTATACAATAAAATGCAGAAAATACAGACCCAGGTCCTAGCGACTGGCAGAATCCAAGAGCACCTGATTCTGACCAAGATTCTCAATGCTAGCAACTGGTGGCATCTGAAAGAATACCACCGACTTAACTTAAATCACAGCCAGTTGACCTGAGCGGTCATCACAGTTGGTAGGCCTAGTAGTCGGTCATAGTGATATGATTGAAATTGAATCGCTGGTCGACCTGAGCTCAATTTTTCATGGAATGGCAATGTAACTATAAAATGGTGCATTGAAAACAATCCTTTGTTTTTGCAAATTGAATTTAAATTAGGTAATCATTTAATATTTCAATTTTCCTGTGATGAAACAATGCGTGGAAATCTTATATATAATGTTATATGGGGGAAATTATCTTTTGAACTCGGTTTTATCCCACATTGCACTGCATCCAAGGGTAGTTGGTAATTAAACGATAAATAAATCTGAACTATTTACTTGTTATTTTTAAAAGGATGTTCAGTCAAATTGATTATAATTGGCCCAGGGATTTAGATTGAAAGAGAAAAGAATGCTCGGCTCAATGGAGATAAACAAAAAATATCTTTGAAGTCACACATTTCAAACCCTGGGTACTGAATTGGCCAATTGGAGCAGAAAACCCTAAAAAAACCTGTTAATTTGGGTAGTCATGCATTGCGAAGAGTATATAATATCGTTTCCCAATAGGTAATGGATGGAAATGCCTCATTGTCCAAGCTTTCTCACAGTGATCTATTTTGCCATAATCGAATTTCGATTGACATTTATGTCAGTTCGATTTATTTTGCCTACCTATACCATTTTTATGCCTTAAATATAGGCCTATTGATTAACGTAACGCCAAAAGAAGAAAATATTTTCGAATGACGTAGTCTTTTTGGCATAAGTATTTTGCATGTTCCAATAATTGACGAACATTCTCACCTCCTCCCTACCCCTTTCTCCCGAAAGTGCTAAAATACCGTTAGACTAAATATGAAAATGTTTAAATAAAGTTGAAGTAAATATTAAATTAAAATTTCCCACGGTCTTAATATATAATTCTATTGGAATGTTGTCGTCTGTACACGAATCAGCAGGTTTTAAATTTCAATTATTTCACATGTTTATTTGCTGAGCCATAACAGCTTGACTTCTTAAATATAAAAATAGATAATAGTATTTTAATTGAAGGATATTATTTATGACATGATAAATTAAATAACCTGCTGGCTCTGCCCTATACTCTTTCCTCGGATGTGATATACGGCCAACGTGCCGATGTTGGACTACTATGCATTGAGAATCCGATATTGGGAATCACGCATGTGATATTGCTTAACTTGGCATATTTTTAAATATCCGATGATTTCTATTTCAGGATGGTTTGGAATAGCAAGTCAAGAAGCACCAACGTTAATCAGACACACCAGAGTAGAGGAAGTAGCCGAATGCGAGAGTGATTTCTTTCTCGTTGCCACTAAAGTTCCTGTGTTTTATCTCAACGGTGGAGAAAGTACTGGCGTTTACAGCCAACATTATGTGAACCCTGGCCAAGTTCTTCGAAAGGATGGATTTCTAAACGGACCTTTAGATGCGTCTAGTCAAGCTAATTTTGCGGCTAAGGACAAACATCACCTTCGCTGTGTAGATAACAAGGAAGAAGAATTCGTGATTCCTTTTTCTCATCGTGGATTATTCTACGAAGTGAGTCAGACGATAGATGAGAAATCCTCGGGTGTGTTCAACACTGCTCAAATTATGGATACTGGTGGATCAAATTTTCCGCTCTCATTACGTCATATTCAAGGGGATCTTCCCGCATTGAATTACAGCTTCACCGGCAATATACAATGCAATCACATATTTTCAGAGCAAACTATTCTCGGATGCTCTATAGGACTCGGTTCCAATGTAATTACTCCCCTTGAGATGGAATGCAAATCCAAAATAAAGTTCGCTATCGCTTTGAACGAAGTTGACCTAAAAGCGACAAAAGAGTACCAGCGTGCATTTGACTTCTGTACAAATCAAAGTGAGCAATATGCTAAAGCAATCAAAGTTTCTTTCACTCTTCGCCCCGAAACTTCACTGGAAGAGCTCGATTTCTCCTTATACGATACCGGAAGTGACGTTGAGGATGTTGACGCCCAATCAGAATTCGATATAGATTGGGGTCCGGACTCATGTGATTCAAAAGAAGCTTTGGAAACACTGATCAAACTAAAGAGAGACAATACCACTCATTTAGTAGCACAAGATGTTGTTAATGATTCACAAGAAATACCGAACATACCCGTGGATATGGGAACATCTTATGAACTTGAAAACGGAACTGAACAGACAGTGTACAAGAAAGCTGCAGAATATACTGTTAGTTTAGAGAGTCAGGGTTCGGATCTAGCGGATGTCACTGTCGACTCTTCACTATTCGATGATAGCTACATGGACATTCCAGACGCCATTCAAGATGATGAGGAGAAATCCGGGGATAATACGACTAGTTTTGATGCCTCTGTTGATGACACCTTAGATTCCTCTGAAAATTCTGAAAATTCAAATGGTGTTGAAACTGCAGAACCGAACAGATCGTTCGCAACAGAATCAAAACATGTCATCTCAAAGACGGATTCCGATATCCTAAGGTTGAAAGAAATGGAGTATGTGGGAAACTTATCCAAGACTCTTCCGGGTCGTCTTATAAAAGAGGAGGCTACTCGGACCAGCAGTGGGGTTGATGAAAAAAACTCGGTCAAGAAATTAGATGAAGATTGGGGACCAGCAATTACTCCTCCGGTTACAAACTCACAAACGATTCCAATTGGACATGTAGAGACATTGGCAGTTGGTGTCATATCTCTAGATATCGCTGGTGAGACAGCTGATGACTGCGATAGTGAGATTCTGGGAGAGCATGTTGAGATCGTTGACTTGGGTTCGGACCTCGTTTCAGATCATTCTGATGAGGATGAACGTTGTGTTGTTGATTCGGATAAAGACGTAACTGGACGTTTAACATCATATCGTTCATTGAATTCATTAGACAAGATTGGACCAGAAGGAGAAATCGACTCTTCGGAGTTTGAAGTTCCACGATTAGACGTTAACAACAATTCTGATATGGAAAGTGAAATAACCGTCAATGATGACGACACATCATTGGCCGAATCAGAAGGTTTTCCGAATGATTTGAATTCAACTGTTTCCGAATCAGGGTTTGTTCTCTCTAATGGGATAAATATAGAAGACGATGAAGCGGATTCAGACGAGTTTCTGGAAGAAGTGAGATCGGAATTGGATCTAGATTGGGATAAAAGTGATGATAGTCACGAAACAGTTATAAGACAGAAACCAGTTTTGAAGCGATTACCCCCACAGGTCAAACCCCTTCGATCTAAAAATAGCATTATGAACATGTCGCTGGAAGAGGCTGCAGTGTAAGATCTGTGGCGATCAACAAGCGACAAGCTACATTCTCCATTTTATATAGATAGAGACCAAACTTTCATCAGTGCTCTAAACAGACCATTAAAGTGGTGATTCTCGAGAGTCATGAACACTTTCTTTTGCTATTGTGCAATAAACAGGTTGATATCCATAACATCCACATCGCGCGTGTGTTCATAACAGAATTTATTAAGAAGATATTGGATTTTGAGTGGAATCAAGGATTCTAGGGTCATTCGTTTGGTGAAGACTTGCTGAAAATGCAATTGTTCAAATCAATAGTGTATTTGTACACTATTATAAGTATTATATATGTGCGTCAATATGATATAATACAGCAAAATTTGAGATTTTAATATACTGATATTTTTATTTGACTAATAAAAACAATTTTTTTTTATCTTTGTTGTTGACTAATCAAAGCACAAAGAAGTACTCCCATTCCTTCAGGGATATAGCTCTGGCTTACTAGCTTAATCAGGTCAGTGAAGCTGAAATATTGAAGAGGTTCTGATGATCTGATGGTCAACATCAAACCCCAAGTGTCAAAGATTTGGTCATTTACCACCTCAACAATGTACAGAAGCATTTCAAGCTCTGCGTTCAATTTCCAATATTGGTCAATAACAGTTCATAAGAAATTAAGGTAGAAGCAATAATTTATTAACACACCATACATCACAATCACATACAAATAAATACTCAAATCACACCAAAATTATTTTAGAATAAATGATAATAACTTAGAGGTTTCTAAGCAAACGAACAAAATCTACCAAGAAGACTTATTCTTACTAACACAAAATCAGAGACAATAGTATTAACTCAAACTTTGAACTTAAAACAGATTAAGTCACAACATAATAACTTAATTGCAGATAATGCACTAAAGTAATTGTATAACATGAGGATCAGGGATAATGACATAATTGACTTACAGATAATGTTATATATAGACTACAATAGCTTCGGAATCACAGTTTACGCAGTTAATACATAATATCTAAAAACTTAAATAGAATGAATGGCATAATAATTAAAGAATCAGGAATAATAGGTATCAAGACATATAACTAAAGACAAGTAAAAGGATACCAAAAAATAACATTAAATAAGAGACACACCAAAATTAAACAGCCAGGGAGTCATACTAGAACACACATCATAACACTTTTAGAATTAGAACAACTTCAGTATCATAACAACTTTAGAATCAGGGATAATGATATAATGGAGTGACACCATAAATATACAATCAGGGATAATGTTGGCCTTAATGGGTCACAACATAATAAAACAGTCAGAATAAATGGAGTCATACTAGAACACACATCATAACACTTTTAGAATCATAACAACTTTAGAATCAGGGATAATGATATAATGGAGTGACACTATAAATATACAATCAGGGATAATGCAACCTTAAGTGAAGACACAACCTAATGACATAATAAAAATATATAAAATATCATTGGTAACATCTTATCTAAGAGAAATTGGGGTTTATAAAATATGTAATTATTCATAATTGTAAGATACCAATTTCTCACAAAGATGCTCAGACCAAACTATCAAATGAAAATGAAGCATGGTCATGAAACATTTACGCATTTAGTGCCCACTGCTTTTATGCATGTGTAATTTGATCAGAGAAAAATAATTTTGATACATCCACTGTCACCAAAGATGCTTTAGAAACATTCTCACTGATTTCTGTGGTAGATTTTTAAAGAGAACAACTTGATATCAAGACCCACTCAAATATACACTCACATATAAATATATAAATACAATCACAATTACACATTTTGGGTATAAAATAAACAGTGGCAATCCATTTGTTAATTATAGAAATATCTCTTTGGCATTTTACTTGATAACGTTACCTGTAATGATGGTTTAAATAAAGCAATTAAAGGAACTAAAAATTAGTAATTTATAATAAAATGAAGAGATGACTTAAGTAAGTTATACTTATATTAAAAGGATACTGTTTGCCAACATATTACAAAACTAAAACAACCAGAACATGTTTAAAATTGATATATTTGATCTACAGGACTACTTTTCCTACAATTAATGAATACAGTTGCAGAAATCACATGAAAACATGTTGGTTTTACTATATTCTATTCTGATTCAAGTAATCTCTAAATAGAGAAATAGAATTTTGTTGGACTGGGTTTCATGTTTCAATTCAAAAGAACGCAGCCTATTAACTAAGTGTTTTCATATTGAAATTATATGCTTTAAGCTTCATACATAAGACATATTTCCTCTAAAGTAAGACAGAATCAATGATATAATGATCATCAACTGTGGTTATATGTGTAAATAATCCTGATAATTCCCTCATGTCACAGTATAATTACCATTGTCTCTTTAATAAGAGATCTAGTCTGAGATAGAAACTTCAAAGAATCACAGAAAGCTAAGTTGTTAATCATTTCTAACATGATATCAATTCTGACATACATTCTAAGATTTGTATGGTATTTAGGTGCTGTAGAAATATTTATCATACATCATTATATTCAGACTGATTCGTGTACTACAGAAGACTTACAAGATCTTCTAGTATTAACTATAGTCATAGACAGAGGAGTGGGATAATAAATTGATCAATATATTATAAATATTACTGTCTCAAGAGGATTCATCAGCAGAATATACATCTAAACAAAATATTTGCTATAAATGCTCAATTTTAGCTAACAGTAGGACCAATAACTTTCCAGAATTAAAATCAGACATCTGGCTCTTCTACAATTCAAGAGAAAATCAACTGTGAAAGTGCAGGTTGTCATCAATTCACATTCTAACATGGGTGGCTCTTGATTGGGGAGTTCTGAACAGGTTCTGTTTGTTCACATATTGCTTTCCAACTCTTTTTATTCAACATCTGATTGACTTTGTGAATCTCGCACCTGTAGAACTCACTAAGCGAACGACCCCATGCAGATAATCATTAGCATTAAAACATTGGTAGTTAAACATAATGAATTAATTCAATAAACTTGAATGATTATATCTATTTAAGTTGTGATATCCATTTCTAAATCTAACTACATGTACATGATTTTCAGGCCTGTGATAGGACTTATAATAAAGACAGTATACAGTTATAAACCTTAATACCTATAATATATAATTATTATAATTTCAGCAGTCTGATATAATTCAATACCTTTTATATGACTACATTGATACATAACACAATTTAGATTTACATTTGTAATTGCAAAAAGTCATCAACAAAAAATTGTCTGCAACTCTAATGCTTCACGAGCCAGTAGATTTAATAAAAAAATGTAAGCATATCTTATGATAAGGTACAACTAAGTATCAGAGAACTATATATATATAAGCTTAGACCAGCGAACAAATCAAATATAAATCAGCACATTTGTAAAGTAAGACAGCCATGATATGCTCTTTTTTCTGACATGGATCTCTCTTTCTTCCACCTTTTTAAAACAGGATCAAAGCTTTCCACAAGTCTCGTTGGTTTCGAATCAATAAGGCCTCCGGAAACATATAATTTACCATTTAAAACTGTGGTTGCACAATGAATTCGTGAACAATTCATATCTGGTAGTGGTTGAAACGTTCTTTTAAGAGGGTCAAGAGCCAGCATTTTCTTGGTGTCCTCCCAAATAATATAAAAAATTCCATTTAAAACAAGGATTTGAGCAAATTCGATTCGTGATGGCAAGAGATATTGTTCACCTGAATGTTTAAGTTTATCACCAGTACAAATATAAGTGTCTATGGTATTTACCTTAGCCTCCCCCTGTATACCTCCAATCTCAAGCAGTGAATTTTTATAAGGAACAATACGAGCCTGTTTTCTAGGATTTTCAGACTGTCCAGCTTTTGACCAGGAATTATTATAAATATCATAACAATCTATAGATTCTACTAATTGATTACCATCTCCTTTCACTCCACCACAGACATACACTTTATCATGTAATACTGCACAAGCATGTCTTGCTCTCCTTTCTGGCATACGTGCAACTTCAGTCCACTGGCGTAAGACTACATCAAATTTCCAAACCGTGTCCACAACATGTCCGTCACAAATACCACCCATAATTAAGATACTATTAGCCACTGTACATACAGAAAACCAGGAGACTAAGCGTGGAAGGTCTGGTAAGATAAACCAGCGATCTTTTTGGGTGTCATACATTTCTACGGAGGGAGTTATATAGGAATTGATACCACTAATGACGATGATGACTTCTTTAGCTACCGTTGAAGGTCGGGGATGAATAATGGCGGGTAAACTACTACGTCTATGTTCAGGTCGCTCATTGGAAATCTGGTGATTTTTCTGGGCTTCTTTTATCATTTGTAGACCTTTATGACAACCTTGTAATAACTGATCAGATTCTAATAACCGTAGATTCTGTAAGCCCATTATTGGTAGGCGAACCTGAAAATTAAGAAAATTTAAAATGGAATGAAAACACTCAAAGAAACACAAATGGTTCCTCATGCAGCAGCTAAAGTCCTCAGACATTATATACTAATGTAATTTTGTAAGAGGTAGGGTCTGAAATAATGTTGGACTTGGACCTTGGACATACAGCCAAATTTCGCATTAGTTTTTGTATCTATCCAAAGCTAAACCATTAATAATAATGAATCCCTCAAGACATTAACAAGCTTCTCTATCAAAAGAGAAGATGAACTAAACTGAAACAATGGAGTTAAAATACTCAAAATCAATACCTGTTCTAAAAGTTGAGGTAGAAATGGTTTTCGTTCATCAGAATCGTAGTTCAACCATCTCCTGATGGCATGATATACTGTTTCTTCGTTTCGAACGTCGATATGGTCATTAGAGATATACTGTATTACCCTGTCTAACGGGAGATCTAAAAACTCGTCAGAATCTATCACAATACTGAAATTCTCCAAAGCATATTCATGAGCTTCGTTTTCTAATTTTTGACAAGAATGGATATGTGCAAAGTATTCGATGCCTAAGCAGTTAGAGGAGTGTAGCTGCCGTTTTAAAAATGAACAACAAGCTTCAACAATGTCTGGATATTCAAACAGGTTTCCAGCAGATAACATTTCTTGGGCATTATCTTGATTGATTTCAAGACGCCCGCTGTAGGCATAGTCGATAATTCTTTTTAACGTCCATGGCGAGACTTCGTTAAAACATATTCTAGTTTCACGACTTTCCTTCAACTCACTCGTAAACATGGCTCGAAAATACGGACTACTAACTGACAACACATTCTTATGGCAAGGAAATTCTTCATGTCCAACACACAAAATGGCATCTGTAAATGTTGCTTCATGACGCAGAGCATTCAGCTTTGTTAAGATTTCTATTCCATAATTTTGGTTGTAAAGAAAGTAAGGGGTACCAAGGGGATCATATATAGGTCCACTTCCTCTTCTTGCCATTAGCAGCTTTTCTAAATCCTATTTATTAGCAAATGGCTCTTATACCATGTCTTGTCTTCGATCAGAAATCTGGAATGAGAATTGAAAAATAAAAGATTTAACAAGATACACATATTAGCAAACTGTTTTATTTAAACAAAACAAGATTACAGTGAATTTATTCTTTGTCAATATCCATCTTAATATCCAAGACGAGAGTTTTAACATGTAAACAGAAATGATGACTCTACTAGGTCAATATCCACCTGAGCAGAATCATTCCAGCTTATGAAGACCAACTCAGAAACTACCTTTAAAAATCAAAAAACCACAAAGACTGTTTATGAAGAGGTTTATGCTCTGCATACAGTAATGTTTGAAGCTTTCAAAAGACCTTCAATGTCAAATTAACTGACCAAATTGTGATGAAAAATCCAAGTGACAGCAATTTATGGTAATGGGCTTAATCAAGTTATATCATAAAGCTTCTTTAAAACTCTAAGATTAGCCTATTACTTGGAGGTGAAGTAAAAATATAAAGATTAGATCAAAGGTTATTCTAGGGTTATTAGAAATTATTTGAAGGTTATGACAAATGTCAATATTTTTCTATCAGATCAAAATTGTTTTCTCCATATCCAAACAATCCACAATAATATTCAGCTTAAGCTTTGCAACTCAAGAGATTTTCATGGGATAATATGATTTTGGAACTGTAAGCAACCAAAGGCTGGTAAGATGAAGAAAGCACAGTCCCTTGAAGTGCTGTCAATATTAATAAAATATAGGAAACGTATATACTATTTTCTCCACATTGCCCATATCATATTAATATTAACAGTATTTCAAAAGCCTGTGAAGAAAGGCAGGTTTGCAAGGGTCAGACTATGAATGAAAAGAAGCTTCTTAACTAGTCCTAGGGTACCACTTCTGTTTTACTTCCAGTTCTAGGCTAGTTTCTGAGACTACAATCTCTCAATTGCAGACCCTTACATCCCCAGGAAGGGAAAAACAACACTAACAGTCTGAAGTGAACAATGAAGAGTACATACCACGTCACAACTATACACAAACAAAAATCAAATCTATTGCCTTGGTAATAGATTAGAACAAGAAGATCAAAGAATAATGGAGAAGAAAAAAGGAAAAGACAAAGTGACTCACAGGCCAAAATGTAGGTTTCAAACCTAATATTCTCAATCTAATGGCTGAATGCCTAAATAACCAACCTTTTCTAAATAATTTCATCTCGCTATCAATACAAAATTACTTACAGAGCTCACAAGAAAAGGTTTCTTCTCTTTTTCTGAAAATCTCAGTTATTCGACTTCACTTCCTGCGCAAGAAGAAATCCTCACTTACGTCATTCGTGACGTCAATCTAGGAGTTCCCATGGCCCAGTTCCAAAAATAGATACGCTTAAAGGGAGGATACCATTGATAAGAAATATATCACACAAAACACGGCACACGTCGAAACACTAGTTATAAATGTACGGTAGATTTAATTTTATGTCATAATTATTCTAAACAATCTGTAAACAAAGTATTAAGCACTAACATAATATAAACTTAAACTAGGCCTAATATCCTTCAAATGATTTAAAATTAGACTCACTCAACTCATTTCATTTCAAATAAGCTCGAGCTACTTCTTATGTTTAAGATAGCAAAAAGTTGTCATCAGAGTGAACAATCTCACGGTGTTAAGTGTATTGTCCCCTTGGATATATCCAAATGCTTATTTAAAATTCATAAAAGGAATTCAATGTTGTATGATGTGCAAAAAACTTTTCTTGACATCTTGTGAACTTTGATGACAAGCAGCTGAAATTGATTGGGGCTTCTAAAATAAAATCTGCTGATTGGCGCCTTTTCTTTCTTGAATGTCTTACAAAATCTTACAAAATCCCAAACATGGGAAATAACTCTTGTGTTCAAAGGAATGAACAATTCCCCATTAACATGATCTACTAAACTCTTTGATTCTGAGTTGACTAAATACCAAGTGGCATCAGATGTCTGAAAGGGTGAGAATTCTCTGCACTGCTATTTAAACATGCCAAATACATAATTATGTCTTGAGGGCGAGGTGGTAGTTCAATAACACTGATCAGTGGGGCCTATTTCCCCCCAGGTAAAGAAATCAATGCAGTAATGCGGGTCTGAGGAGCTGGCATTTTAAAACTATACCACTATGTCCACGACCACATTAAAGACATATTGTCAAGCGTAAAAGTGTAGGTTAATGCCTACATCTATCAATGTTTCCCTCAGTGCAGCAATGTATGAACGAATTAGTACACTAGTGATTAGGATGGTTGAAAGGTAACAAGTTACTATCCAACAGAAGACACTGGTACAGGATTAAAGCAATGTTCAATAGAAGCAGACAAGTGGGGAATAAGAATTCTATGCATTTAACCCAAAAGCAAAACTTCGACAACAATCAATAAAATAAAACAATTTATTCCTGACAGAAAAGATTCAAAAATTACAAGAATCATGATTTTTTTTTTAAAATTCACAGAACAGTAATCTCATTCATTACCCATAAACACTTGATATATACATATATTCTGATGATATTTTGATAGTGAGTGACATTGAGACACATGTTGATCAACCTTTGCTTAAATTAACGTTTTGTCTCAATTTTTTTTACTGCAAACAAAAATCTCCAGATAGAAGACATAAATTTTTTGCCATATTTGTGATAGCATATTTTATTTGTACTTGGAAACAGCCTCTGGTGTAGAAGATGTCACTTCTGTAGATTTGACAAGACTGATATCTCCCTCCAGTTCAATATTTAACCAGTCATCTTCATCTTGTTTACTCGGTGAGCATTTTGTCTTTTTGATTGGGCTTGGGGCTTTGTTTTTAGGAGATAAGAGTTTGAAAATGGACATGGATTTTGTGGGTGATTTAGTAGTTGACTTTGTTGGTGATTTTCCAGGTGATTTTGTAGGGGAGGTAACTGGCTTTTCATTCTCATCAATTTCTGCTGCTTGTTGCTCATCATCTTGACTTACTACAGACTACAAAAGATTAAGAATAATTAAAACAATTGTTTTGTTCCAACTATTTACTCTTTTTTAGGTCAAAAATGAAAGCAAAATAAAATTCCTGAAGACAACTTGACAACAATCTACTCTTCAAGTCATGTCTTATTGAATTGTGGTGGAACTGAACATCAGATTTTAATTTTAAAAGTTGTAAAGTAAATATTTAGATAATTGCATCCAAGTAATCTGTTAAGATTATGAAGATAATGTCATCAAGACAAGGCTATTAAGAAATTAGCCATTGAAAAATTACCTGTAAGAAAGACACCATAGTTTCAGCTTGAGAGGCCACTTCTGTTAATTTTTCATTTTCTTCACGTAGAGATGCATTTTGAACATGTAACTAAAATTATAAGATTTAAGTCACATACAAATAAACAATTGTCCATTCCAACAGTACTTAAATCCATTAGACGCAGTACTTAAATCCATTAGACGTTTGTTTATTTTTAGCATAGGCAATCAAAAACCTTAAAGTCATCAAAACAACAGAATAAAAAAGCTGACTTCATGGCTTAAATTTGAGCGTACATAGCATTCTGATAAAGTCCTTGGAGCCCAAAGAGTCCTCACCATCTCATTTTCTTCAAGAGTATCATTTAACGCTTGTCTTCTCTTTTCAGCTAATATCTTCCAGTAATTCTCAGAAGTTGATTCTGAAATGTATTTGAGTACATTGGTTGTGAGATATATTTTGTCTACTTTATTCAACTGTCTTTGTCTTACATTAATATAGAGTGTAATTTGCTTATTGACAATCACATCCAGTGAAAGTCCTGATACTATGTCATTTGGGACATATCTCACAAATTTGACTATGAAAAGCTCAACATCCTGAATATAGATCATGATTGCAGGCATTCCAATCATCAGTATAGTCTTTTATGAAAATAAATATCAAGAACTTGCGAAACAAAAAGTATAATCACACTGGTAAAGGAAATTTTGTAAACTAAAATACCTGAAACTAAATCTTCTTCTGTAACATCATGATCATTGATATCTTGATGATCATCTAATAATAATGATGATGTTAGATTATCTCCCCTTATTCTACCCAAACTTTCTATCTCAGTCTTCTGTATCTTGGCATCAATCAAGTCTTCCAGTAAACTATCATCAGTCTGGGTGGAACTACAGTCTTGGAGAGTAGTCTTGGGAGAACTGGCACTGGATGGTGTTTTAGAATCAGTAAATATTTTTACAGTTTTATTGGTTTGTTTTATCATCAGTTTTTCACCATTTAACTAGAAAAAAAATATCATAATGGTCTCATCCAATTTTAAGACTTAAAATAGATCATTTTATATTTTACTATATAAAGCCTATATGGTGTTCAGTCAACTCGTCCACATATTCATCGACCACTGAATGTTTTATTGACTTTCAGATATAACCAATTGCTTTTGAGTTCCTCAAAATTTATCATAAGGCAACAATTCAATTACAAATAAACAACATAACTAACCTGATTTTCTTTACTCTGCCCTGTTAACAAGTTACTGCCTTTGGTAGAATATTGTATTGTTTGTAATGTCTTTCTGTTCTGTTTATCCTGAAATAAAACAAAAAGCATGTTACATTACCAGTATACAAGAAGTGGTGTGTTTTGTACTTGTTAGTCCTCAGTACATCAGGCTGATGTTCTAGAGTGGCTAGACTAAAATTCTTTTTTGTGGTTTTATCACTATCCAATACAACCCATCGTCAAATGAAGACTGAATACAAGAAAACTTGGGAAGCCAAATAAGCCACTTCCGTTTAAGCTTGCCATTGAAAAACAACAAATTTCCACTCAGTTTGACACAATTTATTATATTCCTTACCACATCTTGTACAGTAAAGGCATTTTTCACAATATCCTTAAACATCTGAGACAAATAAACAGACATATTGTATAGAGAAGAGGTAAATAAGATAGTCACTTTCCACAATATCATAGTTAAAAAATCCCTTGCTTATAAACCCAGATCAAGATACGAGTTGACAATGGCAATATCAAATTCAGCTAGCTTACTATGAAAGGGTTATAATTGATTGGGATTAGCCTAATACTCTACTGACTAATGCTCACTGGTTAAAGAAATTAAGACCTCATTAAACAGGAGCTAACTGAAGCTGAAGTGCTAATTAGAGATATAAGGCCACACCACAGTAATTGTCTGTTTTGATTATTTATCCACTTAAAGGTGTATAGACTATAAAAGAATTTGAAAGAGTTTCAGCAAAGAATTACATCAAAACACATTAATTATTGTACTAGCATACGTTTATTATCAACTAATTTGAAATAATTAAAAAATATATATTACATAATGTGATACAATTTTTGACTATCCTTTAACTAAATGACAGTACCGAATATAAGCTCAGACCTGATGGAGACAGTGAGAAGTTACTTATTTTAACATTACTGTGACTGACTAGATAAGAAGTATAAGATAAGATTTTGATATTATGATTATCTGCAGGTTACCAAAATAAAAACTTGTTTAGCATTGGTAGTTTTAATGACGGTGCTTGTCACTTCTGATGCCTTCTAGTTATTTGGTAAACGAGAACTTGGCAATGGTGCACCAACGCCAGCAGTAAAAGCTGCTTTATGAGATTTATATCATTGAGGAATCTGAATGTTGGAATTAAAACTGACAAGCCAAATTGATCTTGGTTTCAAAAGAGCCCTTTGGCAAATAACTTAATACTGGCCTATCTACAGATAGATAATAATGTATAAGCTTATATAACCAATATACAAATATTAAGAAATAATACATAATCATGATTAATATGCACTAATATCACATGGATGTATAGGGGGTAATAGATTGAGTGTGAGGTTACATTCTTTACTGACAGCTTGAAGACTGAGCAACTATGATAACAGTGGAAGACAAAAGCATACTAGCCTAATGTGACATCACTGACTTTGTGTTTTTTAGTAATATACCTAAAAACAAGTGTGTTCTATGATTGTAACAATGATTTTACGTATTACTGGAACTTGCTGACAATACAAAAGATGTGTATGAACTTTGAAAGAAACACAAAACTACAATGATTTATTCAAATTGGCATGACATAAGATCTGGGATAACTTGTTGCCTTGATTTATAAAAACAGCTGACAGCATCATAAAATGTATTCAGAATTTCTAAACTATGATTAAAGTTAACAAATTGCAAGCATAAAATAAAATAAAACTTTATTTCAAATCCTAGTAAGTGAATTGACAGAAAAATTTATTTTAATTCAGATTCTTATCTATTTCATAGTGTATTATTCAGAGAATAGATCAACCAAGCTGGACAGACAACAAAAATCAGTAAACATCGGACAATAATCTTACATTACCAAAAATCATGCATAATCATATTAAAAAAACTTTCTGATTTAGATATATTCATAAGCAGGTATTCAGTATCAATACTGTCATTCAAGTAGAAAATAATGCTATTGTTTATAATTAGATTGTAGAAAAAGAAATTTCATAGAAACCCAATAATCATACCACTGTATTTTCTGAATGTCTTTTGCCTTTCAATCTATTCAAGGTTGGATTTTCAGCATTTTTCACTACGCTTTCAATAGACGCCATCTTTGTTTGAAGTTCCCGCAATGATATTCGATCATACCAGTCTTACAACTTACAAAGAGACGATACACAAAGTCATTTCAACCCCATGAAATTCTTTTTAAGACGTATCGACCGAAGTCAATCTACTGTCAATAAATCACTTCAAAACCACCAATTCATTTCTCTTTTAGCGATCTTGCAGAATAAACCAACCCACAATTGTTTTCGTTTGATTCATATTCGTAATTTATAAATTTGACACCAATCCATACATTTGAATTTATACCGTGATCTCGACAAGTATTGAGTTTAACGCCCAACTCTTCTCACTTGTGCCAAAAGGCGGGAATCCGACGTAATGCATATTTAAATATGTACCAAGCGACAGTTAATAACAATTAAGTGTAATAAAACCAGGCTATGTACTTCCACCACATCTGGAATATCTCTATGACTATAGCTTTTAAAGCTGGCGGGCCATTTTTGAACAATCGTTTTACTGATATTCAAAGTAGGGTATTCGATATATAAAGGAACCCTTAAATTAGGATTAAACCTGGATCAAATAAGCAAATGCAGGCTATATCCACAGATAACCCAAATCTGCGAATGTTCTAGCATTTAATCAAAGAATCACTATTTCTAGCAGTGGGAAGTGGAGGTTCCCCTCTAATGTCAATCAGCCATGGCCTATATAGCACTCTATATTATTACCTGTTTTTATATTCCTATCAGCCAATGTGTGTCGTTTGTTTAAATGGAGTCTTTCATTATCTTATCAAGTAAGAGTATAAAGAGATAATTCAATATTTTTAGAGTAGATTCCCATTATCATGAAATCTTGAGACAATCAGATTTGAATAGCCTGGAGATAAGGAATATTCGATTTAATGGTAAATATTACTCTCATTTACTCATTTACTCTCCATAATCTACGTGAACAATGTTGTATATGCGAATGCAATGGCACGAAATAGGTCTTATGAATACAATCGTTTGTTAGAGGACCGGAAATAACTTCTAAATTGTACCTCTTATAAAAGAAAACTACTATCATATAGGTATGATTGAAGGTATAGCATTCATTTTTCAAGCTTTACATTCTCAAAACGGCACCGTACGTAAAAGGTTTGTCATGATTTATGTTATATATACAGTGTTTGTATGCTAACACCGACTGTAATGACATAATTTATCCGCCATTGGCAAAATTTTCTAATCTGTTGACATTTTACTGATGTTTACTGATCCAACCCGTCATTGTAACACTGTACGTATTATTCTGATCCCATCCCGACAAAGTAACATTCTACTCAGTTTCCTGATTCCAATCTGTCATTGTGACATTCTACTCAGTTTTCTAGTCCCACCCTGTCATTGTAACATTCTACCTAGTTTCCTGGTCCCACTCTGTCATTGTAACATTCTACATAGATTTCTGAGCCCATCCTGTCATTGTAACATTCTACTCAGTTTTCGTATCCCATCCCATCATTGTAACATTCTACTCAGTTTCTTGAGCCCAATCTGACATTGTAACATTCCACATAGTTTTCTGGTCCCACCCTGTCATTGTAACATTCTACACAGTTTTCTGCTTTCAGCCTGTCATTGTAACATTCCACTCAGTTTTCTAGTCCCACCCTGTCATTGTAACATTCTACTCAGTTTTCTGATTCCAACCTGTCATTGTAACATTCTACACAGTTTTCTGCTTCCAGCCTGTCATTGTAACATTCCACTCAGTTTTCTGGTCCCACCCTGTCATTGTAACATTCTACTCAGTTTTCTGCTTCCAGCCTGTCATTGTAACATTCCACTCAGTTTTCTGGTCCCACTTCTTCTAAGTTTTCTAATTCCAGCCTCTCATTTTCAGACCTACTTATCCCATTCTGTCACTGTAACATTCTACTCAGATGACTAATTCCATTTAAACAGTTTTCTTTTATCTCAATCATCTCGCTATTCTTTTCCGGTATAGAGGGTTCAGTCATGTATTGTCTAATATTTTGAATGTGCAATTCGAAATGAACCAGGACAAATTTTGAAAAGCTTTTGCCAGATAAAAACTTGGCTTCAATGAAATGTAAAATATTTGCGTTACATGACAAATTGCGGAGTCAGAAAATAATGACAACCAATGAAGGAGTCAATAAATTAGTTGGCCTCTAATTGTATTAGTTCACACCTTCTTCGTCATACCTATACCCAATCAATATGAAAATAATGGCGAACTAATGATAGAGCTAGGACTAAGTAATCACCATCAATTATTCCATTTGTTCAATCTACTTCCATTTTAGTTTTAAACAATCATTGTACAACGATACCACGCTCTTATGCCAAGGTTAGTATAGATTATTAGCCGAGGAGAAAGTTTACTGACTCGACAAAACGCTGTTGGGAATGAAATTATCGATGATGTGCTGAAAATAAGAAATCTATATACATCAACATGTACTAGTATCGATATTCAATTTAAGAATTTTTCCAAATTTGTCTTTCATTGGATATCGCTTTACGTAACGCTTTTCATTTCAGACGCATTTTTTTGGTGAGACGGAACAGTTGCAGGATGTGATTAAAATGATAATGGTTCTTAACGTCTGAATTACATGTAGACGAAATCCAACAGTTACATTCCTACAACATTAGAGCAGTAACTGAGAAAGGTTATGCCCAATGTTCCAGAACTAGCTCACTCAAATGGCGTGAAATTGTCAACGAAAGAACAATCAAGCCGCAATTAAAAGACTTGTGTCACGGGACAATTACACATAAAACATATTGATAATACATAAATAGGTTTTATGATTCTATGATAGTCGAGACTAAAAGGAATAGAATCTCTTTTCAGATTTAAAAGCCTGAAAGTGTCATTATATATATTGGAAAATCACGAAACTTTTATCACGGAATCCATCATAATGGTTATGGTAATTAGTATACGGGTAAGATCAGTATAATAATTTAAAAACCATGAAATTGAATCCAGTATCAATTTCTGTATAAACCATAGTGAACTGTGAAGAAATAATAAGTAACTTGCTGTTGGTATATTCTAAATTTTCAGCATATTTTCGGGATGTTCTTGGATAATTAAAATTTTTATAATATTGGCTCAAGCATAAATCTACCATAGAAACTTCTTAGTTTTGAGGATTTCTGCCGATGATGGATACCTACTGATATGTTGATCAGAGATCTCCAGAACTGTACGGATTTTGAGTTCTGTTTTGTCAGCGATGATTCGGAATATTTCACCTCTCAGATCTCAGTAACGTCACAAGTATTTGCTATTAGTGTTCTTATTCTAACTTGTATTATCGGAAACTGTTTATTGTTTTATGCAATCTTCAAATGTTCCAAAAGATCAAGTGCTTTAGCCATCTTGCTCCTGAATTTAGCGATTGTGGATATTTTGGTTGGTGTTGTTGTTTTACCAATGTGGATTGTGTCGACTGTGAATTTGGGATGGCCTTTCCCACATAACATGTGTGAATTTGTGGGCTTCCTGACGGTTGTTTTGATGTTGTGCTCAATATTATCATTGTGTACCATAGCTGTCGACAGATATTGTTGTATCGCCTTCCCATTCCGTTACCCGGTTTTAGTGACTGTGCCTAGACTAAACATATTAGTAGTTTGCTTATGGGTTTACTGTATCTTGGTGGCTGTTTTTCCATTGTTTGGATGGGGTGATTATCGTTTCCAGCCGCAAACAGTTCCCATATGTAACCCAGTTTGGGTGACAGAAATAGCATTTGCGATATTTTTAGTTCTTTCTGGGATAGTACTTCCGGTTATTTTGATGTTGTTTTCGTACGCGAAAATAGTGGTGATTGCCAGAGATCATATACGACGAATTGACATCGTGCAGAGACATATAGAAATGCCTTCCACTGTAAACAATACATCAAACCAAGACCAAAATCACAACACAAAAGACGAGATTCGAATGCAGCCTTCTAGATTTTCTAAAAGTTTAAAAATGGTTCAGAAGGTGTTTATTGCTGTGGGTAGGTCATCAAACTTTTAGTCACTTTATATAATCACCTCAAGGGCCAGTCTACCATATAAAATACATGGCTTCATGACAAAACCATCATTAAACATTTGTATTTAAGGAGTCTATTGGCTTTGGTGCTTTGCTGGTGGCAATTGCCGTGATGCGATTGTTGTCAAAGTTAGGTGGTCAAACTCTTACTATAGAAGAGTTTCGTCTCAATGCTATCAGAGTTAACGCGAATCGCAGAGATCGCAGAATGTTAAACAAAACCTACTTTATATAACCACACATTCTCGTCATTTTTAACAGTTCCATTCGTAAATCAACCGCACGAAGAATTTTTGAAATGTTCAAAGACAATAACTTCAAAGTAAAATTTTTCAAATTTATATGCTTTATAATCAAAAAAAAACATTTTTATAATTTCTTTGACTTTGAATAACTTAAACATTGTATTGAAGTATCAATTGATTTACTTGGAACAATATAACTTTCAATACTGTCTACATTATTGTGCTTAATAATTCATTAAGATAGTGGAGATCAAAACAAAGTTAAAATTGAGAAGTAGAAATTAATTTAGCTACTTGACAGCACTAATATAATATCTGACAAAACAGTCGATGAACGATCATAATATCATAGCCATTCTCTTTCAGTTAATCAATAATTAGAACAAAACTATAGTAGAATACCTTCACTGCATATAAACTCCAGTATTATATTATATTCTGTAGTATGTCTAAAAGCTTTAATTGTCTAAAGTGAAATGAAATATTGAAACGATCCGCCTGGTTAATAAGGGACTAGATCCCAGCCAGATAAGTCCAATCCAAAGTGCGAGTCATTTTCTGCGAAATCAGTATTTCGGTAAAACCGAAGACATTCTTAGACAAATGACATGCAGTTGAAAAATTTTATTTGAATTTTTGTTAACGAAAGAAAAACTTTCAATTCTGAGCTCACTGTGGTACGCCGTTACCATCATCTTCACAATGTCAATTCTAATACCATGACCGCAATATCCATCTTTCTTATATCACAGAAATTTGTAAATACAACAATTTGATTGGATTGTACGTGAGCGAATACAGTCAATCATAGCCCTCGACAGACAGACTGTAAACTGTCTGATTGACTGTATCCTCTACTGTACAATCAAATCGCTGCATCCCGTGCATCAAGAAAGATGGCTTTTGCGGTATCAGACGAAGTTCGTACTCGCTTGACATTGTGAAGATGTGTTATCTTTGGCATAACTAAATCTACATGTCATTCATGTAACATAAGAATTTCATGTCACGAGTGCATCTTCGATTATTTCTCATGTTATTTTAATCGGTAACCGCATATCTTTGTGTATTTTAATATATAGATTTATTGATAAAAGTCTGTAATCGAATGAGTAACCCAATTATCAAATCTATATCTTCATCTCTCATCAACGTCACACAACAACAAGTTGCACTGGTTTGATGGAGTTGCCAATAGTTACTTATCATAAATCAAATAAAATAAAAAGTTTCAAGGTATTAGTATTGATCCAATCAATAAATCGTAATTGATCACATGATCAACTGACGGTAAATCGTCGGAAGTACGATAAAGGTAAGAAAGGAACTTGAATAAACAAAAAGTTCATAACCGATTTGTCGAAACTTTCTCTGGATTGTTCTCTAGATTGGTAAAAAATTCAGCTCTGTTTAGAGCAGTTCCTTGGGGTGTGTCCACTTGTTTGAAACGTACAAAACCCTTTTTTAAAAAAATAAACTCCAGTAATAAGGTAGCTAATTAGATGTCTTTTCTAAAAATATTTTTATTAATGTCAAAAAACAAAGTAATGATTATAACATGTGAAAAACTGCCTTTTTACAGATGAGGTTTTTTTTTGCATTTTGATTGACAAACACCAAGAATGATTTTAACAAAACATTTGCGTACAAAAGGAAGCGAAATTTAAAATATATTTTATTTAATCGGTGCTGGCGTACACCCCCCTTTAAATAACGACTGAGTTTATATTTAATATTGATAACATGTGTCACAAAAAGATAAAAAAGAAATATGAAAAAAATAATTAAAAGTGGTGAAATCATTGCCAAAATGCTTGGAAAAATCATTGACCAAATGCTTGGAAAATTCATTGCCCAAATGCTTGGAAAAACGATTGCCCAAATGCTTGGAAATAGAATAGCTTGTTTATTAAGCGTTCGTGTAGATATATATTTCTCCACATTTTGGGTTTCAATGAGAGAATTTGTATTGCGACTCTAATGTTCGATTGGTAATACATAATGAGAAAATGATATGCGAATGTTATATATTGTCTGTAATCAAACATTGATTAAACATAAAATTATTACAGTTATTCTGAGATTCCATTAGAAACTGGATAATAATATTCCATTAAAACTGTGAATAATGGCACATTAGGGTGGAAATAGCGTAAATCGAAAACTTAAGGTGTGATGTCAACAATGTTAATGACTAAATAATAAATACATTTATCAAAATAACAGTTTTTCTTGGTCATGGTCTCGGCTTTCAGAATCTGAACAAAGAACTTCGAGTAGCCTTGTCTTCAAACAAAATGATCTAATTTTTGTTCATTAGTTGATGACGTTAAAAGGTTAATGATTTTAATGATGAGAAAATTCTTTATTAAGGATAGTTCTTTAAGTAATTTTAGAAAACGAAGATATCCTTGATTAAAGGGATTGTAAAGAGGTTTTCTTAACCTTTTATATGTATCGTGGACGTTGTTAGCGTTTATTTGCCCCGTTCCAATTTAAGTCAGAGGACTATTGTTCTTGCAATTCCCTTACAAAAAGCATTTTTAGGACGTCGTGCATAAAGTTTCGATAACCGCCTCAAAATCCCTCTAAGATATCCTACATCCGCTTTAAGATTTATAATGGGATTATCGCCAAGAATAAATGAGTTCGCGGTTCAGCTTACATCGAGTCGACAAGCAATGAACAGACCGTTGTACCGACAAACGGACGTAGCCTAGATGAAAGATGGCACATGTTGTCGTATATTAACGGATACGGAAATGATATCAAATCTTATCTGTAATTTATTCATTTTCTTTCATTTCAGGTGTTTTCTTTCTGTGTTGGGGTCCATATGTCATTCTGAACTTTTGGTCTGTCAACAACGAACATAAAGCAGTTCCTTATGTCGCCGATTTACTTGTAACCTTACTCGCCTTTGCAAATAGTTCCATAAATCCGGTTATTTTTATTCTACTCAATAAAGAGTACAGAAAAACTATTCATGACCTAAGAAATGTGCTAATCGGGTTGTGTCAAACTAACAGAGTTATTCCCCTTACACATTCTTCCGGATATGATATCAGTGGTTACAGAGACTATGACTTAGAAAAACGTTCAACGGCGGGAAACGGTGTAGCCCGACGACCAGTTATACAGGAAGTGCCTTTTACCTCAGGTTATGATTCGGACATTGATAACGAAACTCAAAAAGTGTCATGATTCATAAACCGATGAGGGTCATCTATATTATTCAATAGTTATTTATGACAAGATCTTTGAAATGATCTTTCGGAAATGAATGGTAGATTTGGTTGGGTCTCCTTGGGCCAAACTCTGTAATTCCGGCATTTCACTATTATTTGTCAAGTGATGGTAGTGTTGCGACCTGAATGGCCTTAAAATCTTTAGTGGATGATTCTGAAACGTATTTGTATTTAATGTTATATTATGATTATCGGTTCACCAATGATAGCCTACATTTTATTATCATTTTAAATTCATACGTCACTAAGTTTTTTTTTCACTTTGTTTACAAATGCTTGTAGTCCTGAACGACCAGCCTCTAAAATTTGAACTACCAGAATCACGTGATTACAGGTACATGTACTTGACAATCTGGACACAGTTCCGTTAAATAATAGCTGCTGTTCATTATGATATGTTGCAGAGCGCTGACAGAGCTTTCACGGTAGACCGTTTGTACTCGTGCGATAACTTCCCGGTATAGACTCAACATTTTAGTACTTATTCGTACGACATTTTCATAGAAAACATCAATATTGTTCAATATGATAATTGGATGGAAATAGATTAATATGAAGAACCAATTTATGAAGCAAATTTATTATATTTTTAATTGGCTGCGTTAGAAAAAGTTGTCACTAATGCCATTGTTAGAAATGCCAAACTTATTAAACTAAACTAAATAGGCTAATTATATACACGTCTTGGAAAATGTATTGTTGGCACTTATGTCCGTCAATTGCATAGGAAGCGCCAGCCTGCCGAGACTGGGGGTACAAATAGGGGGCAGACTGACTCAATGGGAGAAGGGGGGTTAATTGTCGAGGTGGAATTCAAATAGCGGCGACTTTGTGGTTCTTCCAAGAAAATTGTCGAAAAATTGAATTGATTTGGTGCATTCTGACACATATTTTGGCACAAAAGGCGATATTAAATTTGAATTAAGTTGACAATAATGGAAATAACTTTTTTAGTTATTTTTAGTTAAAAAGGAACGGAGTACATGGCATGCTACAATCATTTTAAGCTTCTTTAGTTTTAAACCGCAATGCAGGTAAATGAGAACTGAGAAATAAAATCTTGACTGGACAACGATAAATAAAAACACTGGTATTTATAATTTTGTGATCAAGTGTGTATCTTTATTTACCTATCAAATATCATTAATGATATATAAGTACAAAATACACAAAGCAATTCATTCCGAACCATATTCTTATTATCTGCATTCGATAACTATTTCAATTTTCTTAACCAGATCATTCAATATACATTAGTTTCTCTATATTTCAACGAGTTTCTCCCGCGAGCAATCTAAGATATACCATCAATATATCACAGAAGTATACGAATGTGTTGTGTAAACCAGGAAAGCTAAGATCTGAATATTTTGTGAAAAATTGTAAATGAGAATCCGAAGAAAAATAACAACAACGACTTCGGAGTGGGTGTACAAATATGCATAGAATCCGGATTACACATGACCTAAATTCTGCCGGCTGAATATAGGTCATCTGGAAACATAATTCGTTATCATGTGTGCTAAGTAAATTCAAATGCCTTTTTCTAAGATTACTACTAAAAGAAACTCGCTATAAAGCAAACTATTCAATGCCATGCCAATGTGTTATATTTCACTCGTGTGAAAATAACACAATTAGGGTGGTGGGGGGGGGGGGATTTATAGCTTGGGTGGTTTTAAAAGGTTTGTTAAATGTATTAAGGAGCCAAGATTATGAAAAGGGGGAGGAGGGGACGTACTATCGTATTATTGAAGTTCCACATACCACAAATCTCGAAACAACGAGAATATTTTGAATCTATTTCCAGTTCGTAGGAAACGTACTTCGTCACCGGTGTAAATTTTAATAATTTGGATTGCTAACATTAACTGCGCACGTAGAACTACAATAATACTCTATGAGATGAATCAAGATAAAGAATATACTCTTAAAACCTCTTTTAAGAGAATGTCTGCACCAAAACGTTTAAATTATAATTTCAAGTAAGGAAGGGCTAGAGCGTGATCCCCGCGTCTGAGCAGGAAATTATGTGCTGAAAATTTAGAGTTTCTTGAAGAAAGTGACAAATAGTCTGTTGTACTGACCAGTGAGAAAGGTATTCGGTAAAGAGAAGGTTTAAAAGAAGTCAATCACAGTAGATGATCAACATATGAAAGGCAGAAGGAAAGGGAATTTTTCTGAAGGATGACGTAGAGGGTCAGAAGTAAGTTATAGCACTAAATATCATGAAAATAATCATTCATGAATAGAAGGTGATATCCATTATATACGTAGGTATACATGATTCATTAGTCATTGAGATGCATCTATGAACACTTGAAGAACATTAAAAAATGAGAACATTTGAAAATAGTTCAAATTTTCGTGAAATTATAGAATGTAATTTAGTGGACATGATTAAGGTTTTAAAATATAGTCTCACATTGTCAGACTCTCCATGGTATAGTCTGGCAGTGTCAGAGCATGATAAACATGTCAATCAAAGGGTGTAGTTTAACATCCGATCATGTGAGTTTAACAGAATGCTCACGAGAAATAAAACGCGTCACCAAAAGGCGCATTACAAGATATCAGCACGCGATAATATATGAAAAGATTTTTTTTGTTATGAAAATGTAAAATGATTTGGACAGTTTCAAAAATGAAAGACTATTTTGGTCGGTTCTTGGTTGTAAATTATTATGATCGTGGTACAAATTTAATTTGAACCGGTCTATCTGGTGTCATGACAGTATTTAAAGTTGGTTCAACAGGTTCGTGATGATATTCCAATTTAAAATTCTGGATAATCTGAAATAAAATAGACACATTTTATTAGTCCATTTCGTTACTGGATAAGGTACTTATTAGACTTTGATTTTCCGGGCGGGTTATGAACAGAAAATTGTCACAGATTGGTAAGCGATGATGACAGCTTGGAAATGTCAGCGGGGCTCTACGTGCTGTATAATCGAAACGTAATTTGAGTAACAAAGAGACATCAATGCGTTAAAATCTGCTTAATAAGTGTGAAGAATTTTCTTTGGTTGATCGAACAATAGTTTAGAAAGAAAAAAGAAAGAAAGAAAGTATCTAACATAGTGGAATTACCTTAGTTAACATGATGTGCATTTCTTGTTCAGCAAATCGACGACCAATACACATTCTAGCACCATGGCCCCATATTAAATTAGATAAGGATTTAGTTTGACTGTCCATTTTACTTTCACGTAACCATCTTTCTGGTTTAAATTTCTCGGGTTCGGGGAAGATTTTGGCATCACTGTACATACCATACAGATTGGCTTGGACATGAGTCTAAAATTAGGAATTGAATTGGCATGGATATATATGATGTTGATAAAATAAAAGAAATATTTCCTCTGTTAAGATAGTGTTCAATACATCAATATAAATACTCCAAATTCGCGGATACAAACGCAACAAAGAAGTCTGCAAGATCAATTCCAAGCGGTTCGGTCAAGGACCGGCTGGTAAAAAGGTCCCCCGTCAACCCAAGTTGTTATCCTTGTAAAAAATAGTTGTTCCTTTCCTGCTAGAAAATCTTACAAACGCTTCATTTTCATGCCAGATCAACCACTTGCATCATTGTCAGAGAAAATCGCTGTAAATTTTTGAAAGCCCAAAGCATAAAATGGTTATGTCGTTCTATTTGGATCTGGGGGTTTAAATTTGCTTATAATTTGTAAACAAAGAGACATATAATTGCTCGAGTCCCCGATTGAACCTATTTTCTAGATATTATTTGATGATAAGCTTTCCGGCAATAAGTAAATTGAAAAAGGTTTAAAACTCACCCCAGCTGGAATATTGTAGCCACCGACTTCTAAATTTTCAGGTAAAAATCGACTAGTAGCATAGGTGATAGGGTATTTTCTACAAGAGAGGGAACATAATGTTAGGAATAAATATTTGTTTTAATCATTAAGGTATGAATGATCAGACCAATATGAATTCATGAAATGATCTAGCATTCAACAACAAAATAATGATGTATGCACCAAAATCAGGAGCTTAAAAAATGATTAACTTTCCATTCAAAATACATTGAAAAGATGACTTTCAGTTTTATACAATAAAATTTCATAGTGTCTGAAGAATTTTCTTAAACGGAAGAACTATTGTAGTTATGGCATAAATCGCCTTCCAGATCTACCCCATCACTCTAACTCACCTAAATGTTTCTTTTAACACAGCTTTAACATAAGGTAATTTTGACAGAGCTTGAGGTGTGACATCTTCTTTATTTGGTAAAACAGTGTTAATTTCGTTAAACATTGTTTGCTGTGCTTCTGGGTTGGTGGCTAGATTATATAAACACCACAAACTGGCATTGGAAGTCTGCAAGTTGTAAAAATGTAAAGAAAACATAATAATAAAATGTTACACATGTATAATGATTATCCAATTTGACGTTTATTTCATGGGGCCATTCAAATAACGTTAAATTACGTAAAGTATAAAGGTAGTTTTTGACAATCCTTGATGGTGCATTTAATAGCTTTTCCGGAATGCTATAAAATAAGTAAGCCATCAAATGGATGAGTAATCGTTCTGAAATTTGACAGGTTAAGACATTTTTTAGGAAAGGGATGGTGAAAGCTCTAAGTTTCCTTGAGTTTGAGGACCAAAAACTCAAAACGATGCATTTGCAGCATTTTGAGGTACTTAAATTAACATACAATAAATTAAATACATTCTTACCGTTTCAACAGCAGCACTCAATAGATCGACAGCATTAGATGTGACGTCAGAGGTTGACAATGATTTCTGGGATATGAGATGAGTGAGGAAAGCTCCTTTTTCTTGGGATGTGGAGGGATCGGCGTTTTGTAATTTTTCAATTTTCTGAAAAGAAAGAAAATTATATTTTATGTTTTAGATTGATGTAAGGTTATAATAAATGCTGTGATGTTGCAGGTGGCTTCTCCACAAATGAAGTTTGGAGATCGAGAAAATAACATAAGTATCTTAAAAGGGCATACTGAATGTCTGATTACAGAATTATGTATCTAGTATACTATTTGTTTTATTCAAACATATTTTGAAAAACTGTAAACAATAAGAAAATATTTACCACTGTCGGCCTATTTCAGTAGTGCTCAATACATCAATTGTAGAGCGATAAAGAAGTATAAGACAGAACCTGAAACATTTTTCATGAAAATCTGACATGTTTCGGGTTCTGTTAATATTTCATCCGGAGAATAAATAATTTGCAGGATATTCAATAAGGACTACACAGTAATATTGTTAAAATACTCTAATGTGCAAGTCAAACTTTCTTCTACAGAAGTTATAAATAAAAAATACCTTATCTACGAATTCTCTGCCTACTTCCATGATTCTGTCTGATAATTTTTCAAATTCCTGCCATTTCTTGGTTCGGAAAACTTTGTACATTGGTAAATTATACATTAGTTGTTGCATCAAACGGAAGTATTTTTGTAAAGTATCAATAAATTCCTGAGCAAGTTCTGTGGGTTTTTCGTTTAAACAACCGATTCGTTCTTCAAAAAGGAATGTACCAATGGCTGAAAATACCGATGACATATTTATAAGATCTACTCTAAACCTTTTCTTTGATAATATCGATCAATACCATTATATTATCCCCGTTCAGTGCATTTATTCTTGCTAAGCTTAAAGGCTGCTGAACATTAACCAAAGTAAATACTTCACAACGGCAATTGTTTCAGAAATAACAACATGTGACAAGTTAATTTAATTTCTTTCACAGGAAATTCAAAGAGAATCTTCGTGACCATTTTATAACTTTCATAACTGAAAAAATGGTCGTGGTCTATGAGAAAAACCATTTAGTAGAAACCCCTTTCAGTGTTTTTTTAACCCTTCAACGGTAAAAAACAATATGTAACAAATAACAGCACGCCACACTCCCAACAATTACATTTGAAAACTTACATTCCATGGCCCATTTAAAGATTTGTTTATCAAGTTGCTGAATTTCTCCTGAAGCATCTCGACTACTAGACAGATGTGTAATAAAATCATTGGCTACAACATTCATTGGCTGAGAAAAGTCTTGAACTTCATTTAACATTAACATTTTCTTAATGACGGCAGATCTTTGACGGTGCCATTCTTCTCCTTGTCTAAAATATATTAATTTAAAAAACAACTTATAACTTGAAATATTCCTATATTTGGACACGAGTGTATGTACGTACATGACCAATTTGTTCGTGTAAATGCCTTACAATTCCAGTTGCATTCTCTTATAAACGTTTGACTTGGATGGTAGTTGTCCCATATGAATGATGAAGGTTATCATATACTTACGAATTAACAAGACCAAGTCCGATTCCTTTCTGTTCTCTGTAAAAGGCCATGGGCTCCATCTCTTTTCTGTTGGGAAATTTACCGTCGGCTCGGATAACTTTGGCATATTCAGCAGGATCACTGATAACTACTGTGTCAATGGGTCCTATACTTTCTTTATAAACTGGACCGAATTCAATAGATCGAACTTTAAAGGCCTGCACAAATTAAAACAAAACCAATATAAATACCTGTACATCCATCTTTATCGAAACTAACAAAATAGAGACATCGCTTATCTGGTAATAACAACTCTGCTTATTTGGTTGTGTTTTGTCCCACTGCTCGTCGCTATTAATTTTTTACACCCGAGAAGTCCTTAAATTCGCGTTTAACTTTGTGTACTTTTGTGAACCAAGATTCTAAGGCCATTGTCAATTGAAGTTTTCTTTTCAGTTCCAGCAAAAAATCCAACTTTAACTTTTAGCAGAAATCAAAAGTATACGGAACAAAACAGAGATTTGATTGGTTGTGTTATTGTTGAAAAGTGGTCTTTAGACTGATTCAAATGCAAATTAACCACCATGTAAATATGTTTAATAGCAAAGAAAGCGACAATATATATGTATAAGAGAAATTTGATTTAGAGACTCTGCCACCAGGGCTCGCGATTATAATAAAGCTAAACATAATAAACTCACTTCAAACATTTTATCAAATCTGAGACCATCTTTTTTGAAATAATCTAATAAACTTCCTAATATTGGTAAACCTTTAGGTCCTGGGACGTGTTCAAATGATTTGATGCCTGTTTCTTTGGTTAATTCTTGTGGCTCAACTTTTGGCTCGATTGGATTCACTATACTTTCTACTTTTTCAAAGGTACTTCGGAAGGGGCACTGAAAAGGAATAATACTAATGATCAATTCAGTGGAGTAATTGATATGGATTCTAGGAAATTTTTTTTAGCCAATTGATAACTTCACGAAACGAAGAACCTCTTATTTCCGAGCTCTTTCGTATTTTTTCTTTTTATGAAATCGCCGCGAATTACCATTAATTCTCAACTCGTGCTCATATAATTTGAAACTGTTGTATTTTTTTTAATCAGAACCCTACCATTCTAAGAAACTAGCCCCACTTGATCTCATTAGAAATTTATGATTTTAATTTAATTAGGATGTGACCGTCAACATTTACCATTTCTTTCAATATTTTTATTGTAACTGTAATAATTATTAATTTAAAAATAAATAGTAATTTTATTCGGTTCACCCGATAAGTCATGTTTGTTAAATAGTTTTCGACTTCCTGAAAGTTCTCAACAGCAACTTGTATAGTTTGATGTCTTTTGTTCTTTCATCAGAACCCCGCCATTCTCCGAAACCAGTCTTACTTGCTACGGGATTATATAATAATGCTTTGAATTCATTTTTCTAATTCCAATTTCTATTATTAAATTTAAAAACGACGTTACTTACGGTTCCAAGTGTTAACGGATCCACCTCGATGACTCTAGCACTTTGTTTATGGGCGACAGACGTGGATACAACTCGTTTGGTAGCTATTTCTGGTAAAGCAGTCACAGCTATTTTGGCGAAGGTTTTTGGTATCAAACTTGACATTTTTATTCTGAAAAGTTTTGAATAAAATTTAAATGAAGTTACTTTATGGAGAATGATTGGTTAAACTTAGCAAAATGCCCTTTTAACATTACCCAGCTATGTCCGTTTTCATACTCAATTTCATACTGAAATTTCGTTCTTCACAAGGATAAGTTGACGTGAACTCAACAAGGAAACAAATATAGATTCCACACATCATTAAATGTATATATATATAGTAAAGAAACGATAGAACAGCTAAATATGAGCTAACATACTGGATGATTAAAATAATTAAAACTTGTTATAAACGACACCGAGACAATGAGACTCAATGGTCGCAAAAAAATGCGAAAGCAATAAAATCCACTTCCGCACTAAAAAAAATCAAAACTAGATACAATTAAAAATTTAAAAAATTAACTATATGATCTAAGTAAACTACTATATCCCCAGTAGCTTTAGCTCTCTGAAAATGTCGTCTCGATGACAAATCCAATTGCATAGTAGCATCAGTTGGTGAGTGGATGCGGATTTTGTGGCTAACGGGGCATATAAAAACAACATTGTCAAAGACAAATATCAAATATTTTCTTACCTTTTTGTTCTTCTTAAGTTTCTTCAAAAGTTCCGTTTTAATTAAATTTTGTTGTTTAAAACCCTTGGCAGTTGTAATAAATGGCCGAATAAATTAATTTAATAAAATCAAAAAATTCTGCCAAGGGTATAAAGAGTATCCAAGCAAGTCTTCAGCCCGAGTGAGCATCGAATTTTGGATGTAGCTGGTATTTATAGTCCCAGACGACACGCAATATGCGCGTGACAGTACCAGAATAGCCACAAGGTGCGATACAATTCCACTGGCCAGCTGATACCAAACGAAGAATCCATATGGAACCTGTTAAAATTATCAATTATCCGCCTACGACTTGTGCCAAGATCCGTCTCACGTCGTGATAATTCCAAATTAATGAATAAATCGGTCCATGGACATCCCGAGAGGTATCAACAGACCATATGCTACTTGAAATCTTATATAATTCTATGGTAAACTAGTTTATAAAACTAATAAAAACTCGGTTTTAAATACTATTTTCAAAGCTAAATTGGCTATGTTTAGAAATTGCACATTATATAAAAATATTTTTTTTAAGATGCTATTTTAGTTTATTCTAAGCTGCAAAACAAATAAATCGATTTTTACTTACAATTTTAACTCGTACACGTACACGGACATTTTAAAAAGAGAAATACAACAACGTTTAGTCACCTGGCTATACCCTTGAATAGATGTATTGATTCATCTTTGCGGGGTTTATATGAAGAAATGTGTCTCTTTATTTTGAGAGTATAGGAGAAGAGTTGTTGCTTATATTTTCCTAGTCTGAATCAGGGTTCAATTCAAGCGGTATCGCTTCATAATTTGTCATTCAAAGTAACTCTTTTCGCTATCCAATATTTTTTATGATGCAAATTAAAATTTTGCACGACGACCTACGAATCAAATTAAATTGTTTATTTTTCATGATAATTTTTGTCGAATCTAGATACACTTGGTGGTCTCTATAAACCTTAAAAAAAATATGGATTGTTTAGTTTAGAAATAAGTAGATCCATTGTATCTTTTAAAAAATTTTGGACTTCGATCTGGAGTTTACAATCGGAACATTTTGAATTGATACCGAACTTTCATGAAAAGTGAATCAAAATTATTGATTTACATAACAACGTTTTATAAGCGTTTCATTTCAAGGGAGGAAACCTACTGCAATTCTCTTTGACCACTGCGGCTACTTATGAAAATATTTCAAATTTAACTTTGTGCGCATTATGGTTAAGCAGGGAATCTTTCAAATTCTTTGACGGAGGTGGCCCATGAAAGGTTATTGAAGTTCTGTGATTGGAAGCCATGCACTGAGGCACAAACGTATCATACAAGGATAGAGAATATCTTACACAGACCCTCTGACTATAGTCAACCTCCCCGTCGCTCAGTATTCCTTCTTCCATTTTTCTATGACTCCACTTCCCTTTGACCCTCGATGTACTTCTCTATACACTCCTCACTAATTACGCAGTCCCTTCCCCCTAACTGTCCTTTTGCTTTTCTGATGAGATTTAGACGCTTGCCAAATCTACTAATATTACGCAACGCTCGATGTCTCTATAAACTTTGACCTTTAGTCAATAGATCTATTTTATTTGATTAAATATGAGAAATTATATTGAAAATACTCTCAAATCAAACTCTAATTTTTTTTTTGGGTCAACATTCCACTTTGACGCTGAATGAAAAAATGGTACTATATTCTATTATTGTCCACACTTTTTGCAATGCAGTTACCACAATGAATACGATTGAAATAATGCTTCTGATGAATGTTACTACATTTCACAATTATGACAACAAAAATAAAACAAAAACGAAAGAAAAACCACAGGTACACGTAGGCTTAATTTCATATTTTGAAATCAGATGTCGCACCAGGGTCTATGGCGTAAGTGACACCTATTAGTTCCTAATTAGTGCGTGACAAGCGAGAAAGGTGAGATTATGCCATAAGAGTTCTACATAGTATAAGCTAGCAGCATTTATATATTAAAATGTCATTGATAATTGGGTAGATATAGATAATCTAATTAGTATGTCGAAATATAAAGGTTACATTTAAAGGGACATAACTGCGTAACGATTTTCTGAAATGAACATAACTGCGCCGCGATTTTCTTCATACTACTGTTAAATCCTTTTCGATTTTCAAATGATGTTATAAAGATCAATTTTGGAATTTTTAAACTGAACGCTAGTGACTACTAAAAAAAGAGCATCTAAGTTATTTATTCCATTAACTCTCTGTGGAAATATTCGTAAGCATTGTAAAATTTCAATCTTTTCTGAATGGATATTAATTGAATTAATAGTGTACATGTTGCCTATATCTTTAACATCCAGTTCAATTTTATTTTAAAAAAGACATATGTAAAGGTTCCATAATAAAAACAATAGATCAAATCCAAGTGATTTGAATTATTTGTTCAAAACACCGTGTCGATGGAGCCAAATGTAGCAGTGATAAGGAAAGATAGTCAATTATCTACCAATTCTTTGTAAGATGTTTTTGTACACAAACATAAGGCAGTGTTGAAGGTCAATTCAACGAAAACCCTGTGGCAAACAATGTGTAAAGGAAAGATCTGGCGTTTTGTTAACTGTATAAAACAACCCCCATAATGATGTAAATATGAGTATATTATAATGTACTATTCCGTTGGCAATATCCGACCTTATTAACCTTGTTGTGGTCTATAAATATTATCCCTGGTAGCATACAGTACAAAATTAAAAAATAAAAGACTGGGAATTATTTTGTATAGGGGCCGCATAGAAACATTTAAGATGAAAAGTCTTTCATTTATTTTACAAATAGCTTGGTTAAGTGATTTGTAATGGTTGGAAACATGAACCTGGTCAAATATCCAATACTCTTTTGGTTGTATATATTTTGGTCCGTATATTGTTCCTTCATTAGGTAAAGGCATTTCGACTTATATCAATAAGGATTCAGAGAAAATTGCGTACGGGCAGTATGATAAGTGTGTTTCATCATGTTTACAGTTGGGAGTAACATTTGGATGGTGCTGACCAATAATTGTTGTCATCTCTTCCTCAAGTAATGTAAGACAGCGATAATGTGATGTAGTGATCTACTTTCTATTATTGTCGGGTGTTGTGCACAGAGATTCATTCTGGGACTAATACATGGATCATTGAAATAAAATTGTAACGGGTCCAATCGAAGGAATGGCTGATGGACTCATGGCCCAAAACATTACAGCCTAAATACACCACTGCGCATGTACCTCTAGTACACTCTCATCGTATCACGAATACTGGTTTTGAATGGGGGGTTGATATGGACACGATCGAACACTCTAATCTTGAAAAATGGTAGCAGAAGTTTGTTAATTCGAAAACTCTTTACTAGGATTAACGCCTTGAAAAGGTATCTTCATAATGCCCAGATTCAATAGTTCTAAAATAAAACTCTTAAAATTTCAATGGTATACTAAATAATCAAATATAATACAGAAACATCTTATTCATTCATTTAAGAAATTACTATAGCTGAGTTTATGCAGTCGCCAAATTTGTGCCACCATACTGTTTAAAATACCTGAAATTTAAAAAGAAATATAATCAAGGACTTTATGCCACATATCTTAAGTTAAGAGTCCAGTGTTCGTGCAAGTTGACATACATAACATATAGCTCTGGTTTTAGATAATTTGCTTTCATATTGGATTTCTAGTGGTAACAAGGCAAAGGTGGTGCCTCTCCATGTCCGTGATCAACGGTCAATTTTTCACTGGCTTTCTGCTTTCTTTCTGAGTGATACTGTTTTTACGAGTAATGGGGAGTAATGGGGAAGTATGAAATACAAGATTTGACCAAATTCTTATTTTTGTACACATTCTTTTCCTAATGCTAAATTATAGTAAGATATGTTCGTCAATGGTGTACATTATGCAAATATAATAGGCCTATACATCGTACAAGTCTGTTTAAAACAAATTAACTTACCTTTGCGACTCGAATATATCAAATGGTATTTTATGAACTTGGTTGGTAAGTTTCTCCAATTTATAAGTTAGAAATTTAACATGGTGGAGAAGATCATAACAAAGGTCTTTTGGTGGCGGTGGTGGTGGAGGTGGTCTCATTGGGGGTGGTGGTCCAAAACAGCTTGTGCGTCTGAAATAAATCATCTATAAGCACATGGATATACTCGTAAACTTGGCAGTTAGTTTCTCCTACATGTGAGACAATTGCATTTTAACCAATCGGCGATCGTAGCAAAATAGCCAAAGCCAGAACTGTGAAATGTTAAATACTGTAAATGACCATTAGTCAAACTATAAAATGACCACCTTAGAACAATATTTTATTTGGATGAATCTAATTTCTAATCTAATCTAAATTAACTAGCACTCTTAATTATCGACTGACTGAATATACGAGGGTCAAGGCGCGAATAGAATACTGTATGTGACAATCGATATAGTAAAAACATGGAAATGTATATCCGTCTATATTACCACTCAAGACACCATCTATGGGGGTATAAGATCGTATATATATATCAATTCAGAAAATGGTACATTTCATATAAGTCATGAAAATTATATCACAAGACTACTCACATACTACTACTATGACTAAAACCAACAAACTTCTTGAGATTTTTGAAAGTGATTAAAATACAAGACCATTCAGACCGATTGCTTAACTATAAGGCACGGAAGTTTCCAGTGGTAATATTAAGAGATAAGCGAAAATATAATATATTCATTAATCTAAAAATAATAAAATGTTCTAAATCAATCATTAAATTAGATAGATCATTTCATTTTATTTAAATAATAACTGGAAAAAAAAAACGGATATCTGGATATATAGAAGAGACTTTTGTGGTCAGTAACGGCTTAATTTAAAATATATTGACACATAACTAACTTCTGATATGCTATTCCGAAACATATGCATCTATTCCGGTCTCTGGTGGATATTTTGACAGTTATCGGCTGGAGTAGGGTCAGAAAAACTAGGCCCTGTTTTATGGGGATTTTCCACAAGATGCGTTTATTCTAACATGATATTAAATTATCTTTACGATAAAAGTCTCCACAAAATAGGGCATATTTTTTCTATCTCTACACCAGCCGAATACTTTAAAATATCTATCAGAGACTAGAATAGAAGCAGATGTTTCGGTTACTGATATATTTGACAATATGCTATGCTGTCTGTTAGTGGAAACATGACCCTAAACTATGGGGTGTTCATGTCCTTAGACTGTTTCGAACACATTTATTCATCCTTGAACATCTTAGAATCATTTAACTTACCTCTATTGGATTTCAAAAACGACAAGCATCTAATGCTTTAAAAAAAATCTTATATAGGTGCTCAATGGTACGATAAAATAATGTTATCATTCTATGTGATCATTGTGGATTATCATCAAAGCCATATCCCCGAGCATGCTCTAAAATACATCTTTTAATTAACATACGTGATAGTTGTATGTAGGTCATCGCGCAAAATGAGGAATGGTTATTAGCATGTGTTTTTTTGGGCTTTTCCTCGGCCTCCTCACATTATTTTTTTTTGTAGGAACGCCACTGATAAGGTGGTACTAAGGATAGTAAACTTTAACTAAATAAATAAACAAATGCAATTTTAAAATTATTTATTCAAAGATTAGAAACATGCATGAAACATTGCAACACGATCATCAACCGCTCCCGTTCTATCTTTCAGATTCAGCAAACGGACCAACTGGCCAATTAGGGCCACGATTATATCTGAAGAATTAGAGATCTATCTATGTTTTACATTAGAAAATGATATGCGATAAAAAAAAAATGTGAAGTAAGGGGACATATTTCTCAGTGCGAAATTCCAATTTGTCGCGAGCAACCAAATTTTTAGACGTTGTGACGTACCAGAAAATCTGAATTATATGTTAAACAAAATTCTGGTGGTTGCAGAAAATACAAAAAAAAAATTCTTAAAATGCAGAATAAATAAAGTGCTAACGATCGGAACCGCAATACGAAACCCGAAATCCAAACAACATATTGGCGAAACATTAGTAACAGCTAATGAACTTTTTACATGAGGAAGTATATTAATCATATTAAGTGAGTAACGTAAGTAGGTCTATTTAAACCCTTTAATTTCCAATTCCCGTCTGACCCCTTAGAATGGATTTGAAAAATATGATGTGGAGCCGCTACTGTAAAATATATATCCAGAATATGTTAACCATTAGCGCAAATAGATGATTTAAATCGATAAATATTTTAAACTTGGTGATTATTCAGAAAATAGGTTTGAAATTAGGGTCGCCTGTTTGTACGAGGTAAGTTCATCCTGTTGAATAGATTACACACCATCTTCTAACGACAATTGTATCAACTGTATGTAAAGCTCTTTTCCTGAGCGATTAGTTCTCTATTAATTTGATTAGTTGTCTATCAGTTCGATTAGTTCTATAAGTTCGATTCGTCGTCTATTAGTTCATTTAGTTGTCTATTAGTTCGATATGTTGTCTTTAAGTTCGATCTTTACGTCCACTCTGAACAAGTATGCTTTATTGCCAAAAAACTATAAAGAAACGACCAGATATAGTTATCAATTGGCGCAAATCTGGAAATCACCTTCTCTTTAATATTTATCAAACTGCGATTTACGAGACGAATGGGTATATTTCAATGGCTTTTGGCAGGGTTTACGCATAGCCCATATCTTTTCAGTATTATACATCAAGGAAATGGTACATGTTTACAATTAGTGTTACGGATCAAATGGAAAATAATAAACGTGTTAAAATAAGGATTTGATTGTTTGGGCTACTGTTTAATATTGTTCTGTAAACAAAACAATTATGTAGTGACATTTGGTCTGTTAACAGACAGTTAATGGATTTGATCGGAAATTCAGCTGATGGTAGTAACCGATGACAATTGACCCGGAACTCATCCGAAATATACACATGCGTGCGACGTATAGTCTGATCAAAACAGTTAACTGTATGGTGTTCTAAACAAGTGGACGGATGTCGACGTCGATATTATAATGTTTGGCGTGTAGGCTACATTTAAATAACATTTTCTATTAAAGATTTGAAGCTATAAGGGTGACTTTTGGTGAACAAATACTAGTTTACGTGACCATATCTTTCTAATACTTGTTATAGGGTGGTTTCCATTACTAAGGATAGTAAACTTTAGCTTTTTGCTTTTAAGTAACGTTTTTTGACTTGGACTTAGTTTGAATGGTTACAGACGTAGCTTATAGTCCGTTTCTGGGTTCCAAGACAAAATTCTCCAAAGTTCGCCTCACCAAATAATTAAACAAATATAAATTTGAAATTATTTATTCACAGATTAGAAATGCTCATACATGAAACATTGTTTAAGCTGCAACACGATCAACAACAGCTCCCGTTCTGTCTTTACAGAGGTCCAGGAGGTCTAGGAGGTCCAGGAGGTCCAGGAGGTCCTCTACGGCCATAATATCTGAAAATTGTATGCGATACCATTATGAAGATAAGGGTCAGATTTCAACGTCCCAAGGTGAAAGAAGAAAGAGGAGGGATGGGAGGTGGTCGGAGGGGGTTGGGGGTTTGTAAGTGGGCAGAATATACAAAAAATGTATGCATTATTTCATTTAAAAATGTAATATTTATAGAAGAATGCTCTTTCAAATTGCATAAAATGCAGGATAAATAAACAAAGTACTAACGCGAAATCCAAACAACATATTGGCAAAAGCAGCTAATGAACTTTTCACATGAGGAAGTATATCAATCATAAGTGTGTAAGGTAAATACTTTTGTATGTACGGATAGCGAAACATTCAGAAACGTTGTGACTTCTTATACTGAACGATTAGTGTCACATCATTAGTCATTGAGGGCAGGACAAAAAGTCTTGGCAATTCTTTCAAAGAGCGAACAATCTTGTCCTGGAGAGGAAAATTGAATTTTGTGATCATACGATCAGTTATATATGTTTCAGGGGATTATAAATATAAATACTTACTTTCTTGCCTCAATTATATCAAATGGTATTTTATGAACTTGGTTGGTAAGTTTCTCCAATTTATAAGTTAAGAATTTAATATGGCTGAGAATTTCAACACATGGTCCCCTCTGCCTTCTAGAAGTCAATTCAATATCTGCTTGAACAGGGACAAAGTCTGCATTATTTGCATCACCTTCTTGAGCCATTCCAGTATTGATATCTACAATATCATAATCAATAACAGAATAACATGTTGCGGACTTTACCGTAATGGCTCAAACTTTGACAGCAATATATTGTTTCTCTCGTGACAAATCCCCCCCCCCCCCCTCCTCCTCACTGGAAACTGCATGACATTGCGAACAACCTCTATTTCATTTCACTTGAAGGGATATTGAGATGACATGATAGCTGATGAATTTAAAAACAAACTCACACAAAACAGCAACAAGTAGCCAAACGGATATCCAGACTGTCTTCATTTTGAACTGTTAACTATTGAAACAGAAAATGATAATTAATATACCGAAACAACCACAAAAGAAACGTCGAATTGTAAAAGTGTATTTTTTTCACACAAGATAAAATGGATTTATTCATATTTTTAGGCACTTTGATATCAAGAGGTTCCTTGAGGTTTGCCGAGAACCAGTCATAAACTAGATTAAATTATCGTATCTATATTTTATCGTAACGCATGATACGACTTTATACCACCGTAACCTGTAACAACACTGTGAAATTAGTTAATGATCGAATCTACTATATTGTTGTTAACTCCCTTGAAAAAGACAACAGAAAATTCAATGAAAAATCCCAGACTATATCCTCGTAGACAGGAATAGTTTGTGTATCAGAGACTAAATACAAAATGCCTCTTACCTTATAAGCTTACAGCAGAAAGTAAACAGCAAGATTCAGATAGTTGTGAACTGCTATCAGTTATGCTGTTGCTTTTATTTCAAACGACGACATTCGAAAAAAAATTGTTCACGAAGATTAAAATCAAATTAAATCAAGCCTTGCAGTATATTTCACAAAAATTCACCATACATGATTTAATTTTGAATGCCCTTGGACATTTTTGTTTTGTGACAATATGATTAAAATTCAGATCTAGATGTTTGGTGTTGGTATTTTTTCTGTTACTCTCCGTGATCTGACAAAATTGTTGAGCAATACATGTTCGAGTCATTTGAATATTCAACCAATCATATTAAGTATTCTCTGTGCATATTTTGATATCGTTTGTTATTTCAAAAAGCCTTTTTTGCTATTCAAGAAGAATGAGTTATTACGTTTGAACGTTTAGTTAACAACATGATTTCCATGATATAAACGAACATGGCCATGTTAGAAGAGAATTGGTAACGTGATCAAAAATGAACATAGTTTTGATATCCATGGTAGCTCCCGTCCCTAACCTTTCTCCATACAAAAACGTTCATATATCTTCAGCAAAGTTGATTTGAAATTGAAATACCAATTAATCTAACAGTGAGACAAATCTTTTAATCTTATTTTTTTTTATCAGAATTAGCAAATCTTGGGTCATATATTAAGTTTGTTATGAGATTAATATTGATGATAACAGTCTTGAAGTTAATATTGTTTCATGTCCTGGCTAAAGGGCAGGTTTATATTGACATCTGAGACAAAATGTTTTTAAATTAGTGGGTCGTGAAAAGATTATTCCCCCAAGAAATGCAAGAAAAGAGTAAGTAGGCCCTTATCTTTGAACTGAAAGTTACTTTATGATAATGAGAATTTGTTTTGCGGCAGTCGGTCATTAAAGAACTATAGTTGTGTGATTATTAACTTTATCAACTGATATAGATCAATTTCAGTATTAAAATCCAACGTTCAATACCCCTACAATTCAATAAGTTAAGACTGATATTACTTATTCACATATAGGCTAGCTATTATTACTGATAAATGTTCAAAATGGAATCCATCGTTCGTTGTTTACATGACGTCATTTGCTTAGTTACGTCAAGCAAATGGTGGTTGTGGGTTCTAATCTCGATCGGTGTGTGAAAGGCCAATGATCTTAAATAATTCATCTTCACGTATAACTCCAGTCGACCCAGCTGTAAATGAGTACGGATAATCCGGGAAAGATAAATGCCAAGAGGTTTGGCCAAGACCACCTGGTAGAAAGGATCCTTTGTGAATCTAAATTGATATCAGATAGTTGTTTCTTTCCTATCTTTCTTTCATTGCACTACGAATAAATTGGCATCCAAAAGGAGAAAGTCCTATTGAAGTCCTACTAATGGAGAGTAACTTTGATTGAAGTTCATAGTTCACCATTTAAGGAGATTGATTTGGGTTTTGAATATGTGAAAAAGTTTTCAGAGGTACTGCTGTATGAAAAATGGATAATTCTTTCAAAAATATTTCAAACTAGGAATTTATTTTCTTTCACTAATTTATTAAGTGCTTGGAAGTTAGGATACGCCTTGTTGATAAGGTCTATGAAAGTAAAATATCGTGTAGGGATACTTGTTCAATATCTAATCCTTATCGGTTCTACAAAATGGCTCAGTTTAGAAATAGACGATACTGCCATTCGAAGCATCACACAGAGATACAATGAGCATCTCTCCATTTAAGAGAATACCTCTATGCCTATAATGTCAGATCCCATCATGATTCCTCCTAGTTGAACCAAGTCGTCTGACTATCCTCTTCTCTTTCTATCATTGTGTTCTTCTCTCTTTCTCACCTTTATACCTTTATATCTGTTTCTCAATTTTCTTCCTTTCTTTCTCTTCCTCTTCCTAAAATATATTCTTCTATATACTCCATATGTCTATCTCTTCTTGTATGGCATAGTTATACCATACTACCCCGGTTTCATCCCTCCTCTCTTCATACTGCCTTTTCTCTACTTCCCTTTCTCTCCCATTACCATGTCCACTAAATCACCCTCTCCGCTTCTGATTTCCGAAACTCTCGTTCTTATACTTTCCTCTGACTCTGTACTTTTATGGTTACATCTTCTCTACTGCCAATTTTTCCCCTTTCTTCCTCAGTTGCTTTTCTCCTTCTCTTCTTTCCCCGCACACCCTTGTCTCTACTTGTTAATCTCTCTATTACTACTCAACCCTAGCCTCTTCTTTCCTCTTGTCTCTACTTCATTACCCCTACTTCAGAGTTCAATTTATGCGGAGTTTGCGAATCCATTTCGACCCAATTAGCCTAAATGATGCACCGTTTAGTCTTTAGTTTAGATCCATTGTATCTTATTTTACCATTAGGTTATTTTTATTATGATGATTATATTATTTTAGACGTCATTATAGTAGTATAGATCTGGATTTTCCAGTCTTTTTTGGTCCTGAATATTGACGTTTTCGGAAAGGAAACAATAACTGCTCCCGTGATCGGACTCGGACCCTTTTAAAACCTCTGGTTTCCAATTGTTAATAGTCAAAACGCAATGTGGGGAACAAAGGCAATAAATTGTAAACAGTTCAGTCAGTGTAAAGAAGTTGGCTTTACTCACCTTTGTCTTAAATTTGGTCAGTAAATATGACTGCTTTATTGCTTTTTATGGAAATTAAAGGTATATTTCAGGTCGTGCTAGGGGATATTACTTTGATGATAATATCTGGGATGATCAAATCGGTTGATCAAATCGGTTGATAACATATTTTATTTAAAAAAAATACATATAAATACAAAGGGGGATCCAGGTACTTACAGCCGATGTGAGACCACCGTTTTGAAGTCTTTTTTTCTTAAAGAGGTTAGTGAAACTGATTTCTCTTTTTAAAGTGATACTACGTCTTAGACTGAACATAAAGTTCTCAAGAATGGTCAATATGAGTATATATTCATCAGTGAACTTACATGGTGGTATAAAGATACCACAGAATCCCTGGAATATCTGGAAACTTATTTAAGGTATATCTACTGATAAATGTATATGCTCTTATTGGCCAAGTTTAAAATTCTTAAATTTTATGTTCATTCTAAGACGTAGTATTCCTAAGTGCGCAGATTACTTAAAAGGTTTTTCTTTCTTTTCAGTAAAATGGCGTTACCAAGGACACTCGTGGTTTGGGTCTTGTTCGTGGCATTTTGTAAGTATAATATCAGTTTAACATGTATTGTAAAGACCATTATAACCATACAGAACAACAACAAAAATTGTAGCTTATTGACCATTACAAAAACAGAAAAAATATTATGTATTTAAACTTTTAATCTTAAAATTTATTTAGGCGCACATGTTGCTTTTGCTCAGGACCCCACAGATGTTGATGTTAGAGATCTAGATGGTGGTGTAGACGATAGACGAATACAACAAACTAATCCTAATTGGAATCAAAAACCTAAAAACCCTTGTGATGATCTTCTCCGCCATATTAAATTTCTAACTTATAAATTGGAGAAACTTACCAACCAAGTTCATAAAATACCATTTGATATATTCGAGTCGAAAAGGTAATTTTATTTTTTTATAAACCTCTGAAACATAACGTACGAACTGAACGTACGATCGCAAAATTCATCATCTTGCCTTGCGTTAAGTTGTTTTGTCCTGTCCTCGATTTCTAATGATATGACACTATTTTCTACCGTGAAACTTTCTACTTCTCATTTAACTTAGAGGTTATGAATACAATATTAATCCTTCCAATCTTCAATTATTCAGGTATTTTGGACCTCCGAGAGGTGGTGGTAGAGGAGGTGGTAGAGGAGGTGGTAGAGGAGGTGATGGTGGTAAAGGAGGTGATGGTGGTAAAGGAGGTGGTAAAGGAGGTGATGGCGGTAAAGGAGGTGGTGGTCCGCCACAGAAAGGAAGATAGTAATGCAAATGAAACAATGTTCCATGTATGAGCACTGCTAATATTTGAATAAATAATTTTTTAAGTTATATGTGTTTATTAATTTGGCGAGGCGAACTTTTAAAAATTGTGTTTTTGAACCTAGAAACAGACTAAAGATTTTTAGACGATACTCTTCGGACATCTTCACGTCAGGCCTGTAGATAACCAAGTACTTCTTGGGGTGGGTAGGGGGACTTCCAATCGAGGGGGGTATGAGTCTGCTTCACGCTCTCGCAAAGAATCGAAATTTGATCTTCTCATCACCCAACCCATTATTCATTGATACTTTCACGAATAAATAAATGACGAATGTCAAATAGCACTGAATTCACAGCTATCATCTCAGAATAACAGAAATGACAGTTATATGTAGGAAATGGCATTTTTGTAAGTTTTTGTAACTTTTGCCAAATCCTTTTACTAAAGTTGTAATAAAATATTTTTTAATAAAAAAAGAATCGAATACAACCTCCTCACCAACAATGATGTGTATTATGTACTACATTGGCGTGTAACTAGCAGATTATGTATTTATCCATCAATCAATGAGCGTGGTTTGCAGATGGATTTTCCATCCTCCGGAATCCCCCGTATAGATGCAGAGAATTTATAGATCATATGATAAAACATTCGGTCCTCCTTCTCAAAGCAATTACACTGTTTTGTACTATACCAAAAATAATATACAGAAGTTAAACGAGTGCTTGCTTATATCATATGAAATTTATGACATGAGTTGCCTGCAAAACTGTCATTTGGCCTCCATAGAAAAATGGATTCTTACAAATTTAGAAATATTATTTTTATACGTTTTTGATCCAAAATTTGTGTCAGAATGAACCTATATCAATTTGATTTTTCAAAATGGTCTAGCATAAGATTAAGTCTATAAACTATGGTCATTACTTTACCAGTTTGAAATTAATTTCGACTTGATATCTCCACCCTGCTGATTAAATAACATATCATTAGCGACAATTGTATCAACGAAATGTTCAGTTAGCAGAGCCTTCCAAACCTTAAAATGTTTAGCGCAAAAATGTGAGTGAATAAAACTTACACATTATGTCAGTTACGCTTGTTGTAGAGGATTATACAAAAATACACTTACTTTTGCGACTCGAATATATCAAATGGTATTTTATGAACTTGGTTGGTATGTTTGTCCAATTTATAAGTTAGAAATTTAATATGGCGGAGAAGATCATAACAAGGGTTTTTAGGTTTTTGATTCCAATTAGGATTAGTTTGTTGTATTCGTCTATCGTCTACACCACCATCTAGATCTCTAACATCAACATCTGTGGGGTCCTGAGCAAAAGCAACATGTGCGCCTATAATAAATTTTAAGATTAAAAGCACAAGTTAAAGTATATAATATATTTTGTTTTTGTAATTGTCAATAAAAATATGCTGTGTATGATTATAATGGTCTTTACAATACATGTTAATTTGATATTATACTTACAAAATGCCACGAACAAGAACCAAACCATGAGTGTCCTGGGTAACGCCATTTTGCTGAAAAGAAAGAGGATCTCTTTAACAGTAAACGTCCGTCCACAATTGCTTGTAAACAACACTCAAGAATGCATATTTTTTGAAAGATTTGACTTAACCTGCTGAAACTTTTCATTATCACCCAATGTTCACCAAATGTGAATTAAAAATAACACTATTTCAAAAAAAGAAATGTATGCCAGTGCAGTATAATAAGATCTAAAAATTGTATATTTACAGTCCCAGTGTATGTCGGATTATACTGTATATGTATATGTATAATTATGTATATGTATATATATATGTATATGTATATGTAAATGTATATATTGAACTGTGGTAGGGGTTCCCCAAGACACCAGTAGCTTAAACAGATTCTTATTTATATTTGTCGAAGTCAACATATATAAAAAAAATTAGAAATATTAAAACAGAACTTGAATCATGAGTTTCATGCTATACGATCTGTTGTTGAAACTCTGAGTAACATCATGATTCAAGTTCTGTTGAAATATTTCTATATCGCTCTACAATGGATGTATTGAGCACTATTTTAACAGTGAGAATATTATATTATTCTACATGTACATATAAAATTAAATAAAACAATTAAAGAGTTAATGATCATGCTTTTAAAAAATAGAAACAGTTTTACTTACCTCTTTTTAAGAAAAAGACTATCGCTACCTCCCTCCTCGTGTTTTATAGACAAATTTTTAATAAAATATATTATCAACCTATTTGATACCAGATATTATCATCAAAGCTATATCCCCGAGCACGTTGTGAAATAAACCTCTTATTTAAAAAAATCAGCAATGAAACAGTCTTAGAGCCCCATCATACACCGGAAAGGCGTCCTTACTGAGCTGGCACAGTGACCGAAAATTATCACTGGGACAAGGTGGTGGACAAGGAGCAGGCGGACAAGGTGGTAGACAAGGAGGAGGCGTACAAGGTGGTAGACAAGGAGAAGGCGGACAAAGTGGTAGACAAGGAGGAGGCGTACAAGGTGCTGGACAAGGAGCAGGCGGACAAGGTGGTAGACAAGGAGGAGGCGTACAAGGTGGTAGACAAGAAGGAGGCGTACAAGGTGGTAGACAAGGAGGAGGCGGACAAAGTGGTAGACAAGGAGGTGGACAAGGAGGTGGCGGACAAGGTGGTGGTAAATCAGTGCCTTCAAACATTCAGGGGTCTGAACAGGTTACTTTAAGCATTAAGATAATTTTATTTTATCATACCATAATTATACTAATCTTATCGTAGAAATTCCACAACATGTCATTACGTGTCTGCAGTTCGTCGTGTAAGCATTGAACACATGATCGTTGGTGAGGAAGTAGAATTCGATTGGATTCTTTACAAGAGTGTGAAGATATTTTGAGACGATAGTCGGTAAAAGTATCTTCACGCTCTAGTAAAGAATCGAATTTGACGGATTGAATGGGCGAGCCGTGGCTTATACGCCACTGTATCTGTGAGCCCTATTGTGACTGGTCAACTGATCACTTTCTATCCAGTACTAATTTGTTGGTAACATGGTAGTCTCCGCTCATCATATAGAAATAAATAGTATAGGTAAATAACTCATAATGTTGTGCCAAATAAAAGCATGTTTAGTCCCTAATGGAAACAATTGAATCCAACTCTCAGATGTTTTTAAAAATATGAATGTACCTTGTGAAAACATCATTTTATTAATCATATACTACAACAGTAAGTACAATTCGGTGGAATTCATCACAATTTATATGGAATGTTGGTTGATTACAAAATGTGGTCTACGTAAGACAGATAAGAGATTTGTTTTACAAATAAGATAAAAAATAGCTTGCCAGGCAATGTATGTAGCATAGACCCACCCCAGCAATTAAGCAGTAACAATGTTTTGATGACTTTTGGAGAAATCTATAAATTATGATTGCCAATTTCTTATTAGTATATAACTTATCAATCCTCGGGACATTTCATCAACATTTATATTAAAACCTCTTTAGCGCTAATTTTGTTTTCAATAAGTCAAGGGAAATAACTCAAATACCGTTCATGGAATGATCTCTTAGAAATTTGAACTCGATCTGATATAGTATCAATTCAGTTTGTTTCAGTCAAATAAGAAGAAAAAACGATCGCACTAAGAAACTAATTTCAATGCATTTTCCATTAGTGAAGGCCAATAATTGAAAAAAAAAAGATGCTTATTGAAACAATGTCGATTAATGTCCAAACTAACTTTCATCAATGTTAAATAAAATCGTATGTTCCAGAAATATTGACGGACGGATGATCAAATGAACTGGGGTGACGGCAACATAAATTAACATTTTCATGGGGATGCAAAAAAATCTTGTCCTAACAATAGCCATAGTTTCAACTTTCCAATAAAATTGTTTTTGATTTGAATTTAATTACTTAATTTGAATTATTTTACAAAGATATTCAAGTAGGGCTACTGAACATTATGTAGAATCACCACTAAACCTAAATATTTATAAGTGTTTGTATCAAATAGTTTTAAAGCTGAATACATTATAAGCTCATGAGACATTAAATTGTTGTGAGATGCAGTCATCAAAGATATTAAACACATTATAAAGTTATATCACAAATATTTCAAAACATAAATAAGGCCAGTCTAGAGGCGTGGGAATAGCAATAGAAAACTCACAAGACAGATTGAGATGCATTACACTTAATATACCACAGTCTAAAGTAGTAGTTTTCACAATGTTTGTGTATTAATAACATTATAAACTATTGCAATAGTTTGACTGATATTTATGCACATGAGGGAAGTCTACTAAAAAAGAAACAGTGTAGTCTGATTTGAGTTTCAGTGAAATTGCAGGAACCATAGACGCCATATTGAAAATTGAAATCAAATTGATGCTATCAGTGTCCCTAATACACATAAAAAAATTAGAAGTTGAAATGATAACAGCCAGACTTATTTAGTATTAAATATTACTGAAAGTATCAACTTCCTAGGATCCCAAACGGACACAAATATATTTGCCCTACTATAAATGGTATGTAAAATGTGTAAGTTGTAAAGGGAAGTAATCCATTAACAAACTTATTCATAACAATATCTAAATATTTTTATCTTCAACAAGAATAGAATATCTATACAAAATACTCTGGAAGTAAATCACAAGCTTAAAATTATAGTTTGAGATAAAGTAAAAATTAAAGATAAAGACCACAATGTATTACATGAAGGACCTAGGTTACAATTGTAGCAATCTACCTGGCAGAATACTTCCATAGAAGATTACAGATGTTGTTAACTTTGATAGGTCGAGATTTATCAGACTAAAAAACATATTAATTTAAGCTTGAAATTTTCTTCCATATAGAAAACATAAACCACAACAAATTAAATAGGTAGGCCACCAATAGATAAATTCATAACAACAAAGTTTCTTAAATTTGACACATAACAAAGTACCAGTTCCAGTACAGTAACTAGTTTTTCTAAAGAAAACAAATGTATAGTATAAAAATTTTGCAATAACAAAGTTGTACTTTGGGTTGTTTTTTTAAAGAACGTAATAAATTGCTTGCTGGCATGATATACTAAACTATAAATAACATTCACTAGAGAAAAATAAATTTCTACAATAACAACTATATAAATTATAATTAATGGAATTAAACGAAGTATCAAATCCACTGTGACTTATAATAACATCTTTGTTATGTTTTCAAAGGCTGAAAAGGAATATTCACTGAACTGTTGTCCCTTGTAAGAAATAGGTGACATTATAGATCTTGTAAAAACAGATTGGTGACATCATAGATATTTCTCAAAAGAGATTGGTGACATCTTAAAAATCTCACAAGAGATTGGTGACATCATAGATATTTCTCAAAAAGAATTGGTGACATCTTAGAAATCTCACAAGAGATTGGTGACATCTTAGATATCTCACAAGAGATTGGTGACATCACTGATATCTCTCACAAGAGATTGGTGGCATCTCAGATATCTCTTACAAGAGATTGGTGACATCATAGATATCTCTTATAAGAATTAAGTGACACCAATCTCTTTTGAGAAAGTCTAAGATGTCACCAATCTCTTGCTAGTAATTGTTAAGATGTCACCAATCTCTTGCTAGTAATTGTTAAGATGTCACCAATCTCTTGTATAAGTAAAACAGTAATCCTTTACAAAAGGCATATAAAATATATAGAAGTAGATCTGATACATCTTAAAGATTTCAGTTTACAATATTAGATTTATTCAATTGATCCTTATTTTATATATATACAGTAACAATACAGTCAGCTTATTACTGGTGAATTTAACTTAACTTGAACAAAATAATCTAATAATAATAACCCTAACCCTTTACTCTGGCAAGTGAAAATTATCTCATAATTGAAGAACAGTGAAAAGTATGCTGATAATTTCCAATTAGTTTGTTCTGTTTGGCTTTATTGGAAACTTTAACAAATTATATGCACTGAAAAGTTAAAGACAGAAATTAGGTGATACTTGAATAACTTTTTTTTTATCTCTGAAATTAGAAAGGATCCTTTATTTAACAGTAGTTCAAGAGACTTCTAATTTCAACTTCAACTATCTAATTTGCACATTATAATACGTTACTGGTTCGATAAATACATATATTTACAAATAGATTTGGTGCAGATGGACAAATAGCAGAAATGGGATGTGCGTAGAAATTCATTTCATTTCAAAAGTTTTGAACTCATAACAAAATGTGGACCTACTTGAAATGCATGAATTAAGATAACTTCAAATTGTTAAGAAGCCATATTGCTTTTTAACACAAAAAAAAACATGATACATTTCAGTCATACGTGTCAAATGTTGAAGGAAATAGTTTTTTGGATCAACCAAATCAACGTAAAGGTAGTTTAAGCTAAATGGACAATTTATAGAATGACCAAATAGGCTATATTATAGATTATATGAATTAATATTAAAGACTAAGGTACAATTGGTCAAACAAACCTATCCCTTTTAAAAAGCAAAGGCCAAAATGAGGTTGATTCTAAAATAGCTGAGACAACCAACCAAGAATTAACATCTAGGACTATTTTATTTTCACAACAGGCCCCAGGTACGGATATTATAATATTTCAATCTTGTGGCTTGAATTCATAAAAATAGCTACATTATTAGCTCACTGGGGCTGAACTTTACTACATTTTTTGGTCATAACTTAACCTATATATACAGACAATGCATCATATAGAAAAGGGTATTTTCTAAAAATTTGCCAAAATTGTGAAAATCACAGCTTTACCTTCTCTAAGCAAAAGTCAGGCCAATGAACAACCAATCGATGCATTTGAAATCGTGCATGGTTATGATGTCTGTTTGATTCATACATATTCACATCAAGTTAAAATAAGTCCATTTCTTACATTATCAATATATTACATATATATAAGGATATTTTAAAATTGTTCATTAAATTCTTGTGTTTTCTTTAAAATACCAGATTTTGCATCAGTTATAGCTCCCCATAAATCAAATATAAAGGTATCGGTGAATCCAAAATCTTTCATATCAGAATCGTCAACACTGCAGGCAAAATCATGAGGATTATCACACTTGTCTCCAATTTCATAAATATTTTGAGCTGAAAGAATTAAAACAAGAATTTACATTTTCATTACTTTCAATATCATTATGCCAAAAACTGTCTTATCAGTCAAAATATTGACACATTTCTATTCAGCAAAATTAAGACTATTTCTGCTAATTCCACCGAATAAAATGAACTATAATTTACTTAAATGAGCAAATCATGTAAGCTAGCATAGGCCAAGTCTATTTGTTACTATTATTTTCAATTAGAATTGAGCTTGCTATCTATTGTTTAAAATATTAATGTTTCTAAATCATTGCTGAGTTCTTTTTTATTCTCATAAATGTATAACTTACCTAACTCTGTATCATTGATACCCATATAGGACTCTAATAGATTATTTATTTTATCAGTAGCTACACTGGCACACTCATTATCCTACAAACATATATAAAGTTCCAAATTAGTAGACTTATTAGCTGTGTTCACACACATGGTACTAATACTTATGTGTGCCAAAATTTTTGAACAATTCAAGACTTGGCACGCACCCCTGGTCTTATAGTATAATCCTCACCCTAGTTCTGAAGAATATGTATATTCATTTCATATATTCAAATTATATTATATTAATCAAACTAACTGCACAAACAATACTCTCTGACTAGAGGTTACGCCAACATATCTGTGCTTTTATAACATTACTTAATCACAATGTAACAACCAAAAAATGTTTAGCTCACAAAGACTTGAATCATTGGCACGCAATCGTGCAAATGTCAATGTGACTTAAGAATCAATAATACTTACCACTGTTTCAACTGTAGCAGGACCAGTTGATCTCAATCTTAAAGTTTGTTTACCACTACCTACTTTATTACCAACATTACCAGATTTCTTACCAGTTGATTGACCAACAAAAGCTGAAATAATATCAAAATGATCAAAATATCAGTTTATACGTTTTTAAGAAGATATAATCTACAAATTAATTGTATGATTGCAAATGGCAGCAAATGCCTACCAATGGATATGTATTAAACAGCATGTTCTTGAAGCTTGAAAGATTTCCTCTCGTAACTAAAGTCAGACCTTTGAGAAAATTATTAATTATATTTTTTTTTTATTTCAAAGTTTGAATTTATTATATCTATAATGACCATTTTTTTTTTTTTGTAAACAATATTTTATTCCTAAGAAAAGGATTGGAGAACAGGCTTACGCCTATGAAACCTCCTCTCCTAATATAATGACCATTAACTGCAGGACTAGGCTATTAGTCTGAAACCAGTTGGTATTGAATCTATCAGGTATAATTAGAATTCTATCAGTCTCTAGTGTACTTGTTAAAGAAAAGATAGAATGTGGTAGTTGTAACTGTTTTTGTGTAAAGGTTTCTGTGTCTGTAAATATTTGAAGTTAATTAACATTGTCTTTAAAAGAAAAGTATTAAAGGCACAGATGCAACATTACAGGGGTTGATTTAGGTCTTGAAAATATTTAATAGTCTTCGGAAGTACTAGAAATGAAAGAAATCTCACAATTCCTTTAAAAATATCTCAAACAAGGAATTTTTCTTCCTATTACTATAGACGTCTTTTCCATATATCGCCTCGTCTTTTTAAATTTCAAAGGCAGATATTTCTTGACATGCATGGATTTGAAGGTTCAAATTTCAATGTTGAGCTGTGAGCTACTAATGATTAGTTTAGCTAGTGTTATGATTTGTAGAAAATGGCGCATCTGTCCCTTTAATGACAGTAAGATAGAGTATCAGAGACTTTACATAGTAACATCTTCTATTTTCAACATATATTCAGTATCAGTCAGACCACAGTAAATTTAGCAGACATACAAACTTAATGGGGAGGGTACATTTATAAGGACCAGTTCATCGATAAGACTAAAAGACTCAAACCAAACTGCTGGTAGATTTTATTTTATTTCTGTCAGATTTCTTCTTCTATGAAAGATACTTCAAATTATAAAATGTGATTTAGACCTACATTAACTGGATGTAAATTTATGATTTCAGATAAGCTATTATTCTATTTATAAATAATATATAACCTACGCCTAAGAAAGGGTTAGAAAATTTATGATATGTTACAGAAGTATCCTTTACAATAAGTTATAATCATACAAAGAAGATATTTTATATAATCTTAGTTAAGTATGTCAACAAGACATCAATGCGATTAGAAAATTCATAAAATGATAGAGAAGAATGCTTCACAATATGTAATAATCATACAAAGAAGATATTTTATATTAAGTAAAAGTTGGAGTAAAATACGTCAACATGCGGTCAATAAGATAGGTCAATAGAGCTAGGCAATGTGTCAATATGGAGAGGTCAAAGTTCATGACAATCAAATACCTGAAAGCTTTCTATACAAGTCGCAACAGTCTATTGTATAATGTAGAGTATAGAAAATAAAGTAAATAAGGTTTTGTTCCTGTACTTTCTAACTGTCTATAGATAAATTTTAAACATTTCAACACAAATATATATAAACTTGTAATAAAAAAAAGAAATATCATATTGACAAGGAGCCCAACCTCAGATAAAATGTATTTGAGCACCAAAATGAACCTTCATAAATATTTTAAATATTTTCTTAGTACAAACTTAGGTCCTATAATTTAATTTAAACTAATTTTTTTGTTAAGGTTAAAAAGCAAGTTGATCTGATGCAAGTTCAACAAATCATGTTCTAAGAAATGTTGAATTGGAACTCAATTTAAATTAGATTCAGAAATGTTACTCATAGCATATTTTGCAAGAATTAAGTTTGAAACATTTTAGTAATGCTAAATAAGTGATGCCAGTTGAGGTATCTAGGACTATTTTATGTTTTTGTCAAAAGTAGGAGAACCAAGAGTTCGATTAAAATCCTTAAAATGCTATGGGTAACTGAAAGAGAGCTCCATCAGCTGGTAAAGCCAATTTTCATACAGTTTTCCTTCTTTCTTTATCTAAAGCTAAATTTTCAAATAAGATTCTTTGCTTCAAATTGTAAAGATCCAGACAAAACCTTACAAATAACACTAACTTACTATGTCTGATCTTACAAAAGTGGTAGACCCATACAACCAGTACAAGTATAAAAACAGTAGTCCTGTTAAGAAATATCTTTAAGTTAAAATATTTACTAAGTCAAATTATTGACACTCACTTCACCTATTTTTATTCTAGAATACTCTCAAACAACTGATACAGTAACATAAGTATTTAAACTAAGAATTGTTGAACTATTATCTTCCTTGTTTGAGTTTTTCAACTTTGGGTTTTGTATAAGTGACCAAGCTGTTTTACACAAAAATCCTACTATTGAATTGGTCTTATATTTAACAAATATGGATAAAAAAGGGCTGGCTTAAATGTTTTGAGCTTCTGATGTGAAATAGGAAAGAAAGTAAAGCATTATCTTATCTCATAGAGGAATACTACCACTCAGAATGGACACAACTCAAATTCAAAGTCTCAAACTTAGTACATATAGTCATCACTTGCACTTAACAGGTGCACAGTGACTAAAGAATAGAATCTCTATATATAATTAAACTTAATAAAATATATTGAAACAGATGTTGCACAATAACTCAGTTTAATGAGTTATTACTTAGTATTCTGGATTTATATAAATATACAGGGATTCTGTTGTATATTTATAACACCAGGTAACTCCACTGATAAACAAAGACTCATTTTATTCAAGTTTAAAAATTTCAGTTTTTTGATCATCCTAAAAGGTAGTATTCATTTAATCAATATTGAAAGTAAAATGCAAGCACAACCCTAAGATTGAATACATGGCTAGAGGGCGAAAAAATTCCTCTCTGGATAGTGTAAGCCACAATTGAGACACATCCATCAACTAGCTAATATATATTGAATGTTGTATTTTACATGTGGGTGGGTACAATACATGAATCAGTTTTAGATGAAGACATTAAGAATATCAATTGTATTTTACCAAACCCTTACTTACAATGCCATTTACTGAACATGAAGTTCTTCCATAAAAAAAAACTTTAAATAAACAACAGCATTGGTTTGTTATTGTCAGTATTGAATAGACACACCCCCTTCAATGACTCAATATTTAACAAACTAGACAAAACCATCATATTCTCATTCTATAGTTAAATTTACGCTTTTTTGTCAAAAATAGCAAAGTTGTGGCAATTATATCAAACAAAAAGAGTTAGAGCAAGCCATTAGAACTAACTTTCTTAATAAATTCCATATATTTCAAAAGAAGAAGCTGGCTAATGTACAATGGAGAAACTGCCTTTCCAACGAATTTCTAAATTTGCATCCATTGGCTACCATAAGAAATAGTACAAAATTCTGAATACATTTTTAATTGATTAAATGACTTTGGCAGAATTTTTCAGAAATTAAGAAATACAAGTTTCAAAATTTTAAAATGCACTTGCTATACTGGTACTTAACAAGTAATATGTGATTGGGTAATACAGATTAAGTTATGTTAAACAACCTCATAGTTTAGTTCGCTGATGTTAAGTTTTGTGTCAACAATTTTCCACTACTTCACACTAACTTCAATTTAGTTTTGAAACTCATAAAGTTTCATTTCACTCTTTCAACAGACACCACGACTCTAAACAACTACAATAGTGAATAAGCTTTTGAATCTGATTAATACGATCATTTGGATCTATACTCCTTAAACTTCGAGACTTTCAAAACTTAGGACTCAATATTAAAGTATTACTCTACTAGCTAATATGGTTTATTCACTTTTATGAATGATCATATCTTATAATCTACATTTCTTTAGAAGTTGTTCATCTGCATTCTTATTTGAATCATCTATATCTATGGTCTGTGCATCTAGAGAATGTGAAACTTTTCTTTATGAGAAATAAAAGAATGTTATCCTATAAATTTTCGTCTCAAAATGATTCAAATAATTTGGATGAGATTTGACAGGCATATTGTCTTCTTAAATATCATATAAACTTGACCTTAAACAGTTTTCAGTGAGGAAATCCAATTATTGGTTTAGCTTTATCAGCTGCAATATGAAGCACACGTTATTTGAACATGAACATTTCAGGATAGAGATTTAGCACCTTACTTGCAATGGATTGCACTTCGAATTTTCACTATTCAGAAACCTGACCCTGCATGATAGCATCATTTAGAAACTATGACCGAAAGGCAATCCAGACAACACCATTGTTTCGTGTTTGTTAAAACCACACTAATCAGCTTATCATTTGATACCAAACACAAGTCAATACCAATACTTATATTACCTGTAATTGTTCTAAATTATTAGTGTTGCCATAGAAACAAGGTGGAATATAAATACAAGCACAATACTTATGATGTTGTCTGCTATACTCCTAAACAGATTACATTACATTACTTAATTATTGATATAGCTTTGAAATTTGACTAAAATTGCTGAAACCCAAATTGCCAGAATACCTATCATAAAGACAATAGTTCAAAAACTGTCACATAAGCTATTTTTCACAGTATTTCATATAAGTAAAAGCTGTTATGAGACTATTTACAGATTCTTCAACCCAGGATTCAGTCTGACTATGCTGTTAAGACTGAGCATATCAAGAGCCTCCTGTGCTAAAGACTGTGAACATCAAGAACCTATTTTGATCAAGACTTTGCAAATTGAGACATCTTTTGCTAAATTTAACCTTAGGACTTCCATACCTAAGTGTATTTCTTTATCTTAAGTCTAGAAGTACACTCAAGCAAGTTAAATCAAAAGTATCTTAATTATACCCTTGTAGCTATTCATGGATGGATGAATGAATGGACACAAAATCAACCCCCCAAAGGTGACTGCAACATAATAAACCAACAGAGGTCATTTTACTGAGAGGTTATCAGTTTATATGAAATGTTACCCTCAATATCCTAATCATTGTTTTAGTAAATCGTGATGAGATAAGATAATTATCTAGGTGTAGGATGTTATTAGAGATATCCCCCTAGTATCTGACATACTCGCCTATAATTACAAGTCTACAATTACAAACTGTATTTGTACTTAATTAAGATGTTTGGTAAATTAATGAGATGAGAATTGACACAAACACACTGAAGTGTGAAAAGGGAAATGAAGTAAATTTGCTTGTTTATAAAACCTTCAATCACATGAGAGTATCAAAAATTTCATTAAAAGTTACATTATATACAAATGACATATCGGCAAAAGATTGAGCATGACACATTAAAAACATGTTAACAAAAATAACCGCGAATTGATTGGAGTTTGACTCATTTTGACACAATAGGAGAGAGGCAATTCACTTTAGATAAACTTTTGTTAAACCATCATTCTACTTGATAAATTCCCATGATTAGTAATACTTTAAAGTAAGACTCTTTAGCTTATAAATTTGTCCTCCATACATATAGTTCGTTCTATTGAATATATATAATCATACCTTAAACAAAGTTATGAGAAAATAGAATCCTTATATAAATGTTTCATCTGAACAAGAAATTTAAAATTTAGACATTTAAAATATCTTAAGAATCTAACCATATCATTTTTCAGATTGAAGAAAGAAATCTGATCTTTATGATAGGGAAAATATGTCAAATTACATTGATGCACCCATTTAAGAAATTAGTCTGCAGATGAATGCAATGTGGGGGTATAAATAAACCAGGTACCAACAATCCAAATCGCAAAACAAAACCCAAAATCCATAACAACATTTTAGCGAAACATTGGTAGCAGCTAATAAACTTTTCACATGAGGAAGTATATCAACCATAAGTGAATAAGTATTTCATGATGAAAAGGGGTATCAGGTGTCTAGAAGAGTAAAAAAAAAACTGTAAAAATACTTACAAAATCCTGATTTCAAGGGTTCAACAACACGTAAAGTAAAGGTGGTTCCTTTTGGAATTTCTTTTAACATTTTTGCAACTTCATAATGTCTGAGTCCTACCACAGGTTCGCCATTTAATTTTTCAATATGATCACCAACATAAACTATGGGCACTTTATCCATTATACTTCCCTCTTTTATACGTTTAATAAAAGCGTATCCATTTCCATTATCTGTTATAGTAAGTCCTAAAGCATCTTCCGATTTCGTCACCTCCACTTCCTTAGGTTGACCTTTTACATGGGCGAATATAAAATCCTCCAAACCAATCTGGCCACCAAGTAATCGCGTCATGTCACATTTGTGTGTATTCAAAGTGCAAAACAGAATCTAAAAAAGGAAACAAATTTCAAGATATTAAGGAAGTTTACTACAGAATATTTAAGCAATAAACAGTTGTTTAGTACTCTTTTCATATTTTACTTCCTTTATAATGTATAATGTTTATAAAGTTTTAATATTCTTTTCATATTGTTCTGTATATGAATATGAAAATATCAACATCATGGAGAGAACACCTCATGGTGATCAACAATGTAATACATCATGGTGATCTACAATGTAATACATCACGGTGATCTACAGTGTAATACACCATGGTGATCTACAATGTAATACACCATGGTGATCTACAATGTAATACACCATGGTGATCTACAATGTAATACACCATGGTGATCTACAATGTAATACATCATGGTGATCTACAATGTAATACATCATGGTGATCTACAATGTAATACATCATGGTGATCTACAATGTAATGCATCATGGTGATCTACAATGTAATGCATCATGGTGATCTACAATATAATACATAATGGTGATCTACAAAGTAATACATCATGGTGATCTACAAAGTAATACATCATGATGATCTACACAGTAACACCAATAGTGGCTTTGGTTAAACATCATGGTGATTTTGGTTCACAGAGAATCACATCATAGTAGCTTTGGTTTACAGAGTAATACAGATGGTCTCTTAAGTAACACATCATGATAATCTATAAAGTTACATATAATGATGGTGAATTTAGTAACAACTTATGTTGGTAAAAGTAACACAATTTTGGAGTCTAGAATCAGATGTACACATAATAGTTTTTTTTATGGTATATTTAATGCATATAATCTTAATTCTCAACAGGCAAATAACTGTTTAAGTTTTGGCTTACTGATTACCATACAACCAAAAAACAATGCTTGATATCCATTTGATAACAAATCAAAATCATTAATATGTGCAATTGTTACAGGCCACCTGTGTCTACCATTAATTAGTCCAATGTACAGGTAATATTGAACCCTCTAACTACTGTAGTTCAATATCACTATTATGCATTAAACATGGTGCTTTGGCTTTCGCCAAAAAATTACTATATATTGGACATTTTTCAAACAATTTGACTTTGATTGACATTGTTTAAATAAAACAAAGTATAAAATTTGGCAACCCTCACCTCAGAAGCTGGGATTTCATAACATTCAGCTATTTTTGAATACAATTCTTTGACGTTTGTGAACCCAGAAATAATTCCAGTAGGACTTCCTTGAGCTTGTTGACAGTGAAAAACTAATCTGGGTCTTGGAGGTTGTGGTGAAGAGTTTGTTTCGTTTTTGACAGAATTTCCGCCATTAGCCTCTGGTGTTGACTGTGTGACATCGGGGCGGGGTGCTTCCCGAGCCGGACTTGTCTGTTTGTCTGTCAAATTTTCTTTACTGCTTTTCTTCTTGTTTTTATTAAGTATATTTTTTAACGGCATTTTGACTGTCTTTTATCTACAAACCCCACTTATTCCAATAATGTCCTTTTTTACTACACCTTTCAACAGGTAAAACTACAGGTAGAAAAATTCACCTCCAATCGTCACCATTAATGAAATATGGCGGATAAACGGGAAGTGACGTGAAAAATGAGTGACGGGTGGGGTTCGTTTATTGCACGCGCTATACAGGTGTGCTGTCAATTGAGAGCTACAACTGTCATCACCTTTAATTAACCTGCGGATATAATCCTTTTATCCTCTTATTCGATTTTTCCTGATGTCAAAACAATGTAACAATTATTTATCCATTTGTTTAAATAAATACATCTATAACAGAACTGTCCGATATTGTAACTTTACTGTTTGTCACACGTTTACTGATTGGCAGTTGTCCATTGACGTAATATCACACAATATATCCCATTGAAGAAAAGTACACCTTTATTATATACCTGTGCTAAAAATATACTGTTTTATCTATATAACCTAATATGAGTCATTTCAAGTATACCTTTTTATTTTGGCTTGAATAGGTGTTGAACCGACAAATATATTTTGATTGAATCATCGTCTCTCATCTATTTGCCCCTTTTTTAAATCAAGTTTTAATGAATTTCTTAACTACCTTATTTCTCCTTAGGTTTGGACGAGGCAATACCTTTTCCCAGGAAAAATGATTATAATTTGAAAATGTGGGGAAGGTGGGATCAAAGTTCATCTTCACAAACATAAATTTTTACGTCATACCTTAATAATTGAAAGATTCCTGCTAATGAAGAATTGACCTCTAAACTCGTGGATCATAGTAAAATGTTTTTTTTTCTATTTCTATGTGAAATGTTTTGAAAAAAGCACCAAATCTATTCTATAAGGATTTCCATCAGTGTCTTAGGCCTTGCTCTCATTAACAGATCAACTGGTATAGGTTTGCATGTTAATAAATTCATCTGTAGACATACATCAAAATCCGTGAACAACAAGTCTTTGTTTTTTGTCATTGATTTAAATGGTCTGGAAATGTATTTTTATGACATACATTTTTGTCTGTATTTGATGGAATTTAAATTACTCAAGAACAAGAGAGCTACTATTGAGATACCAACAAAAGAATACAGAACCATATTGATTTTTTATTATAAAAGTATTTATTTTAAAAATGTCTATGATACAATAAAAAAATTCTATATAATGAAAAAATATTTTTTTTGATATGGAATGATATATGGACAAATTTTGGTGATACTAAGCCTTGTGAACATTTATTGCAAGACTAAGTCTTCAGCTTTCAAGTTCATTACCAAACCTCTATTGGTACTTGCATGTATTAACATGTAATGTCACATAGTTCCTCTAACAAAGCATATGCTTGTAAGAAGATTAATCTTTTTCTTTCCCCAAAACAGCTGATCAGTAACAAATATATACATTTAGTATCAAGTTTGGTATTTGAATCACTGTTAGTAAAGCATTTACAGAAATGTTTCATTTGTTCAGTATTCTTCATAATTGAATTTTGAATTAATTACCAGTAAACTTGATTATATTATATGGAATATGTAAGACTATGTAAAAAAATTAAAATGAAATTTGTTATCAATATTAATTTAAATTTATCAATTAAAAAAAAAAAAAAGTTCTACAGTGTATTTTGTACATTAATAACAATCAAAAAAAAAAAAAATTATGTTTATGAAAATTATGTACACTTGATGTGAAATTAAATTATTTACATTATTTTTAGGATAAAAGGCAAGAGTAAGAAGATGTTATATACAAGTTTCTGTTTGAAATGATGAACATGGAAAATAGACAATAACATGAGAAATTCAGAGCACTTATTCTGGAAAACATAAAATCAAGTTCTTTTCAAATTTCATAAGTGAAAAACAAGATAATGATTCTGAACTAAAACTGATCAAAAAAATTGGAAATAAGCATAATTTCAGGTAAACAACCATTTATTAGCATTATCTAAATATGACTTACTTCAATAATTCCGACCATAGCACCAGTTTTGAGAATGAGAGGACCCAGGAAATTCTATACAAATATACTGTAGTTTTTATATACAATTCATAAGAAATATACTTAATATACTATACTAGAAAATTCCTGTTTTTTGATTCATATATAGCACTTACATACACTATTAAATTCTAAAGTACAAAAACAAAGATTTCAATGAAGAGAATCAAGAACAAGGAATAACATTATGATTGAAATGGCAACTACAGATTTCATACTGATTAACATATCGGATGAACTTAACACATAAATCACAGTTGGTTTTCTGTATGGATCTATTCCAGGATCAAATCTCTGTGGACAATCATCAACTAAAATAGAAAGGAAAATTGTATCAATAACTGCCACTGAATCAGGTAATTTGAGATTCCTCCTTGGGTCAATCATATCCAAAATGGTTTCACAGACATTGTTTCATAGTAGAGTTCATCCATTTTTGTCAATGGTCTTTTAATTCTTAAGTTACATATTCATAATTTATAGAAATACAAAATAATAACTCACAAAGTCTCTCATTTTCAAACAACTCCATTCTCAATCCAGTACCAACCAATTCATAGCTTTGAGCAGATTGTGATCGGGGGCATCGGGCTGTTTGAGCACGTGACATCACTACATCAGTCCAACTGGATCTTTCAAATACCTAGAATTAATCAGATAATAAGATCACCTACTCACTTCTTTTGACCTCTTCACAGCTATAACTGTGATGAAAGACATTGCCCAAAACTTACCAGTATCTATTTACCAGTATTTCAGTATGTTATGTATTTAAGAGTCCCTGGACTCATTACTTGTGCAATGAACTTTTATTTCAAAGCTGAGGTACAAGCATTTTTTAAGTTTCAGAACCAAGGCTTTAAGAGCAATGGAGTAAGTGAATATAATTACCCAGCATCGGAATGATGAGATAGCATCTTCTTCATCATAGGTGATAAGATATGATTTCATATCCTCCATCCAATATCCAACACAGGTCAATACATGATCAGATTCATCTATAAAACAATGGATACTTTTAAATCATCTGCAGATGTTAAAGATAATCTTAATAAAATGTTTAAGATAAATGATATGAAATGTCAAAGATAGTTCCAATTTATTGTTATAGTAATCAAAGTGAATTGAAATTAACCATTACAGGTAAATAAAATGAAATGTTAAAGGTAATTGAAAATGATGTTATGTTAATTGAAATGAAATAAAATGTTATGGTAATTGAAATGAAATAAAATGTTATGGTAATTGAAATGAAATAAAATGTTATGGTAATTGAAATGAAATAAAATGTTATGTTAATTGAAATGAAATAAAATGTTATAGTAATTGAAATGAAAAAAAATGTTATGCTAATTGAAATGAAATAAAATGTTATGGTAATTTAAATGAAATAAAATGTTATGGTAATTTAAATGAAATAAAATGTTATGGTAAATATAAAATGTTATGATAATTGAAATGAAATAAAATGTTAAAGGTAAGTGAAATATAATAATACCATATTCTCCAATAGGTCTTCCTCTATAATCTACAGATTCACAATATTCAGCATCTATTTCAATCTTAGATTTATCTTGACTACATGACTTAAACTCAGAGGCTATAATACGACAATCCACCTGTACTCTCGGTCTATCAGTCACACCTCGAATTCTGGTAGCATACTTCTCATTTTCAAATAGTACTTTCTGATTGAAGCTGTAACGACCTCCAATTGGACATGGTATAGGAGAGGGGGGATTTACTGAAATAAATAATTCACTTCAGTTAAATAGTGCATGAAATTGAGGAAGGACAACATCATACATTGTGCAATGAGGGAGTATCCTACTCCTTTTCAATTTTCATCTATCAAGGGATCTTTAGCATGCACAGCCTGTATCAACTTTTATGAGATTTAGTTCCGAAAAATGACAGATGATGCAAATGAAAAGAAAATTAACTTTATATAGTTGACTGAGATTACATGGACATACTAGACAGTAATTACCTAGACTTATACAATATATATTATGCACTCATAAAATTTTTATAAACTTACAAATAAGAACTTCATATTTCCAATCTGTATCATTCCTGTTAAAACTAAATGAAACCCAACTACAAGCTTCTCTGAATTTCTTCTCAATATAATCAGGTTGTTGGTATTCATCTCTAGTCAATCGAGATGGTTTTCCTAGAATAACACAGAAGAGCATAGATCAAATTTTTGTATAAATTCTTCTTTTCATTATGGTTAAGAACTGCAGTATTTTATCATCCTTTTCTGTTTTACCATCCTATCTCTTGTTTATCATCCTTTCTTTTTGACCGCCCTTTCTTACACGAGAAACCAAAACTACAGGGATTTATACCAATGAGCAGTTGGTTAGTATAAATTTATAATTAACTTACCAACACGATATCTAACAATACCATGATGTCTTGGTAATATATCATAACATACAAAATCTATCTCACTGAAATAGTGAAAATAATTTCCAATTCAAGAACTTCCTGGAAGTCTTACTTCTCTGTTATAAGGAGTGACATTTCAGCAATGGTTTATTCTTCATAAATTTTAGGAAGCCATCTATGTCACCCTGCAACTGACTTTTGTAATCATATATATGTGGAAAAGTCGTGTAAGACCTCTTTAACAATAAGAAATGTACTCACCATCTTCCAACTTGTACTTTAGTCATCAAGTATCTAGTACCCAATGTCTGTTGACATGAGAAAAAGGTTTCTTCAAATTCAAACTGATTTTTCTTGGTATAGTAGTAAATATGGGTTTCATTAATTTTGACACTAGATCTAAATTGAATACCCTGAGTGAACCATTCACCAGAAATATTCCTTGGTAGATTACAAGATGGTGTCATTTGTTTTGTTTGTGGAGCAACTGAAAGAAATGCCATTTAATTACTATTTTTAATATATTTAACCAATTTCATATCATTTCCTATTCTAGAATCTTTACCTTCTTGCAG